GTAGTTTATGGTGTTGGGAAACCCCTCTTGGCTTAAATCAATCAGTTCAAATGAATTCCCCTCTTGTAGTAACCAATCACCCTTACCCAACTTGTTCCAGCCAGTGAATGTGCTAATCATGTTTTAGAGTAGTTGTTTGATTTTCCCACGGTGTGTGATGATTTGCTAAGAGATGCTATGATGTATGTGGGGTCCCTGCCTTCTCCAAAGAATGTATAAAACTGCTGCAAACCCTGGGCTCGGGGCCTCTCAGCGTCACCAGTTGCTGTGTGTGCGTGGAGGACCGAGCTAGTTCACAATAAACACCTCTTTGCTGTTTACATCGATCTTGGTCTCTGGTGATCTTTTGGGGGTCTCGAATTCGAGCATAACACGTTTGAGGTCAGCCTCAGCAATTTATCAAGGCTCTAAGCAACTTGGCAAGACCCTATATCAAAATAAAGATAAAAAAGGGCTGAGGATGTAGCTCAGTGGTAAAACACCCCTGGGTTCCATCCTTTGTTTAAAAAAAAAAAAAAAAAGAAAGGAAGGAAGGGAGGTGGGCTAATCTAGAATAACAACCAATCACTGGTTTATCAGCCTGTTTACTAGATGGTTTAAAGATATTATTTTCAATTTTCAAAACAATCTTGGAGGGTTATCATTACCATTTCCACAGGATGAATTCATGTTCAGAGCAAAAGAACCTTAGCAAGTGGGTGACAGAAGCTGTGACTCCATCAGGCACTCTTTCTGCTAAAATGAGAGTGAGTGACAACATAGGTGAAAGTTGGGGGCACAGGGATGACTTTCCTTTCTGCTGTATATCCTTAGCAAGTCACAGAGCCTATCTTATTTAGTCACCCCAGCTGGAAAAGAGGCAGCACGCCACCTCCTGGCAGTCTGGGTGAGCACTTACATAAATGTGGCTCAGAGCAAATCACATGTCATCATGGGGCAAGCAGACAACATGGATGAGTGAAAGAGGACAGGAGGGGACAGTGGGGACAGAGCTGCTGCTACATATCTGCAAACCACTGTCACAAAGCACAGCAGCCCAGTGTTGCCAGTCAGTCTGAGATGATCTGCTTCAAAGGGGTGGATTTCAAACCATTTTGTGGAAACTCAGGGTTCTTCCCAGGTGTAATGAGGCAAAATTAAGGAACAGGATGAGACATGGAAGGCAGGACTTTGGGTCCCTCCCCAGCTTTAACATCAGTGTTTTGCATTCCAACTGTGATTGCAGTTCTTCCTCAAAGGAAGTGATGAGATGGCTACTGTTATTATTCCCATTCCACAGATAAGGAGACTGAGGCACAGACAGAGTTAATCACCTGCCCAAGGTCACAGAGCAATTAATAATCAAACTGGAATCAGAATCCAGATTGTCTGCAGTTAATTAATACCTTGCTAAGCTGTTCCCTACTTACTTCCTTAACCCATTTGGTTAAAGCTTATCTTTCCCCATCAGGTTCCTGTTTCTCAAAGTGCCCTTGTTCATTCTATTTCCGAGACTCTCTTGAATCCAGGTGGCTCTCTATCAGTGCTCCCTGCCCACTTCAGGGCATCTTCATCCTGACACCTCTCCTAGGGATGCCTGCAAAAGCCTCCTGACTGGTCTGCTTCCATCCTTGCCTCCTAGGCTATTCTCAGAGAAGCCAGAAGAACGTTTTAAAAAACATGTTACTCTTTCAGGAAGGCATCCAATAGTTTCACAAACCATTCGGAATAAAGGTCAAACTTCTAACCTTGATATGCAAGGTCCTGCACAATCCATCTCCTTCAGTTCTCACCCTCTCACTCAGGTCCAGGCAGGCTGGCCCCCAGTCGCTCCCGCAGCGCACAGGAGCCTCCATTCCTATACCGCTCTAACTTCTCCACAAAACCCAAGTCCCTCTAAAGTCACCACGGGATTCTGATATCTGGCAGTGCCTGCACTTCCTAGGAGCGCTACAGACTGCTGTGAGATGATGAGTTTAGCGCCCCAACTTTACTTCCTGCATTTCCACCCCCCCAAAACATCCCAGTTACCTACTCAGGTACCGATTTCTCGGCGATCTCCCTAAATCCCCTCAATATATACGGATTTATCAAAACATTCCCACTTCTTCAAAATACCCGAACCCCTCTAATATCAGCTCAGCTCTCTTATTTCAAACCGATTCCTCCATCACGCTCTCCATTCCTCGAGAACTCCCCGGTTCCCGGGATGGTACTCTCATTCCTGGCAAAATGTCCTTATCCCCAGCTCCTCGCCCCCCACAACTAACCCGCCCCAGGGTTACTAAGGCAACGCCAATCCGTGGCTCCACCCCCTTCTGCGCCAGCCGAGGCCGCCCGTTACCATGGAGACCAGAAAATGCCCCTCCCAGTGGCCCTCATCCATAGACCCGGCACCCTGGGCCCAAACCTCTAGGACCCTGAGATGTACAGGGGACCCAAAATGGGAGGAGTGCTCGGCACTCCTCCGCAGGCACCCGAATAAGCCCCAAGCAGCCCGCACAGCTCAGACGGAGCGCCCACGGCGGCTCCTACCGCGCGCGCACTCTCCGTGCGACCGCCGTGGGCGCGGCGCTCCGCCTCCTGGGAGTTGTAGTTTCGTGTTTGCCGCCGCAGCAGGGACCGGTGGCCGGCCAATGGTGAGCGGGATGGGGGCAGGAACAAGGTTACTGAAGCCAGGCATCAGAGCCGGCGCGATCCCCACCCTAGCAATGAAGAAATGATGACGCGCCAGCCCTCCTAGCCAGTCTGCCATTTTATTCTATGATCTTTCTAAACCAGAGTTTAGTTTTGCACAGGCACTGGGGTACAGTGGAGAATAAAATCGATCTCTCACTTTGGTGTGTGGGACGATTGTTAATAATTGCAAACACAGGTCAATGGAAAACACAATATGTGTTAACAGGTAATTGGGGTGGTTTGGGGGTTGCGGAAATGCAGGCAACATTAAAACATTGGTACATATACTAATCCATTTATCCCCAAGCCCCGAGGTAGGTTCTATTATTATTCCCAAACCTTAATACAGAGAGGTCAGGCAACTGAAGGCCACATGGTTGGAGCTGGGATTTCATACTTGATAAACTTAACCACAATGCTAAACTGGTAAATAGCCCTATGGTATGATTCCAGGAAGTAGTGCTAAGAATAAAGTAGAAAGAGGGTAAAGTGACTTTAGAAGGAATGCTCAGGGATGGCTTTCAGGAAGATACGATACTTCAGCAGAGACCTGAAGGGACTGATTTCACTTGTGGGATGAGCATGTGGGATATTAAGCTGGACTATATAGAGAGGAGTAAAGGCCACTAGCCTTGTTTTTTTTCTTTTTTCCCTTCTTCTTGCATTTCCCAAGGGCAAAATATCACTGTACATGCTGCTTCCTCTGCCAAGGATGTACTTCTTCATCCTCTTTTCTTAGCCAACATGTCTTTCAAGTTTCAGTTCTAGAAGAATCATCTACCCTGGCCTGTTCTGCTGACCATACATCTATCTCTTCCTGCTCTGTATTTCTAATGGAGCTCCCAGGAAACCTCAATGATGCTGCTCTGTGGACCATACTTTGAAAAGCAAAAGTCTAGCTAACCCCCTGGATGACCCAAGACACATAAGCCATAAGGGCTCATTGTTATATATCTCTGAGGTGCTGTTGTTGTTTACACAGCATTAATGTACCCAGAGATATCAGATAACTTTATTAAGTCCAGTTTCTTCCTTGAGATTTACTATATGGGTGCTGGTAGAAAAGTCTTTTTGCCATGGAGCCATGAAGTTACCAGAACTTCAAGTAGCAATATTTCTCAGCCAAGAGAGGGCCTTCTTTGGAAGGAATCCACAAAGAACAGGAGAAATGAGAGGAGAAACCTGACATTGTTACAGCATTAAGCATCAGTTGAAGCCCTTGACTTCTCACAACTTGAACCTCTGAACTGTCTTTTGTTGCTGTTCATTGCAACTGCATTATCAGAGTTTGCTTGAATTGCAGGCCCCACTCCAGACCTACTGAATCCAACTGCATCTCAACACAATTTTGAGAAGTGCTCAGTCCTCAACCAGGACTTTCTAGCCTACATCAGTTGTGACAACAGAAACCTCAACTGAACTTCCCTAAATCACTAAGGTATCTTTTATTTAAGAAGTCCTGTGGTAGAGCAGACTCCAGGAACTCCCATCAGCCAAGCAAAGGTCAGACTGTCTTCATCTTTCAGCTCAGTCCTCCACAGTGTGGGTTCCTACTCACACCATCTCAGGGTGACTGCAAAGCAGGTCTATACCAGACCATCTCATTCTGAAACTTCTTAGGAATGAGGGAATCTTTCTTAGAAGTTCCACCCCAACCTGAGCAGACTCATTGGCTAGGACTGGTCACAGGTCCATTCTCAAACCAATCACTGGCAAAGATGATCAGCAGGGGCCAGTCATTTGAGGGTCCAGAGGAGAAAGACGAGGCCTGAGCTGCCATGGCTCCTCCATCCACCTGGCCCCAGGAGGCTTTGTTGATAGAAAATAGAGGGACACTAGCCAGCTCAATTTTCTTCTGCTTCTGGACCTCCCACCTTCCCCCTGAAGCCATGAACTCAGCATGGAAACCAAAATAATACTGCTTTATTCTGGTCTTTAAGCACAATAGTTCAGACAGTTCCCCTTCCTGAAGCCCATCCCTCCAGACCCCTGTTGCCCTTCCCCCCTTTTTCCAGGAATGGCCAACCAGAAAGTGAAGAAACACCCAGACCATTCTCCTCAGTTCTCTCTCCACCTCTCTTTTTTGTCTCATCTCCTTTTAAAATTCCCTCTCTTCCCTGTCTCCTCCTCCTCTTCCTGGTTCCCACCCTCACCCTCTTGCCTCCCCTGCATTTCCTTACTTCTTTTCCATTTCTGCATCTTCCTGTGTCCTCTCCTCCATGGGTCTCCCCTTTTATCTTCTCTGCCCTTTCCTCTCCATGTCTTCTTGTCCTCCTCTGCTCCCCCACCCCCTGGTGTCACCCCTTCCCTCCACTATTGCTCCCTCCCCCCAGCTCAGCCCCTCTCCTGCTTTCCACCTTGGCCTGACCCTGTTTATACCTCTCATCACACGTTTCCTCTTCCGAGGGAAGACCTCTGAATCCACCCATCAGCAGTTTCAACTGCTGTGGCTCTAGGACCTCAGAGACCATTGCCAGCTTCCCCTTGGACCCAGAGAGGCAAACTGCCAAGATGAAGTCCCTGGATGACCCAGGAAGTGACCAGAGGGACTGGGGTGCCCTCCTTGGCCTCAGCACTGTTATCTTTGGGATTGAAGAATGCCCTCCAAGTGGAGGGTGGCAGGTAGAGGGCAGAAGGGTCAGGGCTCCTGGGCGCTCCCCCAGCAATCCCTGAGCAGGTCCATGTGGAATAAGGCTGCCCCGGTGAGGAGGCGGGCTGCAAAGAGGTGCCGGCAGGGTAGGTGTCGAGCCGCATGGATGGAGCAGCTGCAGTGGGTCAGCGCTCCGTCCAGGAAGAAGTCTGAGGTGCCATCCTTCAGAGCAAACCCAGCTCCGGTCCAGTGGAAACCCTGGGTCCCGTGCTGCCTGGCGAAGGCCAGCTCCTCAGCCACCAGGTCTGCCAGCTCTGGCCCACAGGCTGCTCTGAATTTGGCCAGTGGCTCCCAGTCTACCTCCTCCTCTCCTGAGGGGCAGCAAAGCCTCTTTGGTTCCCTTGGGCCTTCTTCACTTCCTTCCTGCAGGGTCTCCCTTGCAGCTGGGGACTCACTCCTCATCACTGCCCGTTCTGGATTGCCTTCCAACACAGTTCCCATGGGGGTAGTGCACAGGATCCCATTCCCCAGCCCTGGACCCCTCCCTCCTGTGTCCAGCCCTTGTCTTGCTCTGTTTGTGGGGCCCATGGACGGGGCTCCCTCTCCGTCTCCATTTGCCACATCTGTGACCCTGGTGTCCCCGAGCTGGATCACAACTATGTCTTCCAGGCCTCGTCTTCTTTTGGTCCCCGACCTCTCTCCCCTCTCTTCTGCTAGCTCTGGCCCCCTCCTCCCCTCTTCTCCCCCCAGGGACCCCCTCCGATCTCCGTTCTCAGGGACTAAATCCAGGGGCTTCTCCAAATGGATCCCACTCCAGTTTCTGAGACCCAGTCTCTTGTCCTTGTCCACTTCTGCCTGAGGCCCCTTCCAGTCTCCGAGTTTCAGACCACTTGCTCTTTCTTCCTGCAACGGGACTCCCCTCCAGGGGCTCCCTTCAAGACCTCCTGCCTTTTCAGACTCAAACTGGGTTCCCCTCTTTTCTATGATCTCTAACACCCTAATCCTTTGATCCTCCAACTGGCCTCCCCTCCAGTCTCTGATCTCTGGCCCTCTCAACTGATCTTTCTCTAACTGGGTCCCTCTCCAGATAATCCCATCCAGCCCCCTCACTTTCCGGTTCTCCAACTGGACTCCTCTCTGTTCTCTGGCCTGCAATCCCCTCCCCTTCTCACTTTCTAGCTGAGCTCCTCCCCAATCACTGGTTTCCAGACCCCTCACCCTCTCATTCTCGACCTGGGTTCCCCCCCTCCCGGGCTGGCTGTCCAGCCATGCTCCATCACCATCAGCGCCCTCGGAGGCTGCCTCCCCCACTGCGTCCGCCCACTGCATGGCCACCAGGTCGCGAAGGCACTGTGCCACACTGTGTGAGGGGCTGAGGCGGCGCAGAAGTCTCTTGCGGTGGCCACGCACCAGGGCGCACGCATCCAGATTACGGGATGCTTCATAGGCACGGAAACGCACCCACATGTCATGGCGGGGTGCCCAGTTGTGCTCGAAGTACTTAACAAAGGCGGCCGGGCCCTGGGCACGCAGCTCAGCTAGTGCCTCAGAGTAGGCTGCATAGGATGCCGCGCCGGCCAGGCGGCACAGCAGGGGCCACAGACCTGGGTCTTCTTGGGTGGCACCGCCCAACTCCTGAGCCTTGCTGAAGAGCGTCTCGAGGCCTTGCGCGCGGCAGATCTGCACTCGTGCGCATGGCAGCAGCTGGCGCACGGCCCGCAGCTGTGCTGCCACTTCTGGCCCCGCAGTGAGGCAGCGCACTCGGCCCTTGACGTCGGGTGCGCTTTGAAGCAATGAGACCAGCACAAAACGTAGGAGGCTTGGCGTGCCAGGGCGCGCCACACAGCAGGCAGCCTGGCGTGCGCGTCCTGCGCTATCCACGCACAGCACCGCCAGCAGGTCCAGTGTGCCCTGCAGGCCAGGCAGTCGGTCCACCAGGAGTATGCGCGGGAAACGCCGCAACAGCGCCCTGGTGCGCGATGTCAGGAAGAACACAGTCTCTACCATAGCTTGGTCCTCTACGAACACCAGCTTCACCTGCGGGGGAGGGCAAGGAGGTAGAAAAGAGGTCAGGGAACAAAGGGGCCGCCCCGCCCAGCTCCCCAGACAGCGGCCAAAGGGGAAAAAAAAAGCAGACTGAGCCCGATTGTTTGGGTTTGAGATCCAGGCACCACGACCTGTTAGCAATATGATATCTACACACACACTTTTTGCCTAGCTTCATTTTTTTCCTGCTGGGAACGGAGTGTTCATTGCTTAATGAGTCGTCAGGCGGCCTAGGGGAAGTGATTCTCACAGTATAGGCCCTGGACCAGGAGCAGCAGCTGACAGATAGACATACACCTTGTGGGGTTCACCCAAGACCTACTAAGGCTGAAACTCTGGATGGGACCCAGAAATATTTTTTTACTCCTCCATGCTGGGGCTTCCTAGGGCTGAATTAGGAGACAGTATAGTGGTAAACGGTGGACCAAAGAGGTAGAACGTTCAGATTGAGTCCTACCCCTACCATAGCCTAACTGCTTGACTTTCCCTCTCAGTATCTTAGTTCAGTTCCTCCTTAAACCCTCTGGGTTCTGAGACTTCTCGCCCTAGGAACTGAATACTCATTTCTTCCAGCAGAAGAGAGCAGCAGTTGAAAGCAAAGCCCCTCCCTGAGGCCAGATGACCTGACCCTTCCTGGCTGGCTGGCTCCTGAAATTTCCCTAATCTCCCTCTCATCTGTAAAGTGGAGAGTTCCTCTCTGAACAGTCCTCAGTGGGCAGTGGCATGCCTGTAATCCCTGCACCCTGGAAGGCTGAGGCAGGAGGATCACAAAGTTTGAGGCCAGCCTGGAAAACTTAGGAAGACCCTAATAATAATTATAGTAGTAATAATACTAGGGCTGAGTATGTAGCTGGGTAGTAAAGCAACCCTGGGTCCAATCCTCAGTACCACCAGAAAAAAAAAAAAAAAAAATCCCTCTGATTGTTAGGAAGAAATGCATCTAGAACTTTTCCTGGCACAAATAGCATCACTACTGTTATTCATTCTACAAGTTGTAAGTGCTCTCTAAGAGTTCAATATTAGAATAATGAGCTCTGCCCCAACACCACCATCCCAATTAAGCCAAGGCCCCACCTGTCTCCAGCTCCTGTGGGACACGGCACTTGCCACCCTCCAGGACTTGGTATCTTTTTTGTCAATTCACCCACTACCTGTTGGCCCTCCCTAAGATATAAGCCCCACAGGGCCAGAATGTTGTTCCCTTTTGCATCTCTGATGCTTTTCAAGGCACCTGTCCCAGGAAAACAGTTTGAAACATCTGGAGGGAGGGAGGGAAATCCAATGGCCACTTCTCAGGAGTGGAGTTTCAGGTAACAGACTGCATTTGAATCTCAGGTTTGCCTCATTAGTTATGGGACCCTGGGCAGTGACATTCCCCTCAATGAGCCTCAATTTCCTTGTCTGGCAAAATGAGAATATCTATTTAAAATGGAATGTCCTGGTGAGGCTAAAATGAGGTCAGTCCTGTCCAAGGTTTGCAGCAATGCCTGGCATGTGCAGATCCCAGCTATACATCATCCACCTGTTACTCAGGCCCAACACTCGGGGCGATGATTCTTTTCTCTCCTTCTCCATCCTCCACATGCAATCCATGCCTAAATCCCAGAACTGTTCCTCAGAATGAGGCCAGATCCTAGCCACTTCTCCCTAACCCTACGGCTACCATCCTGGCTGGGGCCACCACATTCTCCCACCTGGGCTTCAGGAGTCCACTTTCACCCTGTCTGTTCCCCACAGTGGCAACAAGAAGCATTTTCAAAACTCCCATTAGATTGCTCCCTCCCCTGCTTGAAAGAGCTTCCCAGGCCTTCTCCTCACACTCCAATTAAGATCAAGAATCCACATCACAATTATGGGCCTTGGGAGATGCTGTGGCTTGAATATGGGCAGTGCCCATATGCTTAAACCTTGTCCATCAGGGCAGCAGTATTGGGAGGTGCCATTGGCCTTGAAGTGGTGGGGCTTGTTGGGAGGTCCTGAGGTCACTGGAGATGTGTCCCTCAAGGGAACTGAGGGACCCATTGGGCTCTCACTGTCCCTTTCTCTCTCTCTCTCTCCTTCCTGGATGGACATCAGGGTACTTGCTTTGGCCTGTATAGGCACCACGAGGTGCCATCCTCACCAGAGCCCCAAACCAGTGGGGCAGCTCCATCTTGGACTTGGACCTCGTAGAACCATGAGCCAAAACACACCTCTTCTTATTTCCCAAGTGGCCCATGCCTGGTGTTGGCTACAGTGATACAAAGCTGACTAATAGGGGAAATTAGCCCTTTTGATCTCATCTTCTGTTTCTCTCCCACTTTGGTCTCAGTCACTCTGGCCTCATTATTGCCAAAAAGTCACGTGATGGGGAGGAGAGATTGGTAGCTATGAGCCAGGGTCCCCCATACTGTGCCAGTGGCTGGGGTCCCTCAGCCAGTCCCTAAGAGAGCTGATGTACAGCTGCAGAATGAGGCAGGATTGAATCCAGTTGGACCACACGTCTCTCCACAAACATCTGCACCACCCAAGCCCATGCTACAGGACCGTTTCAAAAGTGTTGCGCTGTACTCTGTTTAAAAAAAACAAAAACAAACCTACTGTTCGGTTCAAAAAGAAGAATGAAATGCTTTCCTAACCCTGAAATAATATATTCAGCATTGAAATTAAAAATATTTCTTAAAAAACCAGTATGCTTACAATTGCATGAGTTACATAACTGCTAACAATTTTTTGACCATCATTAATCTGTACATCATTACTCTATGATTTAATCTTCTTAGTAGATGTTCAATCTAGACCTGCTCTGTCCTGCTAGCCATGAATCCCATGTTTAAATTTAAAAATTTAAGACTAGGGATGTAGCTCCAGGGGTAGAGCCCTTGTCTAGTATGAATGCATCTCCAGCACTGCAAGAAAAAAATTTAAATATATAAAAATTCATTTCCTAAGCTGCATTAGCCATATTTCATGTGTTCAACAACTACATGAGGCTAGTGTCTACTAGGCAGCAGAGATTTATAACATGTCCATGATCACAGAAAATTTTATTGGACAGCAATGGTCTAGAAAGTGACTTAAATATAAAAGCTATAATGGGTTTTTATAAAGTGCACATTTCTACAGAATTAGGGAAGTTCACATCCTCTTCTCCCTGGGAGTCAGGAATAGACATAGACAGTAAAACATTTGCCTTGAGACTTGTCCAGAAGCAAGCACTTGACTAACCAGAAGCTAATTTCTGCTCTTCCATGGAATACTCTGATTCCTGATCTTGGGTTTTCTTCAAAGTCTATAAGCTTTTCTTGTATACCCACTTTTTCCTTAAACCCTACGCTAGGCCAAAAGGAGAAAAAAAGACCAAGGCAGGCCCCAAGTCCTGCCCTGTTGGATGGTCAAGAGTCAATGAGCAATAGGACAGTTGGTGCTGCTTTCAGCTGAGAGGCACAAGGATCAGAAAATTAAGAGTTCCTAGAGCCAAGAGCCAGACTGTCAGAGAAATCCAAATCCAGGTTTGTCTACCTACCAGCTGCGTACGTTTACACACCAGCTGTGTGACTTAGGGAAAGTGTCTGTATTTCTCTGTGCTTCACTCTTTCCTATCTGCAAAGACAGGGAGCATAACTGCAACTACTTTATAAAGATAATATGTGGACTGAAAGGGTTAATCTATGTGAAGCACGCAGGCAGTGCTGGCGTGAGTGTTCGCTGGGTGTCAGTGGTTACCTGAGTGTGGAATGCATGCTGAACAGAAAGGCTAATGGGACCAGGTTGCTGTGTCTCCCTCTGATGGAGTAAGGGTCATCTCATGACTTTGTGAAAGTGACCAAACAGGTCTGACCCAGAGTTTTCTGGCCGGTGGTTCATCTGCATGGTGGTTCATTTGGGGGACACAGGAGCCCAGGGAGGAGCAGACTTTGAGGACCCAAGTGAGTGTAGGTGTCACCTCCAGACACACAAGTTGGTAGCAGAAGAAGCATCTACCTTAGAAGATTCTATTTTATGTGCTAACACCAGAAATCTCAGCACTATGTTCTACCTATGCCTCTTCCTACATCTGAGTCCATGTTTCCTTTATCACAAGATCAGAAGAGTACTATTTTCCACTCTGATGTGCGGGGGACGCGGGGGGGGGGGGGATTGAGGGAATAAAAATACTAGCTGGAGAGCTAACACCTAGAGGGCTTCCTACTTTCTAGGCATTGTTTTCTCCTCTCCCTGTTACATACAAACCTATTCCTCACATAGCAATAGGTATTATCTGTTGTTCTATAAGGTATTATCTATTGTTATTGTCCCCAAACTGAGGCTCATAGAAATTAGGTAGCCTGTTCATAACTTGTTCAATGTCCCAAAGCCACACATAGCACAGTCAGAATGTGTAAAAAGCTGTCTAGCACATATCAACATAGAAGTTAGCAGCTGTTATTTTGTCCTTCCAAAGTTGGCTGATCTAATGCAAAAATAGGCTCTTGAGCATAGAGAACACTCCTGCTGGGAGTGAGCTGCAGGAGGCCCGGAGTCTACAGAGCAGGGGTACCCTGAGCCCCAGATCCAGGCAGGGTTTTGGGAGGGTCTTGGTGAAGTGGCTCCCCAGAATGTCCTTTATCCTTTTCCAAGTAATTGCAGTTCTCTCCATCCTGGACACTAGGTAATTATGCACCTCTCCTTACTACTTGCAGGTAGGCAGGTCATGTGACTTGCTTTGGCCAATGAACTGTGAGCAGAAATGACCTCAGACATCACTTCTGGACAGAGCCCTAACTGCCATCCCAGACAGATAGAGTACAGCCTGTCCTTCTGGGTGCCCAGATGAAAGACTGGCAGTATTTCCTGCTTCCTCTCCTTGTGGGTGAGCAGTGAGTAAAGCCCACTGAGCTCAGCCACTGAGATGCCAGGGCTGGTTGTTACTAGAGCAAACCCCAGGCCTGACGCGGCCCCATCATTTGCCCCCTAATTTTTCCTCTTAAAAGAGAAACAAATGGGTATAGTACATTGGGATTATTTCACACTTTTCATTTTCTTTTTAAAAATTAATTATTGGAGCTGGGTATGGTGGCGCATGCCTATAATCCAAGAAACTTGAGAGGACTGTAAGTTTGAGGCCAGCCTCAGCAACTTAGGGAGGCCATGTTTCAAAATAAAAAATAAAAAGCACTGGGGATGTGGCTCAGTGGTAAAGTGCCCTGGGTTTAATCCCCAGTGCCAGAAAAAAAATTAATGGTTTGAATGTGCAAATTTCACATGGCCCAAAAGTGAAACGATGGAATTCATGTAATTAAGCAATTAAATGTCACACTCCCAGCTCTCCATTATAATCATCCCATTTCTGCTCTCTATTCCACCCCATCCACTTCTCTTGGCATGCTTCTGAAGTTTCTTTCTGTGAATATAAGCAAGCATACCTGTATGTCTTATTTTTTCCAATTTATACATAACATGACGCATTATGTGCAGTTTTGCAACTTACTTTTTTTTTTTAAACACAAAAATGCATCTGAGAGGGGCTTGGGTTATGGCTCAGTGGTAAAGCACTTGCCTTGCATGTGTGAGGCTCTGGGTTCGATCCTCAGCACTACAAAATAAATAAATAAATAAATAAATAAAGGTATTATGTCCATCTACAACTATATATATATATATATTAAAAAATTCATTTGAGAGATCTTTCCAGATCAGGGCCTAGAGTTTTCTCATTCCTTTTTAGAACTTCATAGTGTTCCATGGATGGATGTGTCATAGATTAAATAACCAACCATCACCCACTGGTGACATCTGGTTGTTTCCAATCTTTTGCTTTCACCAATTACAGTTATCAATTTTGTACCCAGGTCACCCCACAGCTGTGCTGCCCAGTCTTGGACTGGAACCTCTAGAACTGTGAGATAAATAACTTTCCCCTTTATAAATTAATTGCCTTGGGCATTTTGTTACAGTGACCCAAAGAGATACATTCTCCTTTGGAAGACTGCTGCAAATCGAAAAGAATAATGTAAGACACTTGCTTAGCTAGTCTTGGAATGATAATAAAGCATTCTTTTTTATAATTGTTGACATATTAATAATGCAGAACTCTTTAAATAGACCCTTTAAGTGAAAGCAAGCTGGTGAAATATGTGAGTGATGGCCTGGACACATCTCACTTTCTTTTGAACTTCAAACCCATCTATAGGAATGACTTTTTACAACCTGAAAGACAGGGGCAATAGGAAAGATGGCAGGTACCAAGCTTTGGAATTTGGAAAACAGAAAAACACGCTGACTCCTCTCCTACCAAAAAAACCCCCATAAACCTTAAGCCAGAGTTAGAGAGTACTGAGTACCAACCGCACAGTCCTCCTACAGACCTGGCAAATCCGCAGTGAGAAGTTACAATACAGGTGCAGTGAAGAAGCAACTTGACCTCCAAATCCCACCTTTCCCTCCTCCTACCCTGTCTGCTGGTCCCCATTACTGTAGACAGTAAAGCAGAAAGGGGCACTGGCCTTGGGGAATCAGGCCCATCTCAGGATGAGGGAGGGGGAATCCCATATGGGTCTGGGTGCATTTTGCTGACCAAGAGCCAGCTCCCCTGCCTCTTCCCCATGAGGTTCCAGAAGTGGGCAGCCTGGCCTTCATCCTCCAGCCAGGAGGATGGAGCTTTCTCAGGAGGATCTGACCAGCCCCAGAGGAAGAATAAAAGACGCTGACCCCTGGCCCTCCCCAACACATAAAGCCAGAAGCAAAGTCGTGTGCAGAACACGCAGCCCTGCTGAGTGGCAGGGGTGGGGGAGTAAATGAGGTTAAAAATACAGAAATGCAAACTTACCTGCACATTTATAGCACTGTGCTGTCCAACGCAGAAGCCGCCAGCCACATGGGGCTGTTGAAATTTCCATTACTTTAAGTTTTCAAACTCAGGTTCCTCATTCATACTAACAATAGTAGTCCCAGGAGCCAGTGGCTACTACACTGGACAGCACAGATGTTTCTATCATTGTAGAAAGATCCACTAGTCAATGCTGGGCCATAGAATAAGAAGATATTAAATCTATGAGCAACTGGTAACTCTGCTGATCTGTGAGGAGGGGACCTGGGGCCAGGAGTTGACAAAGGGGCTTTTCATTAAACCGAGTTTGGGTTGGCAGCATCCAAGATGGAAGTTTTAAAGCCAATCCCATTCCACAAATGGCTTTAATTCATGGAAGACCTGCGGGGTGCTTCTGGGGAGACCACCTGAGGTTTATTTATTCAGTGGGGACAATGGGTGACAGTTATTAGCTCTGTGAAGACCAGTGGAGTAGGGAGTTTGTGTGTGCATACCCCCATTTTTCTCAGGGCAGCAAACTGACATAGGTAGGGCTCTTACCCTCTGGAGGATGGGATTGTTGGAGTGGGGCTGGGCCATGCTTCCAACTGGGCAAGGGCACAGCAGTGAAGACTACAGCCTGGATCCAGACTATGGGCCCCAACCCCGCTTTGCCATTAAACAGCCCCTGACTCTGGGCCAGTTACCTGACTTCTCAATGCCTCAGGGGTTTTGTTTGTTTGTAAAATGGGGATTGAGAATAGTGAAGGCCTTCCTCATTCATCTGAGGTGAGATTTCAACAATGACAACAAGGGCTGGCATGGAGCTCAGTGGTAAGCACTTAAAGCCCTGGGTTTGATCCCCAGATCAAAAAACAAACAAAGGACAAAGAACAGAATAAGGAAGGAGGATATGGAAAGCACTTAGGGTAGTGCCTGATACACTGAAAACTTTAGCTAAGTTATCAGCATTATCTGAGGATACAGGCCGGTTACTGGCCAGGTGATGGGTGAGTACTCTGGGCCTGTGCAAGGGGGATGGGTGCACATCTCAGCTCTACCCTGAGCTGAGTTCATTTCCACCCTTGAAAGACAAAGACACAGCCATGTGGAGATTTTATTAAACTTCAAGCCCCCCTCCCTGGGCTGCAGAGATGGAAGGGCAGCACCCTCGACTTGCCAAGCTTGCTCCAGCCTCTAGGCCTTGGCACTGGCTGTCCCCTCTCCTGGAGCTCTTCCCTCTGACGGCATGGGCGTCCCGTCCCTTCCCTGATTCACCTTCTCTTTAAAAAAGCCTTGCCTGACCATTCAGATCAAACAGCACCCTTGCAGCGCCTCTCTGAAAGCCCCGGCCTTGCTCTGCAATACAGGTCTCCACTTGGTCACCTTCTAGGGCACAACACCCCCTTCTCATTCTTGATCTGGGCGTGGAACCCTGTCAACACTCTTCAAACTATATACTGATCGTTTTGTACTGTGCATTTTCTATCTGTAGTTTAATTTAAAAACAATTAGCATCTTCTGCCAGCTTTGGCGTCCTCCCCCTCCTCCCCCCCAAGTACTGACACCTGGACGTGTTTGTCCACTGCTGCTTTCTCCTACCGGAACTGCAAGTAGCCCACGGTCATAAATGGCTATGTGAATTTCAATGAATTAATATTAAACACATCCGGTTCCCCTCACACTGGCCACAATTCATGCGCTCACAGGCACAGGATCAGAACATTCCCACAGGGGACAGGTGCACATCCCACAGGGAACAGGGAGGCTCACTGAGGGCAGAGACGAGTCTCTCTCTGCCCCATGCCAGCTGCACACAGAGCTAAGGAATGCGTGGGTGCAGGGAAGGGGTGCAGGGCAGAGTGGGTGGGGAAGGGACAAGTGACTCGCTGTCTCCTGAGATCCTACCTTGGCCTCCGGGTCGGTGCGGAAGAGCCCCTCCAGCACATGCAGGGCGTCCAGCACGCCGTGGTCGGGGCCCTTGCAGTGGGACAGCAGGCGGCGCACATCGGCGGGGGCCACAAACTGCTTGGAGATCTGGTTGGTGATGCGCACCGGCAGGCAGGCGTTGGCCAGCAGGTGCCCAGGGCGGAAGTGGTAGGCGAACTCCCGCGGGCAAGCCGGGTGCGAGTGGGTCAGCTGGCACTCGGACACCACTAGTCGGTCCCGCAGGGGGCTCAGCTTGAGTGTGATGAAGGCCGGGCAGCTGGGCTGGGGGGGCCTGCGGGAGGAACCACCACCGCAGGTCACATCCCTCTGCCGCCCTCTCCTTCCTCTCTGTTTTTTTCTTTCTTGTTTTTAAATAATTAAGTTTTAATCATAGAGAAGAGTAGAGGGCCTTTTAAGAATATGCCGGCTGTGTGATCTTGGGCAAGTCACTTCAGGTCTCTGTGCCTCAGTTTCCACATATATTCAAAGGTGGATTAACAATCATCAGACCTTCTTCATAGGGTTGAGGATGGAAAGGACTGATACGTGTAGAGCACACAGTAAGCACTACATGTTTGTGAAAATTCTGTACCCACCACCAGCTGTCAAAGTGAACCAATGCTTTATTATATTACTTCCAAAGACTTCAGCAATAAAACATCTTAGTCTTGTATCTGCTTCTGGTTTAGCAATAGCAGAATCACAAATTGAAGCCCTGGGTGAATTCTGCCCTAACAAACCCCTCTTCATTCTGCCCCCAGAGGCAGCCACTACCAAAATCATGGACTTCACCTTCCCACATGGTTTTACGTGTCCCTAAGCAAGGGAAGGTGTGTTTCTCTGCTTTCCAACTTCATATACCCCAGGGGCAATGATCAAGGAGATGACCAGTGAAAAACCCAAAGAAATACCACTACACACCAGCAGGATGGCCCTGCCAAAGAGACCAGTGAGGGACATGGTGGCAGGAGCCTGTCCCAGCTGCCTGTCAGACTGAGGCAGGATTGCCTGAGTCCAGGAGTTCAAGGCCAGTCTGGGCAGCCCAGCCAGATCCCTGTCTCAAGCCAAACAAAATAAAAAAGCGAGAGAGAGAGAGAGAGAGAGAGAGAGAGAGAGAGAGAGAGAGAGAGATAGATAGATAACATGCAGCCTTGACGAGGACACAGAGCAACCAGAACTATCATGCCACCAACACGAGCATCAATGAAAAACCGTGTGGCAGACGCACTGGCAGGGCCCCACCTCCCTGTGCCCTTGCCATCCTACTCCAGATAAATGCCTGCACATGGGCACCAAAGGAGTCGTGCAGGTGCTGTGAGCTGGCTTGTTCACCGCAGTGCCATCTACCAGCCAAATACACGAAACCCAACATCCAAGAGTGAGAAAGCAAGTTGTGGCAGATCCCAAGAGTAAAATGCTCATCAACACTGAGAAGGCACAACCTACATGATCTCCAACATGGACGCCCTGTCACACCAGCTATCAGAGGCCAGATAGACTTCAACAGCAGGCAGCAGCGAGTGGCTGTTGGGAGGAGGCTAGGCAGCGATTTCCCTGGGCTTAACCCTCAGGGGAGGGAGGCAGTGCGTGGGGGGAGTTAGACATGTTCTGGCTTCTGTTCAGGGTGCCAGTCACATGTTTGATTTTGGGGAAAAATCACCATGTTGCCTTATGATGTTATATTAAACTTTTTGAAAGTTTGATCCCAGTGGCTCTGGGAGGCTTAGACAGGAGAATTGTGAGTTCAAACCCAGTCTCAGCAAAAGCGAGGCGCTAAGCAACTCAGTGAGGCCCTGTTTCTAAATAAAATACAGAATAATGCATTTTGTATAGGGTACAAAATAGGGCTGTGGCTCATTGGTCAAGTGCCCCTGAGTTCAATCCTTGGTACCAAAAAAAAAAAAAAAAAAAAAAAAAAGGTCCTAAAATGGGGGATTCTGGATTATTGGTCGAACCCCATGTCATCTCCTTCAAGGGAGAGCGGGAAATAAGTGGACTAAAGACAGAGACAGACGAAGATGTTGCTCTGTTGGCTTTGACAATGGAGGTAGGAGCCAAGCCAAAGAACTTTGGTGGCTCTAGAAGTTGGAAGCAGGTTCTCCCAGAGCCCCTGGGAGGACCGCAGGCTGGAGTGAGACCTTCTGACCTCCAGAACTCTAAAATAATAATTATCATCTCGGGGCAGTGTGGTGGTCGTGGCTCATTACAACAGCGATGGAGAGAGAAGGCGTCACCGTGTCCCTTGGCAGCCTGCCAGCTACTGCTCAGAGGCTCCCTTTTCAGCCTCGTTGCCTCACGCTCACTGCAGACTCTCTGCTCACTGCAGACTCTCTGGCTGGGAAGGTTCCCAGGTCTTCCTCCTCACAAACAGCATCCCACTGGGCCCTCTCCAGGCCACCTCTGAGTGTAAGCAAGCTTGTCTGGGGGGTGGTCCTCAAGCTGCAGGGTGTAGCCCATGGCACAGGCAGTTAGAACCCCAGGATGAAGAATGAAATAGAACAGGAAAAAGAAACGGTGTTTGGGTTTGATCCCCAGCATTGTAACCAAACCAATAAAAAAAGAAACAAAAAGACTCAACACGCATCTCCCTGGTAATGTTCATGTTGGCATCTGCTTCCTTAAAGGTGGGGGAAGGGCCAGTGCTTCTCCATGAGAGGGTGTGACATCACATTGTTGGCAGGAGGTTTCAGGTTTGTGGAGGACACTCTTTCTACAGAGGGCCAGATAATAAACTTCTACACACATGCCATAGGCAATGTGCAAATGAATGGATGTGGCTGTGTCCCAATAAAGCTTTAATTATAACAATGGGTCACAGGCTGGGCTTGGCCCCAAGGCCTCCTACTTGGTTGACCTTGGTAACATTCCAAGGCCCAGCCAGGAGTGAAGAAGCCCTGGCTCCTGGTGAGGCAGTAGTGCCCCCTGGAGAATGATCACACATTTTCTCCATGTGCTCCTGAGAAAGGGACCCCCCTCAGGACCACCAGGATAAATACTCAAGAATTTTCTTGTTAAACTAAAGGGGATCTTTGACACCCTCCTTTCCTCTTACATGACAGTTTAAGAAAATCTAGAATTAGAAACTTTTTTTTTTTTTTTGGTACTGAGGATGGAACCAAGGGGCCCTCATCCATTGAGCCACAGCCCCAGTCCTTTTAAATATTTTATTTAGAGACAGGGTCTTGCTAAGTTTCTGAAGTTGGCTTTGAACTCAGATCCTCCTGCGTCAGCCTCCATAGTCTCTGGGATTACAGGTGTGTGCCACCACACCTGGCTAGAGTTAGAAACTTTTTGCCTAATTTAAAGCAAGAAAATAATGCAAATTGAGAAAAATTTAAAGCATGTAAATCATTATAAATAAAACAAATGTCCACTCACCATGTGGCTTCAGGTGAAAGCAAAAGAAACTGCCAACATGCAGTTTTGTGTTGGTTTGTTTATGCAGTGCTGGGGAATAAACCCAGGGACACTCTGCCACTGAGCTACATCTCCCAGCCTTTACTTTGCCCAGACTGGCCTCCAACTTGATCCTTCTGCCTTCGCCTCCTGAGTCACTGGGATTACAGCGCCACCATGTCCCACATGCAGCTGTTTCTGATGTACCAAATGGCAAGTTCACAGGATTCTACCTAGGCCTTTTTCCTGGAATAGTTCATGTACTTTTGTGAAACTGCTCTGGCCTCTCTCAGCCTAGGAGTTTCAGCCCCTAGGACAGGCCTTCCCTCAGGGGAGGCCACCTCTTCATAAAGCCATCCATTTTGCCAGAAAACAGTGCACCCACTGCATGAAGTCTCACATAACCACCTACAAGTGCCCCAACACCCCATTGTTGTGATTTCCTTCCACCTGTGGGTGGGGGTGGTAATGCTACCCATCCCCCACTCTAAATGCAAACTCCACATGGACAGGAACTTTTGTCTGTTTTACCAACCTTTGTGTCCCCAGCACCTAGCCTCTGCAGGTGCTCAGGAAGTATACAGTTGACCCTCCATATCCACAGGTTCCACATCCTCAGATTCACCCAACCATGGATCAAAATATTTGAAAATAACTTGTGTACTGAACATATAGACCTTTTTTTTTTGTCAATTCCTAAACAACACAAAACAATTTACATAGCATTTACACGTATTAGGTGTGTCACCTACGATTTAAAGTAGATGGGAAGATGTAGAGGTTATGTGCAAATACTAAGCAATTGAATATAAGGGACTCAGCAGCTGAGGATTTTGGTATCCTGGAACCAATCCCCAGGGCAACGGTATGATAAGTGAACGCCTGAATCCACTTGGTGACCTAGACACTTGTCACACCTTCCCTAGGATATGCACCTCCCATCCCATCAAAACCATCCATCACCACCACCTGCCCATCACTCCTCGGAAACCTCTCTGGACCAGCCAGAGTTCTCCACAGCCATCAGTGCTTCCTCCTTCATGAAACACCCTTCTCCCTTCCTTCAACCTAGTCCACTCTTACTCATCCTTCAACTGCAGAACCAGCACCACCTCCTCCAGGAAGCCCTCCCTGACTATCTTTGGTCTAGGACAAATTCCATCACACACCAAGGTGATGGTTTGATTGATGCTGTCTGTTCTGTACACTCCTCAGAAAACCCCAGCATTGAAGATATATACCCTGCACTTAGCAAGTGCTCAAAACAATTCTCTTGGACAAAGAGGCTTGTGCCTAGAACCAGGAGATCTTTAGGGTGCTGGTATGTTCAACTCACATACTGACTGAAGTAAAGACAGAGGGAAGGGAAGACCATGGCTATAAGAAGCATGACTTTGCAGTCATACAGTGGAGTCCCAATTCTGGTTCTCCCTCTTAGCAGCTGTGCTATCTTAGGAAAGTCCTTTGACCATTCTATGCCTGAGTTTCCTCATCTGGAAATTGTGGCTGAAATAATATTGGCCTCACAGACAGAGTTAAATAATGTAGAAAAGGGGTGAGTACCTACCCAACACTTGAAAAGCAGTAGCCACTATTTTCAATACATTTTTTTTTCTTCTTCTAAAAGTACTTTTATTTGTGCTCTCCTTGCCCCCTTTACTCTTGATCTTACAGGTTTTAAATATCTCTATGTTTTCAAAGGCTGGAGGGTGTTGGGAAAGGTTGAGCAATCCTGACCTAGAGAGGGAAGTGCCCAGAGGTGAGGGAGAGGGATTGGCAGTTGGACAGCTAGAGCAGCAGGGAGACTTGGAGGGGGGTCACTGTGCAACTTTTGGAAAGAGGGGAGGAATGGCCAGGAAGAAACCCCGTTTCCTGGACCCCAGGCTGCAGGCTCCTTTCCAGCCTCCCAACTCTCCTCCATTCTGTCTACCACGTGGCTGAGAGGGATTTTGCTACACCCAGAGCTGATCTTGCTCACAGCTTTCTGGGGCTCCCTGGCACCCCCAGGATAAAATCTCAGCCACTGGACTCAGCCCTGCCACGTCCAGGCCTTGAAGACATTCCTCACTTCTTGCCTCTTCTTACACTATTTGAGTCTCAGACCTTGGCTCAGGGACCGTGACACAGAAGAGACCCTGCTTCAAGCAGTTGGGGGTAGGTGTAAGAGCTCAGAAATGATTGATAGGTCCAAGTCACTGACCCCTCTTGAGCTTCCCACCCCATGGTCCAGCTGGTCACCAGGCCCATACCCAAGGCACTGTCCTCACCTACTCTATAGCCCTGTCTGTCCTGCCCAGGGCTCTGATAATCATTGGGACATTACCTGTACATACTAAGCACCGTGTACTTAATTAAGTCAAACACTGTGCATACATAAAGATTTTTAAGTCCTTCAAGGTTCCAATTACTGGTCACCTCTTATAGAAAGCCTTCTACAAACCATCCTGTAAGCTTTCAGGTAAAGTTGACCACATTCTTTTTGTCCTATTCAATCTTACTCTCGGAACTATGGGCCACTACTTCCATTTACTTATTTAGTCTTCTCCATCAGATTCTGAGCAGTTCAGGGGCCTAGCTAGCTCTGGGTTCCAAATTTCCAGCAAAAGGTGTGCACACAGTAAGTGCTCAATAAATATATTACATTGAATTGGACCCTGTTAGTGATTCCTGATTAGGCCTGAGCTTCTTGCAAGCCCATGTTCTAGACTGCTGTGTGATGTGTTGAACGTACCAGCACCCTAAAGATCTCTTGGTTCTAGGCACAAGCTGTAGGAGGACTAAGCAGGATGGACACTGTTCTGCTTTCGGCCTGAGTCTCTCCTTCTAGAATAAAGAGAACTAGAGAACAGTAAACCCACAACAAATGTTTAAATAACTGTGGGCGAGGAAAGCTGTGGAGTGCTCCTTTTGTATTGGATGCGCTTCTGAACAATTAACATCCATCAGCTCACTCAATCCTCACCAAACCTATCAGACTCCTCCATCTTCCAAGTGAGGTAACTGAGCCAGAAAGGTGAAGTCACATGCTCAACAGCACTGACTCATCCTCCACAGAGGGAACAGTTCATTCTGCGCTCTTGACTCTTGTTACGGCCATCATTTAACCAGCTGCCCTGGGTCCTGGGGCAGTGCCCTTCTCCTGCACAATCTCACGGCATCCTTACACAGCCCTCAGAGGCAGATACTATAACAACCCCATTTCAGGGCCGAGGAAACTGAGGCATGGAGATGTGAAGTCCATTGCCCAAAGACCTGTCTAGTAGGCAGCAGAGCTGGCCTCAGGCAGCCTGAGGCATAGCCTGTGTTCTTAAAGCACACCACTCTTATCTATGGCTCCACAACCCAGGATCTCAAACTCACACACCTGCAGAGGCCAAGCAGGTAGGATAAGGAAAGTGTGAGCACTGAACATGAAGCAGCAGAGCCACAGGGTCTGGCACAAACCTGAGCACCAAAGCTCTAAAGAAGAGATGGCCGTTAGCTCCCTTTCCTGTCCAAGGGAATCTAGAAACTCGGCTTGAGTTAAATGAGCTATTTAAATGTGGATCAATGAGAACATCCCTGGCCCTGGTGAGAACTGGCTTCCCAGGATTGTTCTCCTGCCCCTCCTTGTCATATTTCACAGCTGTAGGGAGCTACCTGTGAGCTTGATGTACATCTACCTGTCCAGTCTGAAAGTTCTAGAAGGACAGGGATTTTGCTCAATGCCCCCATCCCCACCCGACTTAACTATTGTATTCTCTTGACAGAGGAATCTTTAGGTCTTGCGGCTTTCCCTACAATTTGGTCTCTTACTCTTTCTCTCTGTGTGCTAAACATGGCTCTCTTTCTCTGGCTTGCTCTGAAGTCTCTGTAATTTTCTTTTCCTGTCTTTTGGTTGTGCCTCCCTCTGTTAAAGTCTATAAATTGGGCTCCATCTCCATCTTAGTTAAGCGTCCTTCCTTGACTCGCAGTCTCTGGGTATTTAGCAGCCTCAGACTGGCTCTCTCCCTCACATGTCTGGGTGCGGGACTCCCTGCCCTTCCCCCCCTTGTGTCCCTCCCCCTGCCCAGCAGCAGCTCAGGCTCACGCACCATGCTGCGGGCTGGTTGGCTGCACGCATGTCCTTGCACACCAGTAGCACGTAGCTGTACTTGAGCACGTGGATGAGCCTGTACAGTGGGGGCGCGCTGGCCCAAGGGCTGCGTGCCACATGAGTGGAGCTCTTGACTGAAAAGACGACCAGCCGCTGCTGGCACCATTTGTCGAAGAAGCGGCTGAACTCAGCCCAGGAGAAGAAGGCTCGCTCCAGCAGCTCCTGCTCTTCCTTCCCGGCAGCTGGGCTGGGTTGGGGCTCCAGCAGTTCCATCCTGGGGCCCTGAGTGGAAAGGGGGAGTAGTGCTATACATCAGAACCATCCCCACCCAGGGTATCTCATATCCTTAGCCTACCTCCCCCGTCTGTGATGGTACCTCTACTTGTAGGGACCCCAGCTGGAACCAAGATTTTTTTCTCTAGTTACGAATCTCCACCCCATCTTTCTTCTCTCCTTAACCCATTTCCCCCTGGCTCACTGGAACTTATTCTAACTGTGGTAAGGTTCAGTTGGGCTACTTCTCCCAATATGGCCCTTAAGCTCAACTGCAGATGACTCTTTATTTTCTGAACTTCAGACAAGGTTTCTTTCCCTTGGCATATGTCTCCTACCCTTGGCAATAATCTGAGTGTCCCATTCATCTGCAACTCCCCTTTTCAGGTGCCTACACTTGGCTATCCATGCCCCTGTCTGCAGATGCTCCATCTCCAGATGTGCTTCCCATATCCAAGCACGGACCTCTCATCCTCAGGCATATTCTTCATGCACCTGTGGCTCCCTCCTCCCCAGATAGATCTCCCATATGCAGCAGTTGCCTTTCCCCCAGATGTGACCCTATGAATCATCACATTCAGCTGTGGCTGCTGCTTCCCAGAGATGCTCTCATGTCCAGATGTGCTCCCCACGTTCAGTCTCGGACCCTTTGCCTACAGGTGTGTGGCCCACTTGTGGACAATCCAACTCTGAGGTATTGGTGATACCTCCTCCTAAGATGTATGCCCTATAGGTCAAGTTGCGGCCCCTTCCTCCCAGCTAGAGCCACCGTCCTTTCCAATGTGCTTCTGGTTTCAAGACAGGGCCCCTGGTCCTCGGACCGGCTCTTCACCCCAGATGCTCCCCCACGCCCGGCGTCTTCCCCTCCCTCCTACACCTCCCTCCAGCCTTCTCCCGCCTCCCCAAGCGCTCCTAGTCCCGCTCGCCGCGGCCCCTCCCGCCCCGCCGTCCCTCCCAGCGGCGCTTCTCGGCTCCCCCAGATGTGCACCCTTCCCGCCCCCCCAACTCACCTACCCAACCCCGAGCGGCGTCCACCTCCCACAATGCCCCGCGCCGAAGCCCGGCCCGGCCCTCGCTCCCGGGATGCCCCGCGCGGCCTCTCGCCTCACTTCCCGCCGTACCCGGCGCGGCGGCTTCCTCCGAAAGGAAAATCCCCTTTTCCCGCCAGTCACCCCGGGGGCCTGCAGCCACACCCGCTCATTCAGGAGAGGGCAGGCTCGGGCCGGCTCGGGCCGCTTCCCAGCAGGCTGTGCGCGAGGGCTTGCCCGGCTTCACCCTCCTTTCCAGGCTGCCTCACGATGAGGAGACTACGACTCCCGGCGTCCTCCGTGCGGCGCCGGCGGCGCTGGCGGCACCCAGGCCCCGCCCCCACGGCCCCGCCCCGCCCCGCCCGCCGAGTTCTGCGCGCGAATTCCGTGGCGCGAACTTGGGACTGTAGGGTACGCGGCGCCGAGCTGAGCGTGGCGTCCGGGGGAGCGGCGCGCGGAGCGGCGCGAGGTAAGTGGGGCCACTGGGTTGGGGCTGGGGCGACGAGCGTGCCGCACGCTCCGGACCCATGGCTTCGTCGGGTTGGGGTGGCAGGCCAAGGAACGGGTGCGAGGACGCTGAGGCGGCCGGGAGCGCAGTGGAGAAGGGAGCGCGCCGGCAGCAGGCTACCGGCCGCCGGCAGGAGAGGGGCAGGTGGCGGGGACGGGGGATGAGGACCCGGCCAGCTGGGCGCCCCTGAGTCTGCCTAGGGGCGGGGACGGGGAAGGGCTCGCGCGGGCGTGGTCAGTGGGAAGAGCCGGGGAGGCGGGGCCGCCTGGAGGCCCTGGGCTGCGGGTCGGGGATAGGCCCGGCGGCTGGCTCGGCGCGCGGCGTTCGCGGGACGCGCGGGGCGGGGATGGGGAGGCGGGAGAATAAGGGTGAGGTCCGGGTGGAGGCCTCGGGCCCGCTGAAGGGGTTCGAGGGCTGGCCTGTGTGTACCTGGGCCCGGGCGGAGTAGGAAGCGGGCCTGGAACAGGTGGGCCGCAGAGGCGGGGCCCCGGAGCCCGGGAGTCGGGGCTCGCCGTTGCCCTGGCGGAGAGCCTGGGGAGGGAACCGGGACTCGCGGAGGGGCCACGGCAAGGAGTTGGCAAAGGAAGAGGGACATTTGGAGAGCGGGCCTGGCATCTGAAAAAGCAAAGCTCCTGGGMGAGAGGGCGTCAGTTAGCGAAGCGGGAACTGGAAAATGGGATTAGGGCCACTCCTTGCCTTCCACCCCAATTTCTGCTTACCTGAGAAGCAGGAGGGCTTGAGGGAAGTTTGGGAAGGTCAAATGTAAGAAAGGGCTCCTTGATTTCCTTGTCTTATTCCCCATGAGCCCTGGGGCTGCAGCGTCCCACTGTGATTAAAGTGCGGGAATGTCACTGTGTGTGTGGGGGGGTGGCTATTCCTGGGCCGGGCAGTCACTGAAGGCCACCGGGAGGGGGTGGCTTATAAGGACAGAGCTTCCTGAAGCTAGGACGTGATTCTGCAGACAGTCTAGTCTTGGGATAGGAGCTGTGGGTGATTCTGAGGAGCCGTGCGCAGCCAGCTTGGTTGCAGCAAAGGACCCGAGGAGCTGAGGCTTGGGAGCCCCCAAGCCGGAGGTAGGGAGGGGATCCGGTTACCTGCTGACTGGCTGAATGAACTTGGGAGCTTATGCTAAGTGCGATGGGAGGAGAGAGGACCCTGCTGGCCTAACCTGGGTCTTAGTGGAGTGGCCAGCCATGGTTGATTGGGTTTGTCCTTTGGAAGTACAGCCAATGAGACTCGTTAGTACACGAATTTGGGGTGTGATAGAAAGCATTAGTTAGCAGGAACTCCAGGGTTTTAAAAAATGTCTTTAAAAGTATTACATACAGTAAAGTGTACTCATTGCTGTGAATATTTTGCTGTGTATTTTGAAGTAGGAGTGGAGTCATGTAACTACCATGATCAACTTTCAGTTCTTTTACCCCTAAAAATTGCCTTGCACCCCCTTTGCAGTGCATCCTTCCCCCAGCAACCACTGCTTTGTCTTATCCCTGAGGTGTAACCAGAGTTCGTTGCTTTTTATGGCTCAGTGCTATAAAGGAACTTCAGTACACCGACTGTGGAATACTGCTCTGCAGGCAGGAAAGAGCCTTTTCTAACATATATACCAGTCATCTTTTACCCAAAGGACACTCAACTTGTTGCCAGAATTTGATGATTGATCTTGGACAGAGCTGCTATAAACTTTCCCCCAATAACTGCTGGTGGCAGGCAGCCAGAGCCAACTCGGTTGTAGTTGTGTAGGTGGCTTGTGGTGTGGAAGCTTGCCTTTCTCCTGGCTGCTTCCATTTTCTCAGCTGAATGAGGGTAGAGGGGGAGTTGCCAAGTGGGAAAGCAGGTGTGTGGGTGAGCAGGAGAGTTGATGGGCTAGAGAAATGTCCGGAAGTTCCAAGGGATGCTGTGGGATCCTGTAGGTGCAGGAACAGAGTATGTGGACAGTGGGTTGAATCTGCTTTGTGGTGTTTGTTGCCAGCTAAGTGACAAAGTGAGGGGGGGGAGGCGGCAGGAGCACCAGGATGGGGCAGGGCCCCTGTGAAGAGGGAGTATATCTACCAGGTGTGCAGGCAGGAGCTGAGTTCCTATAGGAATTTGGCTGGAAGATGTGGTGCTGGAGAATGGGGTGTGACAGAAAGCATTGGTTAGCAGGAATTGAGACAGATAAGGTCAACATCAGTGAATAAGTGGTGTTTAATGTCAGGCACTGAGTCCTTAGCTGGGAATTAAGAGGTTTTGGTTGAGTTTATTGATTGGCTTATTTGTTCATTTCTTCATTTCTCCCCCTGCATGTGTCTGTCCTTCCTTGGACTGTGAATTCTTTTTCTTCCCTACTTTTTGCAGAGGGAAGAGCCTGGATGAAGTGAGGGAGACCAAAAGTAGAAAAGTTATTCGGGTCTGGGATTCATTAGTTTTTAGATTAGTGTTCAGGGACCCCTGTTTCTTTTTCTTTTTCTACATTTTTTATTGTGTTCAAATAGGTGTACAAATTGATGGGATTTGTTATTACATGTTTTTATATGCACCCAATATAACAATATAATTTGGTCAGTATTGCTTCCTAGCATTTCACCCTCCCTCCCTACCTTCCACCCCTTGGTGGGGACCCCATTTATTATGAAATATCCCACCAGTTTCTAGTCTTTTCTCATTACAGGTAGTGCTGAAGAGAGGAACTCTGCTCACAAGACTTGGCCCACATGTGCATGTCTCTCTTGGCGTTGCCATTCTGATGGTGAGGACAGGAAACTCTCTAGTGAAGTTGGCCAGCTTGTCACCCACCAGCCCAGCAATATGAGGCCAACTTTTAAAATCCCCAGGGTAAAGAAGAAGGAGCTTGGGCTCTTAGCCAGCCACACCTGGGTTCCAGGTCCTGCTGAAGCACCAGTTATGTCTCTCTGTCCTCAGTACCTTCATGTGGAAAGTGGAGCTGATCATACCTCTTTAAAGAGCTGACTTGAGTATTGGTTGGGAATGTAACCAGTTTGTCAGATGTTGAGTTAGCCTCCAGGTCAGTGGCAAGCTCTTCCTTCCTCCTTTGCACCTCAGCCTGTGGTTGAGAGGTGAGCCATGGAGAAGGCAGGTCTGGGTGGAAAGTACTTGGTCTGGGTTGAGTCCGTGTACCTCTCTGTACCTCAGTTTCCTCATTGATATTAGGGTTGCTGTGGAGATTGAATAAGATAATGCAAAGTTCCTGCAGGGAGGCACTCAGCAGGGATCAGAGTCATCAGTGTGCCTTTCTCTTTCCTCAGGGTTTTGGTGGCTGATTCCTAATCTCCTTTCTTTGTGAACAGTTCTAGGGGGAGTTTGGCTCACTTCTTGCTTCCCAAATCGCCTTAAGGAGCCCTGTTTAGAAATTAATATGTTTTCTGATTCCAAAATTTGAGTCTGAGTTCCTGGAGCCAGGACTGTACTGGGTGAGGCTGTGGGAAACGGGCAGACATGAGGCAAGTGTCACTGTGCCGACAGAGCGTTATCCAGGGTGCTAGAGTAATTCCAGCTGTCCACTCAGAGATCCTGCTGCTACTTCTTGCTTTATTGCCAGTATTGATAAGGCTCAGTTCCACTTGCAAGTTGGTAAAAATAAAGTTATGATTTATTTTTCATCACATTTCATAGACCTCTTGAATTGTATTCTTGGACTCCTGTGTAATGGGAATATTCTGTGGACACCAGATTAAGAACCTTTCTTTAGGGTTGCTCTATAGAAACCCTAATGACTTACGGTTTCATTAAACAATAGATTTATATTTAGAAATACTTAAGTTTTAAAATGACATTTTGTAATGTATTCGGGTGGCCTTGCACACAAAAGGGTACACAGTAAACAGTCTCCCTCAGTGACTTCCCCCCAAGATTGGCCCCCAAGAGCGTAGCATTGCCCATTGCTTTCTCCCAGCAGACACGTTCTGTGCATGTAGAATCAAAGACACACTCTTCCTTTGTTTATATCATGTTACATATTCTTCCTTTTTTATTATTATTATTATTATTATTTTTTTTTATATTTATACTTTTTTTAGTTCTCGGCAGACACAACATCTTTATTGGTATATGGTGCTGAGGATCGAACCCGGGCCGCACGCATGCCAGGCGAGCGCGCTACCGCTGAGCCACATCCCCAGCGCCCCTTTTTTATTATTTTTTAATTCTAATTTATTATATACGTCAGCAGAATGCATTACAATTCATATTATACATTCTGCTTTTCTTACTGTCTGTGGTGTCTTGCCCTTCATTTCTATTAACATGTCTTAAAAATTGCTAAACAGCTGGGTTTTGTAGACCAGTAGATACAATTTTATGAACTATATTTCACAGTCAATAACACCTAAAACCAATTTTTCTCTAACCTTAAAACTTTCAAAGAAAGGAAAAAACTCCTCAGGTCTTCAGTGAATTAGTTGAGAAACAGGCTCCATTTGGTAAAGGAGGAATCTTCCCTTTTTCTCTGATGTACATTTATTCTTCACCAATAAATCTTATTAGCAAATCCGTTTTGGTTCATAAAAATGGGAGTTTCTTCTTGAATAGGAGACTCCTGTTTCTGAAAGTGGTTTTGTTCTTTTTTTTTTTTTTTTCCCCTGAGGAAGGGTTTTTTTGTGTTTTGGCTTCTGCACAACCAGTATCTTCAATAAGTCTTCGGATTTCTGTTTCAGGAACAGCTGACGAGAAAAAAGAGGAAGTGAGATTTAAAGACCATCATGCAGCGAAGTATCAGGTAAGGACCCTGCCATCCCCCTTATGTTCCCCAAACCCCTAGCTTTTTGTTCCAGATGTGGCCTTTTCTTAGAAAACTCCAAAAGTAGATTTCATGTCGTAATTCCCAAGAGTTGGCTAGGAGGGAGAATGGGGAAGGGAGTATTTGAGATAGGAATGTATTAACCAAAACTCCTTTTGATTGCAGGGCAGAATCCCTAACCCAAGGGTCCTCAGGCAGCAGTGCTGTTGCCCCCAGGGAACGTCTGGTTATCACAGCTTGGGGTGGGCGGTCTGCACGGGCACCTCATGGGCTGGAGTCAGTATGCACCAAGCATCCTGTGCTGCATAGGAAAGAGCCCCATAGGAGAACCCCGTGGTGAAACATGGACTGGCCTCAAATGGCAGTAGTGCTAGGCTGAGAAACCTTATAGTAATTAATGCAGGTGGGTTTTGGGAAAGAAAGGGGACTGTATGACTTAACTAAGTGAAACCTCAAGTAAATGGCCTTAGGCTTAATGGGATCCATTTGCCAAAGCTTTGTCACTCGGACCCTGTCTCTTGTTCAGCTCTGCAATCTTTGATGATATTGTTACTCAGGCAGGCTTGTCCTGTATTAACAATCCCAGAGGAAAGAGAATTTCTCTCTCCCAGCTGTTCCAACAATATATAGTCAAGTTTCAGGGGCTACATCCTGAGCATCCACTGTGGTCACAGGCATGCGATGCATGATTGGCCAAGCCTGGGGTATGTGTCAGTGTGTGGCTGTAGGTGAAAGGTCAGCCCTACTTTTATCATGTGAGCTGAGAGAATTCTGGGGGAAGAGACATCCCAAGAGGAAAATGGAGGGGCTGTTACCAGAAGCAGGAAATGGATGCTAGACAGACCCAGACCTGGACAGCTGCTGGAGAATCTGGGAGTCAGTGGCTCACATGGATTCCAGGTTGCATTTTTTCCATGTGATGAGGAATTTGGGGATAGTCGGTCCTGGGCTGACAACACCTTCAATTGCTTTATGTTCTCTTGCTTTGCTTCCTTTTCTTTCTTCCTTCCTTCCTTTTCTTTTTCTCCCTTTCCTTTTTAGGTTAAAAAAAAAATCTGTGCTGGGTTGGAAAGGGTATCAGAAGTTGTAGGGCACAGCACAGATAGGAGGGGTATTGGTGCTGTTATCATTTCCCATTTTCCCCCTTTGTGTTCTTCTAGGTCATTTTTCTACCCCACAAAAGAGGGTAAAGCAAAGAAACCTGAGAAAGAGACAACCAACAGCAGCAGAGAGACGGAGCCCCCTCCAAAGTATGTATAGGGACCAGGATGTGGGCTCTTCCCTCAGTGATCATGGTTCTCTGGGTTGCAAGTGTTATAAATCTCATTCAAAATATCTCCGACTCCAAAAGGAAAATTTTTTACTCATGTAGCTGGAAGTCATAAGGCAGGTCCAATTTCATGCACAGCTGGATCCAGGCCCTCAGAGTTGTCTTTAGGGCTCTGTTTCTACATGTCTTGGCTTCATTCTAGACTAGGCTTTTCTACAAGGTCATGGTCTTAGGGAAGTCCTTGCCTGGGTCACCCGACCACCCTTGGGCCAGTCAGCTTGGTAGAGCATGTACTTGAGCCAGATTTAGTTCCTGTCCCTCATTTGGGACCCTGGGTAGGTTTACTTCCTGTGCCCCAATTTCTTCACTGTGAAAGAATATCTAATCTACACCAGGCTGTTGGATTCCGTGAGTGAACAGATGTGCATTTTGTAGAACGATGCTTCATTCATAAAAGGTACTCAATAAGTGGCCAGTATCAAGTAATGAATTTTTTCCAACATCTTGGATTTTCAGATCTGGCCCTTCAATGTACACATTGCTGTAGTTATAGTCACACTTGGTTTATTTAATTTGAAAAACCAAATTATACTTGCGCCTTTAGTTAGCATCGTGACAGAGGTTTTTTCTGCTCAGGAGCACAGGTGCACCTTAATTCTTTCACCCTCTACTTGTGCCCCATTTTGTTGATGGTCTATAGACTGTTAAGCATGCCCCTACTGCTGGGTGTTTTGGTTGTTTCCAATTGGTTGTAACAAGTCTGTGCTACAGGGAGGAGTCTGTACAGGGAGGAGATAGCCACATGTGGAGTTATACATGGCAATTATAAAAACATCAACTCAGAGAAGTAGAAAAAGCAAAAATTTAAACATCTTCCAGTGTTCACTTCCCAGTTTGAGGTAATACATCTGACACAGTTATTGGCATGTAGTAGGCATTAAGTAAATACTCCTTGGGTGAATAAGCATCCCCTGTACTAACAGGAACTGTCTGCTCACTTGAATAGCTGGCACGATGCCTGTTGTAATAGATTGGCGGCAATACAAATGCCTTTAGTAGGTTTTAAAATATCAAAGTAGGGCTATTGTGTATGCATACTGCTTGCATATTATTGGCAAACACTAATTTTTCTTTACATTTCCACATTCACCTTTCAGAAAATAACTATTGAGTATCTAGTGTGTTCTAGACCCTGTGAGTTCAGTGGTGAACAAGATGGATGACCATCCCTCTCATGGGCTCACAGCTGATTTTATTTTTTCCCTCATTAAAAAAGCCATAGAGAGGTCTCTTGGCATTGCATATGAATCTATAGCATTCTTTGACACAGTGTTCCATAAAGTGAGTGTCCACAATGGTAAGCAGGGACTTGGCGGTATAAATGCTGGGCTCTCTGTTCAGTCTGTGAGCTCTGTGTGCAGAAGCTTGGAGGCAAAGGCCATGTTCTTAGTGCCTGCATGACCTCTGTCAGCATACATGGCCCCTGCATTGTGGTGGACCGTGTCTGTCACCTTCACAGATTTGGAGCATGTCAGGGAGGTTGGGCTGCTTTAACACTAACCAGAGTCACTATGAGTTACTTAAAGTACATGTTACCCTTCTCTTGTAGGAGACCCTGAGCTGTGGGCAGTGTAGAGCAGGTGGGTGGCCCAGTATCCCAGGCTGTCCTGAGGGCTCAGGCCGCTACCCTCATCTGCATTGTCAGTGAGTGGGCAGGTCAGTTCCGGGGTGTAGCAGAGTAGGGAGCTGGCAGTAAGGAGCAAGTTGTTTGCCTCTGCTGTGCCACCTGTATTCTGATGGTCAGAACTTGTCACTTTCCCATACCTAGCTGCAGGGGTAGCTGGGGAGAGTCCTTGGTTGGGTGGCCATGAGCCTTGCAGAAACTCAGTGGCTTGTGTTGAATAAGAGAGACCATCTTCCAGGGGATGTTGAAAGCCAGCCCTGCCCTTGCCTCTCAGTATGGCCCGTCACAGGGCAGGTGTCATGACATATGACTAAACTGGTCAGGGTCACTCCAAGTGAATTTGGGGACACAGACACTGAAAGTACCTTTTCTTTGGGTTCATTGACCAGTCCTCAGCTGCAGCTCCCACAGGGGGAGGCAAGCAAGCAAGAAAGAGCATGCCTCAAACCCAGGTTTTATTGGGGAGAAGCCATTCAAATGAGGCAAAGGGTCAGGTTTCAGGGGGTTGAGTCTAGCTTTGTGAGGTCTTGCTGTCAGCAGGTTGACTGGCATCTTGGACGGCCACACCCATCTCTCATGCTGTGTGATGATCAAAGGCAGAGTGAGCAACACCTACGTGCACAGCCCAGGCAGAGCAGCAGCATCAGTCCTGTCCGCTTTGTGCGCTCAAAATGCTCACAGCTCACACACAGCTTGTGGCTGGCTCATCACAGGCGGGCACTAAGGGGCCTCTGGAGTCCTGGGACAGAGGGGTGAGTGGATGATAGGGAGTGTGTGCCAAGGAGGCACCTAGAAAGTGTCCCCTGAGAGCTTGGAAGGCAGAAAGGAGAAGTACAGTGAGGCAGCTAGAGCTTTGGGGGTAGTGCTGCCACACTGTCTAAGGCCCACATGGCCCTGTTTTCCAGAGTGGCACTGAAGGAGCGGAATGGAGTGCTGCCTGAGAGTGACTCACCAGTGAAGAGGCCAGGGAGGAAGGTGGCCCGGGTCCTGAGCAGTGAGGGAGAGGAGGAGGATGAAGCCCTCACCCCACCTTGTGGCCAGGTAGGTTCCCCATCAGCCTGTCCATTTGCACCAGAACCCTAATTCCCATTTGCTTGTGGACCTGGGATGTTCCCTTAGAGCAGGGCAGGTGCTCTGGTTATGCCCTGGAACACAGAGCGGTGGGCATCAGCACGGCAGGCCACCAAATGCAGTCCTTTGGCTCGTGACCAGCCAGCGGGAAGGAGGCTGGAGATGTGGATTCAGTTTGGGCCATCTGTGCAAAGCTGAACGGCAAATTCTACTGCTTAAATAGCATTGTTAATGGGTTTTTGGTGGGGAGAATCTGGCACCAAATGGAGAGATGGCCCAGGTGGGACAGGTGCCTGGACTGAGGCCAGGACTGTGGGCCAGGAAGGAGGGTAGGCACAGCCCCAGCTGCTCTCAGATGTTAGGAACTGAGATCACCAGGTGGTCCCTCCTGCCTCCCCTCATCTAGAACTTTTTTTTTTTCCTTCCCAGAAGCCTGTGCAAGACTCCCCCCAAGGCTCTCCTCCCAGTCCTGCCCTGTCTTCTGGGAATAGCCCCTCCGTCTCCAACACCTCCCTTGCAGACACCTCCCCGTCGGGGATCCCAAAGCGTCTCACAGGTAAGGACATCTGGGCCCCTGCCTTTTCAGTTGCTATCTCCCTGCTGGGGTTTCTGTGCCAGGCAGCCATCCTTCTTTTAGCACGCCCTGATCTCAGCACTGTGGTAAAAGCACGGCCTCACCGTTCACTGGCTGCGTGACCTTGAGCAGTGATTTACCTTCACAGAGCCTTAGTCACTTGATCTAAAGGTGATGGCACAAGAGTCCAGGGGTTAGAGGTTAGTAGTATAAAGTGCTGGGACCCGGCCCTGCCCACAGGAGCCCTCAGTGGACGTTGGTCATGTGCAGTGATGAAAGCTGCAGAGCTCAGGGAGACTTCTAGAAGACGTGCCCAGAAGGGCAAAGAGGAGTCAGCTGGGAAAGGAGGAGGGAAGAGCATGCATTGGCAGGTCCTTGGGGCTACTGGGGTCGGGTGCCTGCACTGGGAGCGCAGGATTGAGGGCTTGGCGTAGAAGGTGGAGGAGGTCTGCACAGCCATCCTGAGGAAGGGCGCCTTTGTCCTGAGGGGAGGGGAAGGAAAGGGGAGGTGCACACCTGACGCAGGAAGCTTGAGCCTGCTGTGCCTGTGGCCTGCTGTGCACTGGAGTGAGGGCAGGGTGACCAAAGGGCTGAAGTGTAATGTTGAGCCATTTTGATTAGATTAACGTTTGGAAGCCAGTCAAGTATCCCTAATCCAAAATTCAAATTCTGTGAAATCAGAAACATTTGAGCATCAAATCAGTTCAACTGGTAAAGTTTATGCAAATAGTAAAAGAGGAAAACTCAAATCTGAGGCGCCTCAAGTCCCAAGCATTTTGGATAAGGGATGATCAGCCATTCTAGGATCAGTTAGTGAAGACTTTGCAGTGTTTTAGCAACAACTTGGATGTGTGGATCTACTGTTGCCACTATAAATTTATGAAATCTAAAATCAGATAAATATTTCTGCTAAGTTTTGTGTCCAAGTTGTGATGTGCAATCAAGGCATCCAGTTTTGAAAACTTAGCTTAAAAAAAGAATGTTGATAGTCTATTATTGCACATGTTGGGATTGTATTTTGGATGTATTGAGTTTAGTAAAATAAGTGGTGAAACTAACTTTACCTGTTTGTTTGTTTGTTTTTTAATGGCTGCTCTGAAGTTTAAGGTCACATATGTGTTCATTGACCAGATGGTCAATGAACCTGGATAGTGCTGTAGTAAAGGGCATGCTGGGAGCTTAGAATTTAGCCGGCCCAGAGGAGGCGACAGCTGAGCTGAGTCTTAGCGGATGGGATAGGGCTGGCCGAGGAAAGACAGGTGGAGAATGTTACAGACAGGAATCTGCACGTGGGAAGGCCTGGTGGGTTTGGAACACCACAGGTTTATCCGTAAGAGAAAGCAGAGTGTGTGGTGCGGAGGAGTGAGGTCAGGAGGAAAGACTCGGGAGGGTGAGTGGACATCAGGAGACCCTATCCTGGGAAAATGGAGAGTGGGATCTGGCAGGGTCCTGAGCAGGGAGGAGCAGCACTGGCATGGCTGATGAAGGTCCTTCTGTATGAAGGAGACCCTGGGGGCCGGGAGTCCAGGGAGGAGCTGATGCAGTGGTCTAGATGGGCCCTGAACTTGAAGACACCTGTGGCTGCCTTTGAGTGAGTGCTTCACCGCGAGTTGTATGTGTTTGGGGTCCCACAGAAGCAGCCTCTGTAGCACTGAGGCGATGTTCAAGTGCAAGGTGTTTTTTGGGGAGGGGCCATCCACAGGGATGACTGGGAAGGTCAGCAGCCACTGGACCTGTGTTACTAGGTTGGTTACTGCGGTAGACAACTGGAGCTTAATTCTGTGTGACACCCGGGAACAGCATATATGTGGGCTTCAGAGTTACCCCCAGGTTCAAGGGAGCTGAGTGGTCATGTACCAGTTCCCATCAGTCACTGGGGCAAGGCCACACCCATGGCCTGTGGATTCCCTGCCACTTCTGGACTTCTGAGGTTCCAAAAAGCCATTTGGAACATATGGAGAGAGTAAAACCACAGGGATGGCAGGTGGGGTGCTGAGAGTACCTGTTGGAGTCAGGTACCAAGCCAAGCATGTCATCTGAGTCTGTTTACTTGTTGGGATCATTTCCAAGTGCTAGAGAGGGAAGCACAGAGAGTCCAAGGGACCTGTTCAAGGACTGGAAGGGTGAGGCCTGCACTAGGGCAGTGGCTGTGGGCAAGTGCAGAAGGGAAGGGGTCCAGACCCTTCCCAGGGCCCTGTCAGTGGGATGTGATCCCTCAAAGGTAGAGACAGGCCAGCAAGTTCAGCCACACTGAGCCCTCTGCCTTCCCAGCTCGGAAGCAGCTCCCGAAACGGTCAATGCAAGATGTCCTGGAAGAGCAGAGTGAAGAAATGGGAAGAGAAGCCAAGAGGAGGAAGGCAGAGGAAGGTGAGGTCCCAGGAGGTGAGAGCACTGTGTGGGTATGTCTGCTCACAAGCATGGTGGGGTCTGGAGGGCAGGGAGGACTGCAGGAAGTCACTGATTTGGTGCCTGTATCCAGGAATCCAAGCATGTCAGTCGGAATTTCACACAGCACAAGAACTTTGCTCTAAGAATCATTTGGAATACTGTTTGGTCCTGTTAACTCAGTACTAATTCATTCATAGTTTCCATTGTTGTCTAGTGTTCTAATATTAATTTTATGGAAAATATTTCTTTTTCCTTGAACATTTTACCATAAAGTAGAGGTTCCCAAACTTTCTTGGTTCACAGTGCCCTTAGTTTCTCAGTAATTTTAAGATATTGCCCCTCGGGCAGTCCCTTAGGAGTTCCATTATTCAGTGGTTGTCTGAACAACTACTAAAAAATAAACACGTTGAAAGAAAACACTGTATTTTCTTTTTAACTGCAGTCATTACTAATAGGAGGTACCCTGGCTACTATACAGCATCTCAGACTGGAGTATAGTATAAAACTGTCCTCATTTCCTATCCCATGTTGGTCTCTGCACAGTATTTGATTTTGTTGTTGTTGTTGTTGTGACTGGGAATTGAACTCAAGACTCGAGCCACATCCCCAGCCTTTTTATTTTGAGGTAAGGTCTCACTAAGTTGTAGAGGCTGACCTTGAATTTGTGTTCCTCTTGCCTAAGACTCCTGAGTTCCTTGGATTGTAAGTGTGCACCACCACACCTGGCTAGTTTGATTTTTATAATAGCACAGCAAAGACCCAAATGTGCAGAGATGCATTTTCATTGAGAGGAATATGATCTCACACAGTTGACCCTTCATATCTGAGAAGGTTGGTTCCTGGACGCCCCTTGGGTACCAAAATCTGCAAATGTACAAGCCTCTTACATAAAATGGTGTGGCCTTTGCATAGGACCTACATACCAGATACAATGTAAATGCTGTATAAATAATTGTTACACTGCTTTTTAGGAAATGACAGTAAGAAAAATGTCTGTACATGTTGAGCACAGACACAGTACTTTTTAAATTTTTTAATTGTTTTTAGTAGTTATACTTGACAGTAGAGTGCATTTATGGGTGTGTGTGTATGTGTGTGTGTGTATATATATATATATATATATATATATATATATACACACATACATGAATTTATGTTCATATATATTTTGTTGTTGAACATACAAGTGTGTATGTATATGTATGTATATATATAAAGTAATACTGTCTCTTTTGTTCTACTGTCCTTCCTATCCCCAGGTCCCCTCCCCTCCCTTTACTTCGCTCCCCTTTACCTAATCTAAGATAACACTATTCTTCTATAGTGATCCCTTTGTTGTGAATTAGCATCCACATATTAGAGAAAACAATCAGCCTTTGGTTTTTTGGGATTGGCTTATTTCTCTTAGCATGATATTCTTCAACTCCATCCATTTACCAGCAAATGCCATAATTTCATTCTTCTTTAAGGCTGAGTAATATTTCACTGTATATATATATATATATATATATATATATATCACATTTTCTTTATCCGTTCATCTATTGCAGGATACCTAGTTTAGTTCCATAGTTTAGCTATTGTGAATTGAGCTGCTGTAAACATTGACATGGCTGCATCACTATAGTGTGCTGATTTTAAGTCCTTTGGGTACAAACCGAGGAATGGGATAGCTGGGTCAAATGGTAGTTCCATTTTGAGTTTTCTGAGGAATCTCCATACTGCTTTCCATAGTGGTTGTACCAATTTGCAGTCCCACCAGCAATGTATGCGTGTACCTTTTTCCTCACATCCTCACCAACTTTTATTGTTGCCTGTATTCTTGATGATTGCCATTCTGGAGTGAGATGAAATCTTAATATAGCTTTTATTTGCATTTCTCTAATTGCTAGAGATGTTGAGGGTTTTTTTTTTTTTTTTTTTTTGTACGAAATTGAACTCACAGGCGCTTGACCACTTAGCCATATCCCCAACCCTAGTTTGTATTTTATTTAGAGACAGGGTCTCACTCAGCGCCTGGCTTTTTGCTGAGACTAGCTTTGAACTCATGGTCCTCCTACTTCAGCCTCCGGAGCTGCTGGGATTACCACTGTATGCCACCATGGTTATCTTTGAATATTTTTTTATATATTTTGTTGATCGAATATATTTCTTCTATGAAGTACATAGAATTTTTCTCAAGTATTTTTGATCTCTGGTTCATTAAATCCAGGATGCAGAACCCCTGATACATTGGACCAACTAATGATACTGAAAACTGAAAGAGGCCAAGCTAGTGGTTCCTAGAGCATCTAGCAGATGTCGCTGGGTTTCCTCTGTTAATGGGAACTGTCTGCTGCTCCTCAGGGAGTTCCCTCCACATAGAAGCAGCATTGAAGACCTGTTTGTTGACCACTGGGGACCTGGAGTAGGCTCCACCAGTTGCAGCCTTCGCCACAGCCAGGGTTTCATTTCTTTATTGTGCTCAGATTCTCCAATAATTTGGAGATCTGAATTTGGTGGAAATTGGATTTTCTATCGGCATTTTCTAGTCAGTAATAAATTTTATTGTAAATTAGGCAGTTTTGGCCATTGTAGGTGTCCGGGGATGGGAGGTCAGTAACCTTTCTGTTAAGGCATATTTTTCCCAGTTTACAGTTTTTATGTTATCTTAGAGGTATGCCTTTTTTGTCAGTTTTCAAAAATTTTATTTTTTGTGTATCACAAGCTATCATATGCATTTTGAACCCTTTTAAATTCTATTTTGAGGTAATTCTCAAGGAATAGTTTATGAGAAAATATTTGCATTTGTTTTTCAACTGCAAAGGTGAACATTGAGATTGGATTTCCTCACAAGTCCCTGCAGCTCATGGTTGACCAGGAGCAGGCCCTGACAACTCCCCACACTTTGCAGACCCAGTCATCCCTTGGTGTCCTGGGTACTGGTTACAGGAAACCCGCAGACACAAAATCCAGGGTGCTCGAGTCCCTTACGTAAAATGGCACAGTATTACGCCTGACCTGCACCCTTCTTATACAGTGTAAATCATCTCAAGATTGTTCATATGCCTAGCATAACGTAAACACCATGGAAACACTTGACACTGGATTCTCAGGCAACCGTGACAAGAAAAATAAGTTAGTACATGTTCAGTATAGATGCACTTTTTAAAAACTTTTTTTACAACTTCATTTTATTTATTTATATTTTTATGAGGTGCCGAGGATAGGATGTCTTACATGTTCTAGGCAAGAGCTGTATCACTGAGCTACAACCCCAGGCCCTAGTATAAATGCACTTTTTGAAAATATTTTTATTAGTTGAATTCACAGGTGCAGAACCCACAGACGTGGAGGGCGGCTGCACTTGATTGGTACAAGAACGAACAGTGGAACAGTGTGTCTTGAGTGGAGCACCTGGGGCATCAGAGTTGAGTTTTGCTATCTGACTTTTCTATGTGTCATCCATCAGAAGCAGACACCCCAAGAGAAAGTCCCACAGAGGCTGAAGTGGTAAAGACAAAGGAAGAAGCTGAAGGCGAGCACCCCAGCACACCCCCTGACCCTCCAAAGCCCCTTAGTGAGTTCTTCATCCTCTTCCCCCAGGCCCATTGCTCTGATTTTGGGGTTGGAGTCTGAGGGTTGGTTAATTTACTCAAGGTGTGGATTCTTCAGTTTGTTGTGTATATGCAAGATCTGGGAGAACCAGATGCATTATTATGATCATTGGGCTTTTTTTTTTTTTTAATCTTTAGTTTTCCCCAGACCTGTGGGAAAAGAGGAAAGAGCCATCACCAGTATTTACAGCTTTTAGGGGTCATAGGTGCCAATTAAATGGATTCATTGAGCAATGATTTATTCAGTGGGCCATATAAGCTGGGTCCAGAAGTTGGGCTCACCCCACAGGCTATGGGATAGCTCTTGTAGCCAGTGTCCCTGAGCCCCACATTAGAGACAGCACTGTAGGGACAGTTTTAGAGATGCCACACCAAATAGGATTTCCTGCAACTCCAGGAGAAGGGAGAATCTTTTCTTCCAATACTGTTGTGATTTCTTTTTGTTGCCATCCTGGGCCTCTGATTTCAGGCTAACTGCTTTGATTGTAGTGGTCAGCACTGAGGAGTAACACCAGGCCCCAGAGGCTCGGAGCCTGGGTTGTGGAAGGGAAAGTGGAAGAATTCGCTACATTTCCCCACCAGGCAGAATGACCTGGGGGTCAAAGGGCAACGGAAGTGGAAACAGGTGGATACAGTGGGTATAGTCTTCTGCCCTCTTTTTCTTAGAAGCAGAGACTCCAGCAAAGACAGAAGGCACTGCGGCACCTGAGGCACCCAAGGCAGTCAGCCGGCAGGAACCACAGGAAGAGGACCAGAGCAAGCCTCCTCCCAGAGCCCCCAGGACGCTCAGCAGTTTCTTCAGTGAGTGTCTCTTCCCCTCTTGTCCCTGGACTGTGCAGGCAGGAGGTGGGTGTGTCTGTCTGTCCCTCTGAGGGTCCTGTCTGTTTAGAAAGTCTGACTCGTCTCTTGGCTTATCACCATTGCTCTGAGTGATTGCTACCCTGAGTAACTACCCCAAATGTCAGAGTGATGCTGGGTGCAGGAAAGATGGGAGGTGGGGGCCATCAGGAGAAAAAACCTATTGTTCCTGCCTTCATTCCTAGCCCCCCGGAAGCCGGCGGTCAAAATAGAAGTGAAAGAAGAGGAGCCGAGTGCTCCGGGAAAGGACGAGGCCAAGGGGTGAGTCGGCGTTCGGTCTCACCAACCTCTCCTGGGCACGTTCCCTCTTCTCCATTCCATGGCCCATGCTTGGCTCCGCTTCCTCCTCTTGCAGGGCTTGGCAGTTGTTTTTTTTCTCTGGGGATCCTTAGGTAATAGATGTCTTGGGCTTTGCTGGCCACATGTGGCCCCCTTTGCAAAGCCATTCTTAGCTCACAGGCTCAAAAAAGAGTTGAGGGTGGAGTGGGCCCACCCTGCCCAGCCTCTTCTCTGACCTCCAGCCTCCAGTTTGCCATCCTCAGTTTGACCCCCACAGGGCCTGGGAGCATCTTTGTGGTACCTGTAATTGACCCTGCCTCACATGGCTTCCTGGTATCCCCAGGAAAAAAAGATCTAATCCCTTGGCCACTGACCCCCATCTCTGTCTCTTGCTTTCCCCTCTGTTCCAGTTGCGCTGGACTTGGTGTATTTGGAGGGTGCCTTTGTAGCAGCAGGCAGGTTTCCTCTGCAATCTTGGTGGCCTGTGAATGGAGTTAGACCATAGAGACCCATCCCTCCCTGTCCTGGACCCCTTAATGCCTTCATTAGGACAATGAAGGGTTAAGCAATAACGTCATTATAATTGTTAATTCTTGGAAAAGAAGACACCTAGGCCCATCTGTGATACCTCATAGATAGGAGGCTTCATGGAAGATTTGTAGAATGATCAGTTGGAGGGTGGACAGATAAATACCCCATCAAGTACCAAGATCAGACCCCATCCTTGCCTGCTCAGAACCCCTCTGTGGTTCCGCAGCACCCAGCATAAGCACTGGGTTCCTTCTGGCCCTTGAAGATTCCCTGGGCCACATTCCCGGCTCCAGACAGGGCCAGGCTTCTCCTTGCTCCCCCAGCACCGCATTCCCGCCAACTCCCCCTGCTTCTGAACGGGCAGGCCCCTGCCTAGAGCACTGCCCCAGCCCCACTCTGCCCAGCAGGGTGCCCTCGGGCTCCTCCTCTCTCACGTGCTCAGGGAAGCCAGATGCTTCCCTCCTCCTTCTGTCAGAGCCAGCGCCAGTGTGCGTCCCCAGCACTAAGGATATGTGTGCTCTTTCCCCTGGCTAGTGCTGCTCTGCCCTTGCGGTCCAGTCACTTTCAGGAGTGCATCTCAGCACATTGAATACTGGACATCAAACTTCCAGCAAGCCTTTGGGGGACGTTCGAGACCCAGATAATAACAAAATAAAAATAGCAAGTGAGCAAAGTGTGTCCCATGGCGATAAGTCTGTGAAGAAGGGTAGGGAAGGACCAGGGGAAGCAGCTGGGAGGAGTGGCCACAAGGGTCAGTGGAGAGGTCCAAAGGGTCCTGCTGGGGAATGTGAAATTTGTGTAAAAGACCTGAAGGAGATGAGGGAGTGAGCCAAGGGGAAGAAGGTTCCAGGCAGAGCGAACGCAGGTGCAGAGGTCCTGAGGTGACAGTTGTGGATGTCTATGGGCAGTGAGGAGCCCTGTGCCTGGAGGAGAGTAGGCAGAAGGGGCAGTAGCAGGAGATGGAAATAGGAGGCAAAAGAGTGCAGGGTTACTGCCCTTGGGGCCCAGCCTGCCCGCCACCTAGTTGGCTCTTAGGAAACACTCGTTGGAGGATTGGCGTGTCTGGCTCAGAGGTCCATCCAGTTCAGTCTCCTTTTTGCCCCCACAGACCTCTGGATCCGACTAGCTACAATCCTGCCAAGAACAACTACCACCCCATTGAGGACGCCTGCTGGAAACCAGGCCAGAAGTGAGGCTTCGCCTTCTTAGACTGTGGGGTCTCCAACCAGGGCCTCGTGGAGGACTGACCATTCTCCCTCCTGTCCTGGGGCACAGTCGGCAGTGTGGAAGGGGACAGTGGGCAGTGAGCAGAACAGCTTCATGCCCCTGTGTTGGCGAGTGAGGGGGCGGTGCTGAAGCACCTGGGGCCATCCCAGCGGCTCTCACCTCTCTTCCTTCCAGGGTCCCTTATCTGGCTGTGGCCCGCACATTCGAGAAGATTGAGGAGGTTTCTGCTCGGTAATTATCAGGCCTGGGTGGGGCAGTGGCCAGTGGACAGCTCATCAGCTGTCCCCTGTATGACAGTGGACACTGCCTCCTGCTGTCCACTTCTCTGCCCTCTCTTCTCTCCCTCACATGTGTGACATGGGTGAACAGGCCTGTCACAGGGCGCCTCCAGGTCCTCTTGAGGCCCAGCCTCTGGAGACACATGGTAGCATTTCTGCCTCATTCTATTGTCAGAGCAAGATATAGGACCAGCTCAGAGTTGTGAGGTTGGGAAACATGCTCCACCTTGGGACAGAAACGGCTGAAACTGGCCATTTTCAGTGGACTTAAGTTACCAAAAGTGACTTCATTCTTGCTTCCATGCCTCATGGTTAGTGGAAGGAAGTTGGGTCTCAGTTATATAGTGAGGGCATTTCTCTCTCAGAGCTCCCAGGCCTGGGGACACCCTAGTGCCAGCTCTAGTGCCCTCTGTGCAAGGGAGGCTTTTACTCTGGGTGTGCTTGCCGCCCTCATTATCACTGTCACCGTCAGCCAAGTTGCTCCTCCAGCAGCTACTTGGGATGGTGCTGGTGGCTCCAGCTCACACAGCGGCTTCTCTCAGCTTTTTCTGTTCTTTCTGATACATCCCCGAACCCTCCCACGCTTTCCTTGACCTTGAAGAGGCAAGTGTGACTCTGTCCCCTCCTCCAGGCTCCGGATGGTGGAGACGCTGAGCAACTTGCTACGCTCTGTAGTGGCCCTGTCACCTCCAGACCTCCTACCTGTCCTCTATCTCAGTCTCAACCGCCTTGGGCCACCCCAGCAGGGCCTGGAGCTTGGCATTGGTGACAGCGTCCTCCTTAAAGCAGTAGCCCAGGCCACAGGTGAGGGGGTTGTGGAGGGACCAACAGGAGAGGAGCTCAGAGGGAGACGTGGGAAGGGCAGAAAGACATGAGGGCTGATGGGAGTTGAAGGTGAAGCCGGGAAGGGAGGACCTTGAGAGGGCCCGGTCCCCATATCACCTTTGAAGGGTGGGGTTGTAGGTGGCCTCATCTCTGCATTCAATGCAGACTAGGAAGGCTGTGCCACAGGGTCTCTGGGACCGGGTTGTTGGTCATCTGTCATGATGATTGGCGTCTCCATCCTTCTAGCCTCCTCTTACCTCTAGGGGTGTCCTTGGGGCCCAACTCTGGACAATAAGACTAAGGGATGTCCAACATACAAATTGGTGACATCAAAAGACATTGACAAAAAGCAAAAGGCTCATGTTTGCTGCCATGAGACATAGTGCCAACCAGAAATGGGGTCCCTTGGCCTCTGCCCTGGGGTCTCCTCCTGCCATCTGCACACAGGCTGCCCACTCAGCCGTCCCTGACTAGGCCTGGTGCACCCAGCTGCTGGCCTTTGCTGTGAGCAGATCTCTGGCTTCTTACCCTGATGTGACGGAGACAGAAGTTTCAAGAGCTTTCCCCACCAGTGGGTGGGACATTACCATGGGGGTGTCCAGGAACTTGCCCAGCATGTGGAGCCAGAGGACTCAGCACTTCCTGCCTTCTCTCCAAGGTCGGCAGCTGGAGACTGTGCGGGCCGAGGTGGCCGAGAAGGGCGACGTGGGGCTTGTTGCTGAGAGCAGCCGCAGCACCCAGAGGCTCATGCTGCCACCACCACCCCTTACCACCTCCGGGGTCTTCGCCAAGTTCCGTGACATCGCCCGCCTGGCCGGCAGTGCTGTGAGTGGGGCAGGCGGCTCACCCTGTGCAGGACATCCGGGCACCTCAGGCCAAGCGAGTGGCTGGAAGGCTCCTGCTGCTGGAGTCTAGGGCTGAGGACACACTGCTGGGTGGAGAGGGAGGACAGCCAGAGGCTGTGGAATGGGGAGGACAGGGATTCCCCCGTGACCACCAGGCACTCTCATCTTTCCCCACCTGCTCCAGTCCATGGCCAAGAAGATGGACATCATCAAAGGCCTCTTTGTGGCCTGCCGCCACTCGGAAGCCCGGTTCATCGCCAGGTGAGTGGGTAGGGCCGAGGGGGCTGTGCACCTAGCAGGTGAAGGTGGGAGGCCTGGCGGCTTGTGGCCTTCTTTAGGTGGGAAAAGCTGGAACAAGAGCCAGACCCTGAGGGCATAGAGAGCAGCCCAGGTTTCCTCTCACAGACTGCCCCCTTCCCTCCGTGGTACTGCTGGAAACGTACCTTGGGTTCTTGGCCAGGTCTGGCCTGATGGGGCCGTGAGCACAGAGCCATGAGTTTGCTGTGAGGAGCAAAATCATGCCAAGTGTTCTCCCAGGGCAACCCTGGTTTCCTTGCTCCCATGGACAGGGGATGTAGGTATGGGGGTTAAACCAGCTTCCAGCCAAGGAGGCAGAAATAGGCACGCTAGATTGGGAGGGAACCAGCCATTGCACACCCTGCTGGCCTCTTTCCAGGTCCCTGAGTGGACGATTGCGCCTTGGACTCGCAGAGCAGTCAGTGCTGGCCGCCCTTGCCCAGGCTGTGAGCCTCACACCCCCAGGCCAAGGTGAGCTCCATTGGCTCTTCTTCCTGCCCATTGCTGGTGTTAGTGGTGTTCCTTCTCCTCAGAAGCCCGTGCCCCACCCGACCCTCACAGCCCCCACAGCTCCAGCCCCTTCTCGCCTTAGAAGAGTGCCCAGGCGCCTGCACCTGCATTCCTCACCTAGCAGTAAACCACTGTCTGTTTTCCTGCTGGCTCTTTTCCTAGAATATCCCCCTGCTGTGGTGGATGCTGGGAAGGGCAGGACAGCAGAGGCCAGGAAGACGTGGCTGGAGGAGCAATGCCTAATTCTGAAGCAGACGTTTTGGTGAGATCCAGGGGCCTTGGGTGCAGCAGGAGTCCCAGAGAACAAGAAGTGGTGATGGGGGGGTGGATAAAGTGGTGATGAAGATCAGGAAGGTGGCAAATGTGAAGGGTGGTGACCAGGGAGACTGAGATGCTGACCTGGAGTGAGGACAGCAGGTGTCAGGAGGCCTGAGTTCTGGCCACGCTTCACAGAAAAGGTCCTGAAAGACCTGGGAGAGGCTGGAGACAGAGCTGTATTGAGAGGTTGTGATTGTCACAGAACATGGTGGTGAGGCCCCAGAGCGAGCCATGTGGAAGGGCCTCAGCCAGCAGCTGGCCTAGGGCTAGTGACAGCAAAACAGTGATTGTGTCAGGCAGGAAGGCTGTAAACAGTTCCACACATGCTCCCAGGACACACACTCTTGGCCATGGCCCTGGGGCTGGGTGTATGGCTGTGACCAAACCCCTGATCTCTCCTTGTCAGGCACTGGCTCCACCAACTTGTGAGCTCAGGCCCTGACCATTGAAGTCAGGGTCTTTGCAGGTGGCGCCTGGTCCTGAGAAGCTGGGTTTAACTTGATTGGTCTCCCTGTGCAGCTGTGTAGAGAATTGCCAGCTTCATGGAGGGGGGTGGGGGGTGACAAAGGGAGATGGTGACTTTAGTGACTGAGGGAGGACACGGTGGCAGGGAAGCTGGGACATGGTCATAAAGATGGGCAGAAGTGTTCTTGATCTCAGGTCTGAGCAGGGCTGAGGCCCTCCCTGCAGCATATGTAGCCACACAGCACAGTTTTCAAGTTGTGCAGGTTCTAGAAAGATTTCTCCATACTGTTCTCACCCTACCCCAGTGAGGTGCCTGACCTGGACCGAATTGTCCCTGTGCTGCTGGAACATGGCCTGGAGCATCTCCCGGAGCACTGCAGGCTGAGCCCAGGTACCACCCACGGGCCCTGGAGGCTGGCTGCAGCCCACCCTTTGCAGGGCAGGTGCAAGGGGCCCTGCCAGGTGTCTACTGAAGACCTAGAGTCCCCTTTGTCCCCACCAGGTCTCAGTTCTGCTCCCTGGTCCTGAGACTCCCTTCTTGCCTCCCCTTCTGGATAGCCAGTGTGTGGTAAAGCTACTAAGGTAGCCCAGAAGACAAGACAGTGGGTTGTCCACATAGAATCTGTCCCACACATGAGTGTCTAGAACAAGGCAGGTGGCCAGGGAGGGTACCTGGCTGTGCTCCTGAGGTCATCCAGATCCCTCTGCCATCCTGAGATTGGTGCTCTGACAGGTGTGAGTTATGACGTCTCTGTGCCAGATGGAGGGGAGGCAGCTACATTGCTTTTAAGGCTGTGGCCAGACATTGGGCACGTGCTGTGTTTGCTTTCTAGTCACCTTTCCCAATTGCCAGGTAGACTGACAGGTACCATCTCAAGTGGGGGCCCTTCAGAAATGTGGAGGCTTTGTTTCTTCTGCAGCACTCAGGGGAAAACAGTCCAGGGCATTTGGCCACCTCCCCCCCCCCCACTCTGATTCAGGAACTCCCCGCCCTTCCTTTACCCCAGACTTCCCTAACACGCTCTCCCCCCCCAGGGGTTCCCCTGAAACCCATGTTGGCGCATCCCACTCGGGGCGTCAGCGAGGTCCTGAAACGCTTTGAGGAGGCAGCCTTCACCTGCGAGTACAAGTATGACGGGCAGAGGGCACAGGTAGGGGTGGGCACAGCCCTGGCTCTGAAAGGAAGCACCTGGCCTGAGCACAGAGCCAGCCCCTCGTGAGCTGCCTGTGCCTTGCTTGCCTTTGGGCTCTGGTTTCCCCTCCGCAGTGGATGTGGTAACCCCCAGCACACACTAGCTTGTCGGAGGGTAGTCCGTACAAGTCCTGACCTGCGATAGGGGGAGGTCCATGATACCTGCTCCGCCTGGGGATGCTATGTATGAGGCCATTCTGGAGGTTCCTGTGTGACCCTTAGTGCTCTGATATGTGCGTGTCCTGTGACCCACAGGTGCCATTGGTCCTGGCTTTCAGTGTGGGTGTGTCATGCCTCTCCTGTCCTGGTGGGGTCTGGGTCCATTTCTGTGTTCACCACATGAGGATGTGGGGCATGCGAGGCAGGTGATGTCTATGGAACTCTGAGGCTGTTATGAGTGGGAAATTCCATAGAACACAGTGTGACAGGTAGATCTTACAAGTAACATTGAGAAAACAAGAATAACTTACAGAGGGGTCGTGATTTTAAATACATAACTACTACCTGAGCCAACACTTGTGAGATGGCTTGTGTGTAGCCCTGCATGGGGTGGTGACTTAAAATAAATAACCAACAGTAGAAACCAGGGGCCAGGCGCTGTGGCACATGCCTGTAATCCCAGTGGCTCAGGAGGCTGAGGCAGGAGGATCACAAGTTCAAAGCCAGGCTCGGCAATTGAGCAAGGATGTAGTCCCTAAATAGAATATAACAAGGGCTGGGATGTGGCTCAGTAGTTAAGCACCCTGGATTCAATCCCTAGTACCAAATTAAAAAACAGAACAGAAACCAGGGGACAGGCATAATGATCTTCAGACCAGTGTGTGCACTCGCAGCCAGGGAGATGTGCCTGCAGCAGCAGGGTAGGACTGGGGGGTGGTGACATGGGCAGGAGGTGCCAAGGAGACGATTCGCTCAAGTCTCCATCTTGGTTCCTCAGAGCTGCTGAACCTCTGCTGGGGACGTGGGATGTGAGGAGAAGAGAGGGGCTGCGTGGGCTGAGGTTTCTCTTCTCACCCCTTGATGGCAGATTCACCTTCTGGAAGGTGGGGAGGTGAAGATTTTCAGCAGGAATCAAGAAGATAACACAGGAAAGTACCCCGACATCATCAGCCGAATCCCCAAGGTGGGCACCTACCTGTTCTCTGCAGGGCTGCAGGGGTGATGCAGAGCCCTGGGCCCATGCAGGCCAGCAGGACCTGGGGGTCTCTCCCCAATAACTGTTACACTTCCAGACAGACAGAAGGGGTTCAGCCTCTGCTGCTCCCCTGAGAAGGTTGTCACTCCATGGGACTCTTCCCCCACCACTGGCCATCACTGGGTGCCATGACTACCCTAATGCAGCAGAGTATTGGGAACAGGAGCTCTGCAGCCTGTCTCTCCAGCAGGATGGCGGGGAGGCTTGGGAGGAGTGGGCAGCGAGCCAGCCTGGAGCCTGCCTGGAGCTCAGCCTGGAGTCTCAGATTGTGAGCCCAGAGATGTGGCAGTGCTGGGCCTGGAAGCAGGGGGTCCTCTGTACCCAGAGGACGTCTGAAGCCTGTCTCAGCAGCCCCCCCATTGAGGAGCACCTCCCCTCGCCTGCCCCTGATCAGAGAGGAAGTTGTTTCTTCAGTGAGCAGAAAGCACGGTTGGGGATGCTCCCTGTTACAGGCAGCGAAGGCAGTGGCACCTCCACGTACCCAGTGGAGTCTCAGTGCTGAGCACCGGGCGATGTTTCCTGGCGCATGTCAACACGAACACACCCATGTGACCAGGATCACAGTCAGTGTAGAAAACATGGCCGCATCTCATCAGCCAAAGAGTTTCCTCGAGGCTTGATGTCTGGGCCTGCCCCTCTGCCAGAGGCAGCCCCTGTGGTGCTTCTGTCTCCCAGGCTGGCTTTGCCTCTGGAGCTTCCCAACAATGGCATTGTGCAGTCCATGGCCATCTGTATCTGGCCTCTGGCTCACTCAGCAGGGGTTACTTGGGACCTGCTCTGCACCAGGCCCTTGCTGAGCCCAGGTGTAGCATGGATAGCCCTGGCCCAAGCTTCTGTCCTCACAGGCAGGCGGGCAGACCTTTGTCAGGGTCTATGCTTTGGCTCTGTGATTCCATAGGGAGATCAAAGCTCTGAAGAAAAGATCCAGCATGCTGTGAGCTGGTGTAAGAAACAGACGTCACACAGTCCCAGCGTGCAGATGAAAGGCACCCCCTGGAGTTGTTACCAAGGGAGAAGAAGGCTTCCCAGGAATGCCATGGGCAGGACAGGAGAAGGGTGGGGGCAGGCATCCCAGAAGGACCAGCCTGTGCAGAGAGCATGGTGGGACAGGCACAGCCCATTTGAGAACTGGAGAGGCTGATGTTCTGGCCCATGGACCAGGTGTGCTGGGGAGAACCAGGGATGACGGAGGAGACTCCCCACAGCAGGGTTGAATGATGATCCGATTCAGGGTTTGCCACAATCCCTTGCCTGTTGCAAGGATAGTAGATTGATGGGGTGCACGAGGGGACCCCCAGGACAGGGTAGAGAAGTAGGAAGAGGTGGCTTAGATTTCAGGGGAAGTCACAGATTCCTAGGGATTGAGTGATAGAGAGGAAATGGGAGATGACAGGCTCCTGGGCATCCAGTTTGCGGGACTCCATAGTCTTAGAGAAGTTAATTCTGCTCAGTGGGAAGTCAGAAGGGGCCAGTGTTCACGTCTCAGGTTGGCAGCAGTTGGTGGAGTGCTGTGGAAGGAAAGGCCATTTGTTTCCCTGTGTCTGTTTCTTGAATTCATCTCCTGTGTCTCACAAGTCCTGAATCTTCCTTCACTTCTCAGATTAAACTCCCATCAGTCACGTCCTTCATCCTGGACACGGAAGCTGTGGCTTGGGACCGAGAAAAGAAGCAAATTCAGCCATTCCAAGTGCTCACCACTCGCAAACGCAAGGTAGCATCAGCCTGCCGTGGCCCCTCCTCACACTGTCACTGTCCTGAGGGGGCTGAATGCAGTCCTGTTAGCCTTTGGTAAAGTGACTGCCGTAGTTCTAGCCATCATGTTCTACCCCAGCATCCCAGTTAGGAAGAGGGGAAAGACCCTTTTTCTGTACCTTACTTGTTTTAGAATGAAAGTAGATCTGTCCTGGAAGTCCCCCAGGCTTTCCCTTTACCACAGAATGGTCAGAATTGTCTTATGTCACCACCATTAGCTGCAGAGGAGACTGGGAGAACAAACGTGAAGGGAAATGAGGCTGCTGGGGTTTGCTAAGAGCCATCTTGACTCAGGACCTGCCTTCTCAGGTGCAGCTGCAGCAGGGGGAAGGGGAGAGTGTAGGTGACTGGTGTGTCCTGGCCAGTGGGAAGGGACGCAGCCTGCCCGTCTCACCTCGCCCACTCATCGTCTCTGTTCTGCCCCAACCAGGAGGTAGACCCCTCCGAGATCCAGGTGCAGGTGTGTCTGTACGCCTTTGACCTCATCTACCTCAACGGAGAAGTGAGTTCCGCCTGTGGCTGGAGCAGCCAAGGGCTGGGTGGGGGTAGGCTTGGGGCTGGCAGGGTGGCTTCTATTGCTTATTCTGCACTCACTTAGCTGGGAGACCATGCTCAGGCAGTGCTTTGAATATATGATTCCAGGACCCCTGGGGTCCCCAGCCCCTTTGAGGGGGGGTCTGTGAGGTCCTATGGCTCCCCATTTGTGGGGAGCAGATTTCTCTATGTTTGTCACCCAGACTGACATTGAAGCCATCAGAGTGCCATAGGCAGATATGAAAAGCCAGATAGTAAAGAAGCTGAAAAATGTCAGGCCACACCCCTCTTCTCACTTTTTTTTTTCTTTGTTTCTTTGTTTTTTGTTTCTGTTTTTAAACAGAGGTGTGTTTTATACAATGTCCTGTTTGGGATCAGGGAATGTGGGTCAGTGGTACAGCACTTGCCTGACACATGCGAGGCCTAGACTCAATATCCAGCACTGCAGAAACAAGAAAAAGTGCCATTCTGATGAGCATATTGGATTTATTCTTTAAATGGATTACTATTATTTTAATTTCTAAAATGGTCGATATCAAGAGATATAACCCACATTAAAAAGGAAAAAAAAAACTCTTTGAAGTGAGTTCTCAATACTTTTTTAAAGGTATAAGGGGTCCCGAGACTGAGAAGTCTGAAGACAATTGCTTTTAGGTGTCCATTAAGCCTCTAGGGGCTGAGGCAGGAAGCATTCTCACCCTGACCTGGGAGGGGAGAGTCATCCTCTGGTGGGAGTGAGGAGAAAGCTCTCTCTTCTTTCTCTTGCCTTCTCCCTCTGCCTCTCCTGAGATACTCCCACCCACATGATGCTGGGCAAGGAAAAGGCTGATCCCAGTCCTGGGAGAATTTAGAGCCTGGGGAGGACAGGCTGCTAATGCCCAGAGAGCAAGTCACCTGAGTTCATTTCAGGGCAGAAGTGAGCAGCATCCACCACTAGTCGTGGTCTCATCCAAGCCCGGAGGCTCGCAGCCACGTCTGTCCCATCCACCACCTGTGTTTGTAACTGAGGCTCTGCTGGAGCACAGCCTCACCCTTTCACGCACTTCAGTCTGCGGCTGCCTTTGCCCTACAGCAGCAGGGCTGGATGGCTGTGGCAGACACAGCCAGGAACACAGTTGCCTTTGCATTTTCAGGCTCCACGACTGTGTGTTCCAGCAATCTGGGATTGAAAATATCCGAAAGAACTGCATCTGTATCAATGTGTGCAGAGCTTTTCTTGTAATGATTCCCTAGTCCCCACAGCATGGCTTGCACTTACATTTACACTTCACTAGGTATTGTAGCTAATGGAGAGATGATTTAAGGTGTGTGTACTCGTGCTACTCCCTGCATTACAAGGGGTCCTGGAACCAGTCCCCGAGGATACCGGGGGACAACTGTATTTACTCTAGTTCTTACTGGAAAGAAGTTGCCAGATTCTGTGTTGATGTAGAAAACATGTTCTTGAGAACAGTGTTACTAACCTTATGGCCGTTGGTTTCTTCTTTGCTCTACTGGGCTGGCGTTAACAAGAGGTACATAAAGTCCATTCCAGCTCTAGCCAGGCCATGCTTCTAGCCAGGTGCTCCCAAGGTCACCAACAACTCTAAGCTGGGTCCACCCTCTTGCTGATGCCTCAGCTTATGCTTTACGTTCTGAGTCCTGCTGATGACCTGTGCATGTGGTTCCCTTTGGCCTCAAGGTCAGGGCTTATGGTGTCCCTCCCTTCTTTAGTCCCTGGTCCGTGAACCCTTGTCTCGACGCCGGCAGCTGCTACGCGAGCACTTTGTAGAGACAGAGGGCGAGTTTGTTTTTGCCACCTCCCTGGACACCAAGGACGTTGAGCAGATTGCTGAGTTCTTAGAGCAGTCAGTGAAAGGTGAGGAAGCCACTCTTCCCTCCTGCATGGTCCCCAGCCTGCGCCAGCCTTGGTGAGTTGGGGAGTCCCACCAGCCATGCTTCCATGTCTCCCTCAGACTCCTGTGAGGGGTTGATGGTGAAGACCCTGGATGTCGATGCCACCTACGAGATCGCCAAAAGGTCACACAACTGGCTCAAGGTGATTACTGCCCCAGTATGTCCTACCGGAGCCTGAAGCTGGTCCCTGTTTCACTCAGTGATGTTTTTGTAGCTGCATGCGTGCTCCCAGGTCCCCTCCTGTCCATCCCCCCTGTCAGACGTCCCCTAGATCTCCTGGCTGACCAGCCCACCAGGAGTTGGCTGTGATCCTCTGGCCTAAGCCCCCAGAGCTGTGAGGAGGAGGCCAGAAGAGGCTCCACCTTTCCTTGAAGGCTTCCCTTTTGGGCCAGGAGCCTGGGAAGGGAGTCAGCCAGATATGGAGGGAATGAAGTGACCTCAGGGCTAGTGAGGACGGGCCTCCTCTGGGTCATCCAGAAAAGCCCTTCTGGAAGCAGCGTTTGAGTGGGGACCTGGGTGCAGGAAGGGGTTGGCCACATGGATGTTTGGGCAGGAGACTACAGGTGCAAAGGCCCTGAGGTAGGAGGTGTATGCCAGGAGCAGGGTGGAGTGGAGAGTGGCCCCAGGTCACACAGCCACTCAGGCCATCATAAGATAAAAATTGGATTTTCCTTTGAAGGTTTTGGGAAGCCAGCAGAGGTTTCATACGGGGAGTCACATGTCTGATGGCTTTTTTGTGGGTCCTATGGCTGCTCTGTGGCTGTGGCCAGGCGTGCTGGGGGCTGAGCAGCAGTGGGAGTGGGCAGTGGGGGCTGGAGGGGAGCAGGTGGGCAGGATGGGAGGGGGCCAAGCAGCAGGGCGGGAGCTGAACTGGCCTGGCTGCTGTGTGTTTCTGTGTGCCCCTGGTCTGTGTACCTCCTGGACTAGAAGCAGCTGTGAGCACACAGACCTTTCCTGTCTTGGGAGGTCTGCACTCTGCTACCCACGGTCCCAGGCACCTGGGGAGAGGACTTGGGGGAGAGGGCGTCAGGTGGCCTCTGTACCCCCCGTCCTCCTCCATACATCTGCTTCAAGCCTGGAGGCTCTTCCCATGTCTCCTTGGGGTGGCCACTCCTGGTGTTCTTTCCAGAAGTTCCCAGATACCCCAGGCCCTCCTCAGCCCACTGATGAACCACCAGCCTTGAGGTGCCTGGGTCCCCCTCACCTCTGGCTCCCCTCCGCAGCTGAAGAAGGACTATCTGGATGGCGTGGGCGACACCCTGGACCTCGTGGTGATCGGCGCCTACCTGGGCCGGGGGAAGCGGGCTGGCCGGTACGGGGGCTTCCTGCTGGCCGCCTATGACGAGGACAGTGAGGAGCTGCAAGCCATATGCAAGGTCCTGGGAAGGGGTGCCCACCACTGAAGCAGGAGACCAATAGATGAGACTCTGGGGGGACCTGGACCAAGAGGCTCTCACCTCTTGCATATGGGGGATGATTGTTTTCCTCATTCTGTGTTTTTCTGCTTCTCTGAGTAACTCTTGCTTCATATAGAAAAATAGACTCATCTAGAAGGCGTGCAGAGGGAGTGTAAGGAATGGAGGTCAGCCTGCCCAGGAGGGGGCTTGCTACAGGATGACAGTCTCTGGAGCAGGCACCTCTGCAGCCTGCTTAGGGACCTGGGCTCCTCCTGTCTCTCCATGGTCCTTCTTGTCATATGCTCTGGCTTCCTTGTCACAGTGTGGCTGCAGGTGTTCCATCATGGGATTCTTGTCCTAAGCCGCAATAGGAAGGCTGGGGTCAAGGAGGGGTGGCCGCCTTCTCAGTCCCGGCCAGGACTGTCAGAAACTTGTCTGCCCAAGTTTCTTGTCAGAGTCTTACTCCATGGCTCACTCCTGTCCTTAGGAAATGTGGGTTTTTTGTTTTTTGTTTTTTTTTTTTTTTAAGTTTAGAAAACAGTGTTTTAGAGCTGTGTGCATTGTGACTGGCCTTTCCTGTCTTCCTGTATCCAGCGACTTTGGGTCTTTAGTCACAGAGACAGAACAGAATATCACCCAGGAAGACTCCCACTGCCGAGCACCAGAAGCAGGGCAGGGCAGGGCGTGTTTCATTTATGTTCTATGATGTTGCGATTCTTCTAAGCAATTTTTCTTTTTCTTTTTGTCTTAAGAATACGGGAGGCTGAGGCAGGAGGATCATGAGTTCAAAGCCAGCCTCAGCAACAGCGAGGCACTAAGCAACTCAGTGAGACCCTGTCTCTAAATAAAATGCAAAATAGGTTGGGGATGTGGCTCAGTGGTCGAGTGCCCCTGAGTTCAATCCCCAATACCCAATAAATAATTAACTTTATTTCAAATGCTGTCATATGAGTTTAAGTAGCATGGTGATCAGACTTGGTGCTTGCACAAGAGTCTTCAGGGTCCAGGCCCCATTTCCTGAGCCCATGCCCTATGTTTGATGATCAGACTCTTGCCAGCCTCACCTAGGAATTCATGAGCCCACAGCAGTGATCAGAATGATCTTATGATTACCACATTTTGGGGCACCAGTCTGTCACCATTTTACATTATTCCTGTAGCAGAGATACTTTAAGTAGCTGCTGTTAGGACAAGAGAGGAAGTATAGGAGCAGGAGTCTCCAGTCGAGACTTTCTGTCAGTGGCTTAAAGGTGCCTGTCTTGTCTGCTGGCTGTGACTGTTTTGGTAGTTGAAATCGTGGGCAGTATTAAGATGGAAGGTTTCAGCTGGTTTGCAGGCGGGTGGGATGTGGGTGAGCCCAGGGGAGCGACTTCCTGACCTGGTGGAGCACCAGGAGGAGGAGACGAGGGCGTTTCCTCCAAACACAGGGCAGTGAGTGGTTGAGGGGGTGCCTGCTGGATGAGAGGTGGCACCCGCTTGAGGGTCCTGGCCGACCATCCAGGTGCTGGCCAGTGCTCAGCATCAACCCACCTCTTTGTCCTGATTCTATAGACTCTGGTTGAACCAGAGTAGGTTGGGGGCTGTCAGTGTGCACAGGTGTAGTCCTTAGCTGGCAGAACAGGGAGGAGGTGCTGGGCCAGCTGGCCAGCCCAGCTTCTGACCTGTCACGTGCTCCCTGCAGCTTGGAACCGGCTTCAGCGATGAGGAGCTGGAAGAGCAGCATCAGAGCCTGCAGGTGAGCCCCACTACTGCAGGCCTTGCCCTCCCAGCCCTTGCTCTGTGCAGTGACTGGTCTCCTGCATCTTGGGGTCAGGGATTGGGAAGGAGGGCAGCAGCAGGAAGACTGGCTTTAAAGCTCCACATATCCAAGTTCGAGGTGCGGCTCTGCCAGTTACCAGCTGGTAACTGGCCAAGAGGGTCTCTCCTCTTCCTGAGCATGACACATGGCTTTCTCACGGCAGCATGGAACCAGGGCAGGGGTTCCTGTAGGGAGGCCTCTGTGAGGTGCTTGGTGGGCCCCTAGGGGAGGGAGTGCTGTCGTGGCTGCAGGTAATTGGGATCTCTATGATGTGTATTGGTGTCTCTGGATCCTGGTTCCATCCCATTCTTTGGATCTTTCTCACTGTCCTCTGCCGAGTCTTCCATTCTTGGGGCCCCTGCCCACCAACCCCCTGGTGTCTGTCCCTCCCTCTGGGTGTCTGCCTCTGTTTTTTTCTTTACTGTCCTGTCTTGTTTCTCCCTCTCTTCCATTCCCCATTTCTCCTTCATTGTTCTTCCCTCTTGCCCTGCTTTCTAACCTCTCTACCTGTTGGCCCTGACTCTGAGCTCTGAGACCCTCCCTCTTCCCTGCTGCTTGCCATAGGCCCTGGTGCTGCCCACCCCACGTCCCTACGTGCGGGCTGATGGTGCTGTGGCCCCCGACCACTGGCTCGATCCCAGTGCTGTGTGGGAAGTGAAGTGTGCAGACCTCTCCCTCTCCCCCATCTACCCCGCTGCCCGGGGCCTGGTGAGTACAGGGGCCTGGGCGAGAGTGGGCCTGGCCACATCTGTTCTCCCACGTGATGGTTAAGAAAGCTTTAGAGTATTGGGGTGTCCAGTAATGAGGTTGGAAATCATTTCTGTAAAAAAAGATTCTCAGGTGGTAGAAAGAGAAGTGACCTTGCTCCGTTAGGGTCGTGGTCCTTTTGGCAACTTGGGTCTTCTGCGTGGACACTCAGTCCAGCCCTGGGCGTCTCCTTTCAGGCCTGCAGTTGCTTCCTCGCCCGGGTTCTCACAGTGCTGAGTGTAGATCCCAGGGGCGCTGTTGCTCCCTGGGTTCTGCCCTCAGACCCAGCAGTGGTTGCAGTGTGACCACGTCCCTTACCCTTAGTGCAGGGAAGCTCACCTTTAGTGTCGTGCTGTGAGTTTCGTCCCATCCTCAGAACCTAGCGGCATGTTGCTGTTAGAAACTTAAAGTTTCTCCCTCATGCTGCTCATTGAGTCAGGGTGTCTTGGTCACACACACAAGGAGCTTTCATCTGTCCTGTGCTCACTGTGCAGCCAGCACTGTGCTGGTGACCAGCATGTCCCTCATGTAGTCCTTACAGAAACGTCCACAGGAATGTCTCTGTTTTACACACCAGGAGATGGTGCCTCCGAGAGCTGAGGTGACTGGCCAAGGCCACCTGGCTCTGAGGGCAGCAGCTGGATGGGAGCCTCACATGAGCCTGGCAGCTGGTGCCTCTGAAGCACCAGGCACAGGATCCAGACTCTTCCTCAGCTGCTCTGTGCCCCCCTCCCCCCATTGCTAAGCTCCACTGTGTGGATCAGGAAGCAGCAGGACGGGGCAGGAGGAGGACCCTGGCTAGAGTACCTGAGCCTTGCCTCCTCCCCAGGTGGACAGTGAGAAGGGCATCTCCCTTCGCTTCCCTCGGTTTATTCGTGTCCGTGAAGACAAGCAGCCAGAGGAAGCCACCACCAGTGCCCAGGTGAGACCCTTGGAAGATGGGGTTTGCCTAGGGTGGGCTCGTGTGGCCAGACCAGCCTCTTAGGGAGGTGACTGGCTTGGAGTCCTGCAGAGGTGGGGCAGCAGGGAGTTGCTGACCCACCCCTGCCCCCTCCTCAGGTGGCCTCTCTGTACCTGAAGCAAAGTCAGATTCAGAATCAACATGACACAGACTCAGACTCCAACCCTGAAGATTTCTACTAAGGCCTGGCCTCCCCGGGGCTGGGGAGGAGCCCAGGGTGGAGCAGGTCTGCTTTTGCACTCTGGTGGGGGGGGGGATGGGGGGGGTGTTACACTGGGTCTGGGATTCATTCTGTTATTTCTTTCAATAAATAATTACCAAACTCTTGGTGTGTGACAAGGGCCATGCTGAGCTCTGGGCTCTCACACTGGGCATTGAAGAATACTATGGTGACTGGGAGCCCATGCTGTCCCACAGGACCCTCCATAGAGCTAGTGGAGTTTGTGTGCTCCATGTCATATGGTGACAGCTGACAGTCACCTGTGGCCATTGAGTTCTCCACATGGGGACAATGCAATCAAGGACTCAAATATTTCATTTTGACTATGACAGTTTATGTTAGCTTGTTGGATCTCCAAGCAATCCAGCTGGTGGTCCCCATCCCAAGCCCTGTGTGCAGACATCAGTGATTTACCCAGGACCCTTTCTAATGAGGTCCCATCCTCCTGGGAGACAATAAGTTCAGTGGTCAGTGTGTGGCTTCCAGTTCTGCACCCCCATCTGGGGACTAAGTGTCATTTCAGATGCACTACACAGTGTTCCAGGTACCCCACCAGAGCAAGCAGTGACCACTCCTGTTCTGACTGTTATGCCCTGGACCCAGGCTTGGAGCCTGGCATATCCTAGCTGCTCAGGAGATCATGGCTGAGTGAGAGAGAGCCGGGCATTGTTGCTAGGCTGCTGGTCACCCCAGTTTCCCCATCCTCCCACCACTGCTGTGTGCTTCAAGCGTAGGGGCCCCTGGCCTGTGTATAGACACTTGGAGCTGGTCATGGTGGCCCTGTGCGGTTCCACAAGGCTTCGGTGACACAGGCCAGAAGTGGGACTTTGGTCAGTGCAGTGGGAGTATCTTGGGACTAGGGGGAGGAATCTTTTGCAAAAGCTTGTTTTCTGAGAACTGCAGCCTGCCACCTTCTGGGGGACTTGCAGCTGTCTTGTGGCAACCAACTGGAGGAGGGTGGAGCAGGGCCCAGATCTGCACACCTGGGGCCTCTCTGTGGCCACCAAGCTGAGGGACAATGAAGTTCCCCATTGTTAGGCAGCTCTCGGGTGGGTCCTGCTTGCTGCAGTTGGAGGCACCCTCAGGGCTGCTGTGATGGTTAGTGAGGTAGGGAGAGGAGGGCTTGGGGCCGAGGAGCTTAGCAGGGTCCTTGGCCTCGATTCTCTGGAGAGCCTGTGGTGAGGGCCTGAGCCAGGGCCTTCCTGCCTGGCCCGTCAGCTCCTGCACTCTTCTCACTAATGATGGCCCTGTAAGGTGGGTACATTCATATCTCCATTTAACAGGTCGGTACACTGAGGCTTGCGGGGAGTTGCTTTCCCTGTCTCACTATCTGGGAAACGGCCAGGATTTGCCTGGGCGGTCTGCTCCAGGCCCATGGTCTCTGTGCCATGGAGAGCCTTGAGTGCACCTGTGAGGATGTGGGACCTTCTGCCATGGCACCATGTGAAGTGGTCAGGTCTGGAGGGGAGAGATCTTGCTCATGTGCTCACTAAAGGCAGGAGCCTAGAGGTGGGGGAGCAGTGGAGACCATCTCCCTCCAGAGTGGGATCCTCTTTATCCCTTCAGGATTGTCAGCACTCACCAGGGTAGGGTGCCTATGAGCTGGGCTCTGGGTGATGCACATGCCAGGTTTGGAGGCGGCACACCAGGAAGCAGCACTCCCTGCTCAGGACCTGCCTTGACCAGAACACACGGTCCCATCACATGACCACAGGTGTCAGAAACATTGCTGGGAGCTCCCAGCAAAAAGTAGTTCACACTGAATGGAGTTCCCTGGAGTTTTTGATATCGGAGTGGCGGTTGGTTTTCTTCCTAAATGGAAATAAAATGAGGTAGATGTGGCCCTCGGTGTCTGGCGCATTACCTCATTTAATTCACTCCACAAATCTGTCGTGTTAGTACAGTTATGATCTCTTATTTTTCAGATAAGAAAACACTTGTCGCTATCAGGATTTGGTTGCCAGCTACAAAGCTCAGCTAGTAGGAGGTAGACTGAGATTTGGCCAGGACTCTCAGCCTCCTAGGCTCTGCCTTTACCTGTGCCATCAACAAGCCAGTCCCTGCTTCGCATAACATATTTTCTCCAACCTCCTCCCAGCTCAGTCTGGGTAGAGATCAGTGAGTCCTCTGCCTCCTCGATGGCTAAGGGGTGACGAGGCTGCTCATTCAGGGAAGTGCCCACTTTGCAATGCCATCTTATCTGGAGCGTGGCCTCACCAAGGCCCTTATCATGACTTGCCTGGGGGTGGCAGAGCTGTCCTGGGCACAGTGCCAGTCTGCTTAGTGTGAAAGTTCCCTGCTCTTTAGCAACAAAAAAAGGCAACAGCTCGGGTCACTACAGTGGTGCTCAGTGTTGGGCAAGTGAGGGGTCTGGTGCTGCTTCCCTGGCTGATTCTCCTAAGCCAAGTAAGCCCTTGCCAAAGGGTCCAGAGAGTTGGGACAGCAAAGGTTTTATGTGCCAGAAGGCCTTTCTCCAGAATGGGGACCATTTGAAGTAGAGGGAACTTTATCTTTGGGTCTTGGAGACCAAGTGTGTGTTGAAGGAAGTCTTCTGAGACAAGCCACACAGGGCGCTTATCAAGGAGACTGCTCAGGAGACTGCAGAGCCAAGAGCTCATCTCAGGTGGGTTTGGAGGAGCAGAGAGGTTAGAGTCTGTCCAGATGTGGGAGAGTTTGGAAACTGGGGAAGTTCAGCTACACAGTGAGGTCCCCAGAGTGGCTGTGCTGATTGGCCAATCTTCAGGTGTGTGGCACCTCTATTGTTGCTGGGCGGTCATTTGTTTTCCTGGGGCTGCTTTTAAAGCAGATCTGGTGGGAACTGGACACTGTGGCCAAAGTCCAGTTTGTCTTTTCCTTTGAGAGTAGGGACTTTCAGTTTCCATTAAGAATCAGGGGTCTGCATTCAGGAGCTGAGTTTTGGGGCATGTCCTGTGTCTCCCTAAGCCCTCAGTTTTCTGATGTGTAAATTGGGGACAATCAAGTCCACATTACAGGCTCTGTGACATTTCAGTGGGATGGTGCCCATATCCATGTCCAGCACTTAGAGGGTGTGGCTGGTACATTGTTCTTGGCCTGTGGCCCTCAGAGGTCATTCAATTTCTGCTTTCTATTTTCTTCTCTACAAAATACAAACAAAAGTACTTTTTTTTTTTTTTAACCATTTGAGAATTCAATAAGTCACACATAAAAGGCACCTAGAATGGTGCTGTCCCAGATTGGCCATTAGGAAATTGTTAGCCCTGGGCCATCCATGTTGCTGGTTGAACTGTGAGTCCCACTCAATGGTGGAACATTGAGGAGGTAGCAGTATTGTCTTTGAGAAAACAGAGTGTCTGTCCTAATGAAGCAGGAAGAAGCCAAAGTAAACCCTCTGGTTTTGCTTGCTTTTATTTGACTTTGAAAATCGACAATTTTGGAAGTCACACGACTGAGCAGTGTCATGGGTCTCCCAGTGTCATTGAGCTCTGTGTGGACAACATCTTTCCTCACAGAAAGTCCCTGTGCCTCCCCAAGCACACAGCCTCCCAGCCCTCCCCAGGCCTCTCTCATTGATCATTTCAGGAATGTTTCTCCAAAACTAGCAGCACAACATTGATTTACCCAAAACTCCCCTAATCTCCCTCCCACCCTTTAAGACTGATGATTCAAGATAATAATCAGCTGTTCTCCAGATCCACAGATGACCAGCCAGCAGGTTTGGTGAGACCCCCTTCCAGATCACCAGAGAGGGGCCTAGAAGCACAGTCTCAATCATTTCCTGATGTAAATCCTCTTCATTTCTCCTAAAGATAAAAGGATCTCAAGGCCTGTGCTGAGTTAGATCGTTTTCCAAGATGCTCCCCAGAGGGATCTTCAATTCCCTTTATTGTGGGACAACTAGGGAAAAGGTCAAGCTTCAGGGGTCTGAGTCATGTCATTGGACTCTACAGCTGGGGCACCTGCTACCCACCCTCTACCCAGTGTTCACAGCTCCCATTCCTGATGTTGCCATCTTGTGGGGTGAATGTCTACCCACTACTTTAGGGGAGTTCCATTTGTTATGGGCCAAACTATATGTGCCTTGGCCAGACAAATCCATCTTACCGTGAGATTACATTTCATAAAAGAAATGCTTCTTGCATGAGAAAACCCAGCCTACGTGACCCAGTTCTTGCTAAAGACACCCTGTTTGGCAACACATAACGGCTAAAAATGTTTCGATCTAATGGCTAAAAATGTTTCGACCACTGAACCACAACCCCAAGCCCTATTTTGTATTTTATTTAGGGACAGAGTCTCACTGAGTTGCTTAGTGCCTTGCTGTTGCTGAGGCTGGCTTTGACCTAGAGATTCTCCTGCCTCAGCCTCCTGAGCCTCTGGGATAACCAGCATGCACCACTGCACCAGGCTCTGTTGTTCTTATAAAATGTATTACTAAGAAATACTTTTTGGCTGTATTCAGTGGTGCACACCTGTAATCTTAGCGGCTCAGGAGGCTGAGACAAGAGGATTGAGAGTTCAAAGTCAGCCTCAGCAAAAGCGAGGCATTAAGCAACTCAGTGAGACCCTGTCTCTAAATAAAATACAAAATAGGGCTGGGGAAGTGGCTCAGTGGTTGAGTGCCCTGAGTTCAATCTCCAGTACCCCCTGCCCTCAAAAAAGAAGTGCTTTTATAGGTTGTGGATTTTTTTTGTTGTTGTTACCAGGGATTGAACTCAGGGGCACTAGACCACTGAGTCACGTCCGCAGCTTTATTTTGTATTTTATTTAGAGACAGAGTCTCACTAAGTGACTAGTGCCTCACTTTTCCTGAGGCTGGCTTTGAACTCGTGATCCTCCTGCCTCAGCCTCCCAAGCCACTGTGATTACAGGCCAGTCTGAGCAACTCAGAGTAACCCTGTCTTAAACAAATAAATAAATCAAAGTGCTGGGGAGGCCCATGGGTTTAATCTCTAGGACAGTGAAACAAATAAAAAAATAATATCTATTTCTCAGTGATACTCAGTAAATCTGTGAGAAGAAAAGATTACTGGCAGCAAAACATGAGCAAATATCTGAGAGAATTCTGAAAAACAAGAGGAATTGGGGGTGTGGATGGGGACATGGAGTTTGCCCTGTAAGAGAGTTAAAATACATAGCAATTATTTTACAGTACGACACTGTCCCGAGTGCTTAGAGTCCATGTGGTTTCAGACTCTATTTTAATTGTAGGTTGGGCTTTTTCAAGTCAGCCTGGAGGCAGTTTCCAAGGGTATACCACACCCAATTGACCCAGGCAGGTGGCCAAAGATAAAGGCCTTTCTCCTGCCTGATTGGCTCGGCTCTGGCTTCCTCTTGGCTCCTTTAAATGTGGGGTTCAGGCATTTCCCTTGTCCTTGCTTCGCACTGCTGGTTGCTGTTTTCTCCCCTCTACTGAGCTCGGGGTCTGCTGGGCACCCCACAATCTGTAAGTACCCAAAACTTTAACTTTCCCCTTGTGATTATGTCATGGAAGCCAGCCAGCAAACCCACCCTGAAGGGTGGGTCCCCCCTGGGACGAGCTTACAGGTAAGTGATGGAAAACTCCGAAGAATTTCATTCTTAAAAGGCACTAGCACAGGAATAGATCAACTGTTAAAACAGAATTTCAAAATATTAAGCCAAGTTTTAAACATTCTACAAGGCGTATGGGAGCCCTGTCACCCTGCTAGTCCCCAACCGTTAGTCCCCAACTCCCCTGGTAATTCCTTCCACACAGTTGATTTTACCCACAGAATTTTGTCTTTTTTTTTCATCCAGTTCCTGCCATGGAGGAGGAGGGTGTTCAGGGGATAAAAGGACACAGGGAGGCTGGCAGTGACCCATATGGTGACCCACTGCCAAGGTCTCTCTCAGCTGGTATCTTAGCAGGACATGCAGGGACATGAGATGTCCTCACAGGGGCCTTTCACACAAAAGGGACTTCAGGATTAGGACAAGGCCAGGACTGATGGGGGGGTCAGCCAGCTGACTTTGCAACGCTGGGGTGTGTGGTCTCACCAAGTCGCCTACCCTGCTCACCAGGGAGTGACAGTCTCCCGTACCTGCAGGTAGATGGTGGACAGATGTGGGAGCACAATGACAGTAGACCCGGGATGTGTGTGGGCCGTGCTCCGGGTGGGCAATGGCTACCGAAATGACAGGTGTGCTCAAGACACACCTTGGCCTCTGGCTTAGCTTCATCCTGGGAATGTCCATGTTACTGTAGATGGTTTGAGAGGACCTCTGTCCTGTGGGTTGAGGAACAGGCCATTAATTGACAAGAACACACTTGGCCCAAAGCCAGGGAGCCGGATGACAGTTCCCCAAAAGGGCTTTCAGCAAATCTGCCAGAGGACTGAGTTACCCTCTCTCCCTCCTGCCACCCACCCCAGGTCTTTGCTGGGTACCGGGATGTTGGTTAGGCAACGAAGCACGCAGGGAGGACAGCTCCAGGATCTGATCTGTTCTAGGGAACCTTCATCTGGAATCGTGCCCCCAGCTAGAGGTCCCTCCAGAACCCAAACCGTCTTCTTTCAACCTGTTGTCAAACGGGAAGTGGGCGTGCAGCGATCAAGGAAAACATTTCAAATAAAATAGATAGAGGCCATTGCACAAGATGAGCCACAGGCAGCCCTGCACATCATCCCCACACAATGAAAACAGGTGAGTCACATGCAATTTAATGCTTTGTAGCTGTATTGTAAAAAGTAGAGGGAAATAGGTGGCTGGTGTTAATTGTTTTGTCTACTTAGTTTTTTATTGCAGAAAAATACAGGCGCCATAAAATTGCCCCTTGTAGCCATTTTAAAGTGAATCATCTGGTGACACTGAGAACATACCAATGTGGTCCAACCACCGCCTCCACCTCACTCTGGGCATTTTTGAAGCTGAGTCTGCACCATGGAGTGTCACTCATTGCTTTCCACCCCAACCCTGGCACCTATGGGCGGCTTCCTGTCTCTGGATCTGCCTGTACAGGTGGATCACGCAGGATCTGGCCCTTGCCTGCGGTGGTGTTTCCAACCTGGGCCACAGGTTCTTCCGGGCTGAGCCATGTCTCCACGATTGGCTGGAACTCACTATGCTCAGTTGTCACTTGGTAGACTTTTGGGTTGTGTTCCTCTGTCAGGTGTTACAGGAAGTGCTGCTGTGAACGCGGGTACACACTTTTTTCAGGAACGCCTGTTTCCAGGTCTTTTCACTGTGCACCTGGGAATGAAGCTGCTGGACCATGTGGCAATTCTGTTCGACACTGGGGGCTGCTAAGCTGTTTCCACTGTGGCTGCACCTTGCCCTTTCTTTCTTTCTTTGGTACCAGGAATTGAACTCTGGGGCACTCAACCCACATCCCAGTCCTATTTTGTATTTTCTTTAGAGACAGGGTGTCACTGAGTTGCTTAGTGCCTTGCTTTTGCTGACTGGCTTTGAACTTGCAATCCGCCTGCCTCAGCCTCCAGAGCCCCTGGGATTTCAGGGGTGCATCACCATGCCTAGCCATGCTATTAATCTTAATAATCTACTGAAGAATTCCCTTGGTATCTACAAGGGACTGGTTCCAGGACCACCATCAACCCCCAAAAATCCCTGGATGCTCCAATATAGTTTATGAAATATAATATAATTAATAATAATATAATGTAATCATAATCATCCCCAATGACTCCAAAGCCTGATACAATGTAAATGCTGTCACCTTGTATCTTCAGGGAATAATGGCAAGAAAAACATATATACATCCTCAGTTTCCCCTGTGTCTGACCTGAGGTTGGTGGAATTTGCAGACGTGGAGCCTGCCGATGCTGAGGGCTAATTGAATTTATACTCATTTGATCCAAAATATTGTAATTGTAGAGAGTCATCCCTGAGAGAGTTGTGGTTCTTTGTTTTGCCTGTTCCATGTGTTCTCTGCACCTTTGCTCCATCACCTCCCGGTTGGTGGCTGGTGGCTACCCCCGGCTGGCATCATGCTGGATAAACTGGATAGTATTATTCATTTTCTCAGGGTGAAGCTTCTCAAGTGTTTTGTTCCTTTTCCTCCCTGTCAGCTCTGGGGTTTTCATCATCCCCGGGCTCCAGGAAGAAGAGAGGGTGGCGGTGCAGAAACGTGGCCACCAGGTGCTGAGGGCTCTGCACGGACTGTGCATCCAGGCGGAGCAGGTGAGGACGGGGAGGCTCCCGGGCCCATGATGCCCCCCTGCAGGGTTCTGGGGTGCCTCTCAGCCCCACGGGACAGGGGCGGAAATAGGAGGACACCCACCTGCACTTCCACAGTGGTGGCAACAGACACAGGTTACCCCTGCCCAAGGGACAGCCTCGTCCCCAGGCGCAGACCCTCTAACTGGCCTTTCCTGATGCCCAGGCTCCAGTCATCGCTGTGCTGTGCTCTGGCGGAGGGCTGCGTGCCCACATCGCCTGCCTCGGGGTCCTGAGCGAGCTGAGGCGACACGGGCTGCTGGATGTCGTCACTTACCTTGCGGGTGTCTCAGGGTCCACTTGGTGAGTTGGCTGCACTTCCGGTTGGTCAGGAAGGTGAAGAAGGTTTTCCCTTCTGATAACCAAATGTGTGCTGTCTTCTTTTTCTGTTTTTTTTTTTTTAACCCATTAAGTCACAAGTTTTCAGTTTTGTAAAAATTCGATAAATTTTGCCGTGGTGTATTAAAATAGGTTGGAAATAAAATTTAGATTGTATGTATTATTATTATAATTATACGCAATCATTTTTATTATATAATTAGTAGATAATGTTGTGTATTATATGCTATACTAAGTTTTTTTTTTTTTAATGCCACGAATCTAACCCAGGGGAGCTCAACTACTGAGACATATCCCCAGCCCTTTTTATTATTTAAAGACAAGATCTCACTGAGTTGCTTAGGGCCTCACTAAGTTGCTGAGGCTGGCTTTGAACTTGAGATCCTCTCACCTCAGCCTCCTGAGTGACTGAGATTACAGATGTGTGCCACGACACTCAGCTCTCTTTAAGTTTTTATGCGTGTTTGACATCTGGGAAGCTGGGACTCACTGGGTTAAGTGTCAGATAATAATGATGTCTGCATGCGGTGCAGTGTGACGCTTTGGTACCTAGGTGCATTGTGTGATTATCCCTCAGGATGCTTAGATCATCCACCATCTCCAATATGCATCAATTCTGCTGGTTGAGAACATTTCCAGTCCTCTCTCCTGGCTATTTTGAATGACACGATACAGTCTCGCTGCCTGGACCCCCCTGTGTGATGGAACACCAGGACTCACTCCTCTCTGGCAGTAACTCTTTCCTGTTACCAGCCTCTGCCCAGTCCCTGCCTCCCCACCCTCCCACTCTCTGGTGACCACTGTCCTGATGTTTCCTGCGCTCTTCCCCAAGCCTCCATCACCACTGGGTGTCCCACAAATTGCGTGCATTCTGACACTGTCTACCCAGAGTGGCGTGGGATCCCACCAGCAAAAGGGGCTGAGCCCCACAGGACTGGCTCCATGTCACACACCAAGTTCTGCGCCACCAGGACTTCTGAGGGACTGGCTATAAATTCCCATGACCTCCTCCTTGGGTTCCACAATTTCCTAGGACAGCTCCCAGAGCTCAGGAACAACTTTGCTTCCATTTACAAGTTATCGTGAAGCAGAGAAGTTAGGAACAGCCAGAGGAAGAGGTGCACAGGGCAGGGGCTGGGGGCTAGGGAGCACCATGCCCTCCGAGCACACTCTCTCCCTGCATGTCCATGAGTTCCCCAGCCCAGGAGGTCTCTGAACCCTGTGGTTTAGGGTTTATGGAGGTTTCATCACAGAGACATGATTGATTAAATTATTGCCCATTGGGGATTGAACCCAATATCCAGCCCCTCTTGCCCCTAGCCCTGGAGGTGTGGATCTGGGCTGAAAGTTCCAAGCTTTGGTCTTCCTGGTGACCAGCCCCATCCTGAAGCTGTTAGAAGCCCTGGGCCAAGAGTCATTTCATTAGAACAGAAGGGACAACTTTGTTCTTGTCATCAGGAACTCCCAAGGGCGTTAGGGGCTCTGTGCCAGCAATAGGCCACAAACACTGAACTGCTTCCCTGGACCACAGAAGGCCTGGGACAAGCAGTGTGGTAAGTGCCTGTGATGAACCTTCACGTCCATGACTGGTTTTACGCTTCAGGTGGATGAGACGAATACAGCTGATCGAGACTCCCCTGCCTTTATGACAGAGCACTGCGTTAGGTCTGGGGGACTTGCTCACTCTGGAGGCCCCAGATGGCAGGGATGAAGGGGACTCAGAGCCTGCTCCTTTGCCCAGGGCAGACCTTCGTCCACCTGGGCACGTTTTCCATGCGGGAGGAGAGGCTGGACTGGCTGGGGGCTGAGTGAGAGAGGAGGTTAATGGCGGATGGCAAGAACCAGCGTGAAGAACAGGGACACAGAGCTCAGGGGCGAGGCTGGTCCTGCCTCTCACACCTAAGAGCCCCAGGTTCCCAGCCACAGGGTACAGGGCTTAGCCGAACTGCCCTGTGGCTACCCCTAGGTAGCGCTGCTGCCCCAGGAGAGGCAACATCTCCTTCAGGGTGCAGGTGCTGCAGCCTGTGGGTGGGAGGAAGCCTTAAATTCCTGGAGCTGTCCTTTGTGAGCTGTTATGCGCCCATGTCACCTCCTTGGGCCTTGGTTTCCGCAAATGTCAGAGAGGTTAACAGGCTTGAGGGCTGTTGTAAACAAGGTGACAATGGTAAGCAATGCATCCCATAGAAACACAGCCTAAGCTGCACCTTTTATTTAAATTTTCAAGCCGGGTGCAGTGGTGCCAAGCCTATAGTCCCAGTACTAGTGAGGCTGAAGTAGAAGGATCACTTAGAGTCCAGGAGTTGGAGACCAGATTGGGCAACCCAGGGAGACCCTGTTTCAAAAAATAGTATTAAGCTGGGCATGGTAGCACACATCTGTGACACAGCGACTCTGGAGGCTGAGGCAAGAGGTTTGCAAGTTCGAGGCCAGCCTCAGCAACTTTATGAGGCCCTCTCTCAAAATAAAGATGAAAAGGACTTGGTATGTGGCTCAGTGGTAAAGGGTCCCTAGATTCAATTCCCAGGACAATAAATTAATTAATAACAATAAAATTTTCTAGTTGCGTTGTTTAAAAGAGCTGTAACAAACTGTAACAGTGTGTTTTCTTTTTAACCCAACACTTCTGAGACCTTAGTGGTCTGGCATGAGGTCAGTACAAACACTAGTAAGCAGATTTTTCTTTCCTCTCTCAGACTCTCTTTGAGAGTCGTGCACAGTTTACACTCAGCACTTTCCAGTGCAGAAGCTCGAGCCCTGTTGGAAGTGACCGTGAATGTGCAGCTGAGAAGCAGTGTTCCAGACCCACCTCTTTCCAAATGTGGTTCCGCTTCCCAGGAACCAAGTGGAATTTAAATTGGAAAAATTAATTCAACTTGGGGCTGGAGTTGTGGCTCAGTGACAGAGCGCTTGCCTGGCACATGTGATGTACTGGGTTCAATCCTCAGCATCACATAAAAATAGATTAAAAAAGGCATCATGTCCATCTATAACTAATATGTATATTAAAAATTTTTTAAAAAGCTAATTAAAATTAAGTACAATTGAGAATCCAATTCTTAAGTCACAGTTGTCATATTTCAAGGGCTCAAGAGCTGCGTGTGGCTGTGCTGAGCACGTTGGACAGGGCCAGGTTGGGCAGCACTCAGGAAGTAGTATACGAACAGCAAAACTATTGACTGAACAAATGGATGTCAAGTCTCCTTACTAGGAATGGCCAGGTGTTCCTCCTTGGAAAAGTCTACCTATCTGGGCTCGTTTTCAGCATGATGCTCTCAGGCACGCTACAGAAGATAATGGGAAGGTGGTTGACTATATGGAAACAATCCAGTTCTACTTCACATTACCTATGTGATCTTGCAGAAGTTGCTTAATCTCTCTGTGCCTCCGTGTCTTCCTCTGTGAATTGAAGATAATCTTATTACTTTTTGTTGGTTTGTTATAGAGATCTACAGATAACACCTGTGACAGTGGCCTATCAACTCTTGATAAATGTTAGTCTGAAAAACGCTATTTGGCTCTCATCAATCGCTTCTGTCTTGCTCTCATTTTCCTGTCTATAAAATGGAACTATTATCCCAGAGGCTGTTTGAAGCCTCCCTTGAGCTTTATGTTCTGCAGTCTTACTTACATCTCCCAGGAAGGGAGGCCTGGGGGCTGATGAAGGCCCTCCCAGCCCTCTTGGTCCACAGTCAGGCCCTCCACACAGCCTAGCCTGCTTCCTCTATCCCCAGGGCAATGTCTTCATTCTATGCCAAGGACGGGAACTTGGAAGACATCGAGGCCGAACTGAAACGTCGATTTGACCAGAGGGAGTGGGACTGGCATGGTAGCCTGCAGGAAGCCGTCCGGTCAGCGAAGACGTTGAAAAATTACTCTCTGACTGACTTTTGGGCCTACTTGGTCGTCTCCAAACAAACCCGAGAAGTAAGTCACCCCCAGAGGAGGACCTGGGGCTTCAGGGGTAGGACTAGGGAAGATCTTGGTCAACATGTCCCTTTACACCTTTTAAGGCTTTCAGCCTCCAGATCTGGGTGCCTAGCTCTTGTCTCAAGGCTGAAAGATATTGCTCCTGTTGCAAGTAGCAGAATCAGACTCTGATTCATTTATGCCAAGAATAAAGTAACCTGCTCTCTAGGAAAGATCCCAGGGTGTCTGAGGGCAGCAGGGACCCAAGTTGACTTTCTCTCCTCTGTCCCTGGCTGAGTGTGGGCAGATTGGTTTTTCAGCTTCTCCATGAACTTAGTAGAACATGTTTTCCCAGCCCCACAGCAGCCGGGTGTTCACCTCCAGAGCCTCCAACCCCGGGACTGAGCCCCCTGTTGCCTGAAGACACCACCCGGTCATCTGGAGTCAGGGCAGATGCTACCTAGGTTCCAAATGTCCATGGTGCCACGGCGACCTCCATGTGGGGTGCAGTTCTCAGAGCAGGAGTGTTAGGGTGACCATGGGGTGGGAGCCCAAAATGAGGTGGTCCTCCAATGGACTCCTGTTTTTACCTGTTGGGTTGGGCTAACACTGTCCTCTTCTTAGACATTGGAGCAAGGGATGGAGAAAGCCTGCACTATGGGATGGTGGCTGAAAAGACTTGTGGGAATAGGATTCTTGCCAGAGTGTCACCTGGGGGACAGGTGTGCCTGAGCAATGACAGAGGGGACCTGTAATAGAGTGAGAGTGGAGTCGGGATATTTCTCTCTCTCTCTCTCATAGTTTAATCTGCTGCTTTTAAACTTCACTGAGATGTAACTGATATACACAATATTGGACCTGCGTGCATGTTTAACATGTACATCTAGAGGAGTTTGGACAATTGGATGTACTGTGACGCCATTGTCACAATTTAAGGTACAAACTATCCGGCTCCTCCTAAGACCTCTGTGCTCTGAGGCGCTGGTGTCAGAGGTGCAGGTCGGGGCTCGTCATGGGCCGGTCCCTGGGACTGCACCTGCTGAACTGAGCCAGGTGCAGGAGTATCCAGGCCGCATGGCTCCACTTCCGGGAGGCCTCGGGGACAGTCAAACTGTCATCGGCATGTTGGAAATATCAGGGGTCCTGCGTCCCCGGAAGTCAATAAGGAACATGTGGGGGCTCATCAGCTCTGTCAGCAGGGCGGGATTTTTTTTCCATGTGCAGAAGGACGCACAGCAATTAAGACCAAAGCAGGCGCACAGAGCAGGCTGTCTGCTGGGCTTTGTCCCTGAGGCAAGGGCACCGGCTTGCTGTCCCTAGGGTGGGGCTGACAGCAAACTTTGGCTCCAATAGCTATTAGGAGAGAGGGCACTTGACCACTAGGCATTAGCATCCGTTGAAATGACCATTGGGTTATTTAAACAAATATATCTTTAGTTGTCCCCACCTCCTTTTGTCCCTTGTGGTGGGAAAGTCCCCCTTTTGGCACATATACCTTTAGCTCTGGGGGCCAGGTGGCCCCTTCCTTCTCACCACCTGTCTGTCAAGGTGCTGTGCGTTTTGACCCTCTGGTGTTAACCTGCTTGTAACTTTCCACTCTGCTCTCCCCTCCAGCTGCCTCTCCTACATCCAAAGTCATTTTACATTTAAAGTTAAATACTGTATTTTGAAAGTGGACCATGGAGATTTTCTATTTCTCATAAACCAAGGCTGGAACAGTGGCTGCAGGATCTGGGGCAGAGGGGAGGCAGAAATGGGAGCCTGTTGCTCAAAGGATATAAAGTTTCAGTTATGTGAGGTGAGTCAGCCCTGGAGATCCACTGTACAGCGTAGGATCTGCCATTAACAGAACGGCACTGTACCCTCTGAACTCTGTTACAAGCCTGATGTGGTGGCAGAAGCCTGTAATCACAGTGATTCTGGAGGCTGAGGCAGAAGGATGGCAAGTTCAAGGCCAGCCTCAGCAACTCAACAACCGTGTCTCAAATTAACAATATAAAAAGGACTGCAGATGTGCTCGGTGGTGAAGCAGCCCTGGGTTCAATTCCCAGATACTCCCCTCCAAAGTAATTTGTTATGAGGCAGACTGCTCCTCCCCCAGTGTGAGCGTTTGAGAAGTTGTGGACACAGGCCCTGTCACCCCTGTCCATGGCTGTTGCCCTCGCAGGTGTATGCAATGTGGGAACTGTGTGAAGGCCCCTTCAGGGATCCCACATGGGGCAAATCCTTGCTCCCACCTGGTTGCACTCCTGCTGTTCCCAAGGGGTTTCCCAACTAAATGTGTGCTTTTAATTCCTGGCCACGCGTGTTGCTGGAACCCCACAAGGACAGACACAGGAAGCCTTGCATTTGCCCCGCTGATCTTCACCTTGTAAGATGGTTAAACACCCAGGCTTTGCGGTCAGACGGTGGGTGTGGAGACCAAGCAGGGCAGTCCATCCCCAGCATTGGACCTTGTGACCACACCAAGCCACCTGTACAAGGTTCAGGGGCAGGGACAAGGCACACAGGTCAGGCTGCAGTTGATCCTCCCAGGGGCACCCAGGAAAGAGGTGCAGAAAAGATGACGCTTGTGTTTACAGCCATCCACCGAACGAACACCTGTTGTGCACTGAGAGTCGTTTGTTGAAATGGGTTTCCAAAGATGAAAGGGGAGAACGGACATTCCAGCCCAGAGTGACTGTGCAGGGAGGTCCCCATAATGGGAGGAGCCGTGTAGCCAGCCAGGCACCCTCTGCCCTCCAGTCAACCTCGGTACTTTCCCTCCAAGCTGCAGGGCTCTCACTTGTCCGGCATGAAGACGCTTGTGGACGAGGGGACGATGCCCTACCCGATATTTGCAGCCATTGACAATGACCTCCACTCTGCCTGGCAGAAGGAAAAAAACCAGAGTAAGCCAAACATCGGAGGGAGGGGGAGGGTTGGGGGTCAGAAGGCACAGGGTGAAATGCCAGGAAGCGCCTCGGACCTTCCCTCTGGGGAGCCCCGGAGGAGCAAGGGCTCCTAGGAGGGCAGCCAGGACGGGGCGCTCAGGGAGAGGGAGGCCCTAGAAGCCACTTGAGGGCACACGCTGGCTGGCTGTGGATCAGACAGTCCTAACAGGGGCACTGGAGGGCCCGAGCAGGGGGTGGCTCTTCCCTTTCACACCGCGTCTTCCTCCTGGGACCAGGTGCTATGGCTTTCCAGAAGTTCCAATTTAGACCCTGAGATGGAGCCCTCCTGACCCAGCTCCCTGAGCAGAACACGCCTCTGTCCACGCAGCAAACACGCCTGATTTCTCCCACCCGGGTGGGGTTCCCGTGCGGGACATCTCCTGGCCTCTCCAGGCTCAGTAGTCCCCAGGGCTGCTGCTTGGTCTCTCTCCTCCCAACGTGGAGCCTGTGTTGTTTCCCCACCGAGGGATGTAGCCCATCCTTCCAGAAGGCCCTCCAGCCCAGTCCTTCCCAAGACATCAAAACTGCCTCTCCTCCCCAGAGTCCACGGCCCTCCTCACCACATCCTGGACAGGGTCTCACATCACCTCCTTCCATGGCTGCCTGGTGGAAGTTTCCAGAACAAAAATCTGATGGTGTGGTTTCCCTCCTTGGAGCATCCCAGTGACTCCCTGGCATGCGCAGAGAGCCCTCTGTGTCCCAGCGTCTAGACGTTCCTGCGCTCCAGCTCCCACAGCTGGGACTTGCAGCTGGATGATGGGAGTGGGGGCTTGGGAAGGACTGGCAGCAGGATGTCGTGGGCATAGGAAGCTGCCGCCAGCAGAATAAGGACTCAAAGCTCTGGGGGTGGGATCCCCACCGAGTCTTTGAGGCCACGCAGTCTGGAGACTATGTCCTGGTTGACAGTCTGTGTTTCAGAGATTTTTTTCCCCTGAGCACCTACTGTGTTTGGCTCTGTGCTGACCGCTCACCCTGTGCTTCCTCCCCAGAGACCTGGTTCGAGTTCACCCCTCACCACGCTGGCTACCCTGCGCTCAGGGCCTATGTGGCCGCCACCCACTTTGGAAGCCAATTCAAGGAGGGCAGAATGGTCAGACAAGAGCCCGAGCGAGACCTGACCTTCCTGAGAGGTCAATACCAGGGTCCAATGGGGATGAGCAGATTATAAAGTGGAGGGGAGATGGGAGTGTCCCTCCTGAGGGTTGAGCTCTGCCCAGCGCCTGTGTTTCTGGAAGAAAAAGAAAGGGGCTTCAGGAATGTGCATTCTTCCGTCTGGGTCATCTGTGCCTCTCAGAGGCCTCCTTGATGAGACAGCAGATGACCCAGGAGAGGTGGTTTCATGGCAGGGCTCACATAAGCAGGCTGCTGTGTGTGCAAGAAACCCTTGGCCCTTGACGTTCTGAGACTGGCTTATGTCATTTAGCATGATCTTCTCCACTTGCATTTATTTACCAGCAAATGCTATTATTTCATTCTTCTCTATGGCTGAGTAAAACTCTCGTGTGTGTGTGTGTGTGTGTGTGTGTGTGTGTGTGTGTGACATTTTCTTTATCCACTTGTCTGTGAGTGGACGGCTGGGCTGGTTCCATGACTGGATTATTGTGGATCATGCTGCTATGAACTTGATGTGCCGATATCACTAGAGTACTCTGGTTTTAGCCCTTTTGGATGGATACTGAGGAGTGGGAGGGCTGATCAGGGGGTGGTTCCATTCCTAGTCTTTTGAGAAATCTGTACACTCCTTCCAGTGCAGTTGTACTAATTTGCAGTCTCATTAGCAATTAATGTGTGGACCGTTTCCCCCACATCCTGACAGCATCTATTCTTATTTGTATTTTATTGGTTGGTCCTGGGGATTAAACCCAGGTGCTTTACCACTGAGCCACATCCCAGCCCTTTTTATTTTTTATTTGAGACAAGGTTTCTCCAAGTTACTGAGGCTGGCTTTGAACTTGCGATCTTCCTGCCTCAGTGTCCGGAGCCACAGGGATTACAGGTGTGCACCACCCTATCCAATTTATTATCTGTCTTCTCGATGAGTGCCACTCCTACTAGAGCAAGTTAAAAATCTCAATGTAGTTTTGTTTGCATTTCCTGATTGCCAGGGATGTTGAACCATATATTTGTTGATCATTTGTATTTCTTCTTTTGAGAAAAGTCTGTGTAATTCTTTTATCCATTTGTGGATTGAGTTATTTGGGTTTTTCTTTTTGTGTAGAGTTTTTTGAGTTCTTGTTTTTTTTTTAAGGTCATTTTATTTATTTTTTTTAGCTCTTTTTTTTAATTGGTTGTTCAAAACATTACAAAGCTCTTGACATATCATATTTCATACATTAGATTCAAGTGGGTTATGAACTCCCATTTTTACCCCAAATACAGATTGCAGAATCACATCGGTTACACATCCACGTTTTTACATAATGCCATATTTGAGTTCTTGTTTTTAAAAAATATTTTATTTTTTAGTTGTAGTTGGACACAATATCTTTATTTTATTTTTCTGTGGTGCTGAGAATCGAACCCAGAGCCTGGCACGTGTTAGATGAGCGCTCTACCTCTGAGCCACAGCCACATCCCATTTTTTGAGTTCTTTATTTTTCCTGGAGATTAATGCTGTCTCTGCTCTATCTGATGCAGGTGGCAAAGATCTCTCCCATTCTGTGAGCTCTATTCGCACTCTCAATCATTTTCTTTGCTTTGCAGCAGATTTTTAATTTGATGCTGTCCTGGTATTTGATTCTCAGTTGTAGGTCTTGAGCGTTAGGTGTCTGGTTGAGGAGGTTGGTGTCTGCACTGGTGGGTCAGGTGTTGATCCTGTGCTTCCTTCTAGCAGATGCAAGGTTTGTGCTCTAGTTCCCGGTCTCTGATCCACTGTGACTTGACTTCTGTTGTCTCTGTAGGTTTATGGGGAAGTGCTCTAGCCAGCCTTGAAGAAATCAGGAAATTTATTTGGGGTGAGTATTTGGAGAACAAAAGGGTCAAAGCTTCAAGGTATTTTATACAAGGATTTTCACCATACTTTTCCTACACATGGAAGATGAAAGACCTGTGTGTCATTGTCCTTGCAACTGTCTTTCTTGAAATTATTGCCATCTCCTTAGCCTTTATCAGGGGCAGCCAGGGTGATGAGAGTGGCTGAGAGTGCAGGCTGCCTTGGAAGAATTGTTTTCCCAGTTTACACGTGCTGTGTGACCTCTAGAAAGTTACTCAATCTCTCTGTGCCTCAGTTTCTGCATCCATAACATGGGGTGGTAATAGGAGCAGTCATGAAGATTCAGTGAGTTTACCCTGCTCAAGCAGTGGGGACAGGGCCAGGTGGATAAAAGCACTGGGAACACCTGCTCTGTCACACAGTCCTTATGATGTTCCTGAGAAGTGGATGCTATAGTCACTGCATTTTGCTGCTATCCACGGAGTCACAGGCCAGTGACTTTCCTTGAGTCATTGGCCAGTGAGCATGCATGCAGGGTCTGTGGTGGTTCAGATCCAAGTCTGTGCCTGGATCCACGTCCTTGCTGTGTCTTGTGTGCTCTGGTGACCCAGGAAAGCTGCTTAAGCTGTGACCCAATGTCTCCCTCCTTGAAGTGGAGACCACAGCAATTCCCAGTCTCCTACAGAAGGCGTGAGGTTTAAATGCCTGATGTGTCTAAGATGCCCAGACCAGAGCCAGACACGTAGCTGGACATGGTGGTCCCGTTGGGTGTCTATGGAAGTATCCTTCCTGTTGTTAAGAACTCACATCTGAGCCACTGGCCCTTTCCCAAACACCTACTTTTGGTGTCTCCTGTGTGCCAAGCACTGTTCTAGGTGTCCTGCTTGGATGTTCCTTGACGTCTGTGTTCACCACATGTTAGTTAAAGTTGAACGGAGCTGCTGTCCCCTCCAACTGCCCAGCATTGGCCATGGCTGGGGGGTGGCTCTGAGTTCCGCGCATCTGGAGGGAGTGCTAAGCTTGCTCCCTGGCAACAGGAGAGTCCTCCGGTTTGGTGTTTGCCAGTTTCCGTGGTGTAAACTGGGGATGTCAAGGCAGCGTCTGAGCTCACTGAGGGCGGAGTGGAAGGCAGCTCTGAAGAGCCGCAGCAGGGCCTCGCTGGTGGCAGGCGCTGGCAGGAAGGCCTTCCCGGGAGGCAATCTGCACGCGTCTTGGGAGCACTGTGCAGCGCAGCTGGTGACCCTCTCTTGCCTCTGCTCTCTCGCAGACAAGCTGTCCAGCCTGAGAGAAAGTTTCTTGCTGATGTACCATCCCATAGAAGGTAAGTACCCCCCTTGTTGTGAGTCCCTGGGGACGCTGGGCATGGGACCCAGCCGCTGACCTCAGGCTTGACCAGTGCTGATCCTTCGGTGCTCGCTGTCCCCCAGGCACCAGCTCCCTGCCAGCTGTGCAGTTGGGGATAGCTGTGTGTCTGTCTCTAGAGTTCACGGCCGGGAATGGGATCCTCAGTGCAATGGTGTTGGGAGGTGGGGCCCTAAGAAGTCCTTAGGTCACAAGGACTATGCCTTCACAGGCTGCTTAATGTCACTCTCCCAGGTGGCCTCGCCAGTGGGCCTGCTCTTCCCCTCTCCCTCCTACTGTCTGCCTCCCACCATGGGATGGAGCAGCTCACGGGGTGCCGGCTTCTGGGCCTCCAGAAGGCGAGAGATGAGTTCCTGCTCTTTGTAGATGACCCAGCCTGTGGCATTCTGTGAGAGCCACACAAGACGGGTGACCACCGAAATCAAGAGGCATGTGGTCTAAGTGACGTGCTAAGGCCACAAGCCAGGAGGGGCAGAATCAGTCCAGGCCAACACCCTGGAGGCCAGCACCATGGGCACTGTCCAGTGGGCTCTGGGTGTGTCGAAGGCAGCAAGTGGGATCAGTCCGAGGTGATTGGCAAACTGAGAGGGAAAATATGTCCTATGTGCTAAGAGTCACAAAAGAGAGAGGCTTGACTCCCAGGGAGAGCGCAAAGGAGCACAAGGACGTGGCCCGTGGGGGGAGAGGCCGCACTGTGGGCAGGGCAGGGGGCCATGCTGCACCAAAGCAGAAGCCCCCACCTCTCTGGGCTAAGGTGCCAAGAGCTTCTATTTTGTTCATACAGAAAAGCAGTATGGCTGGGTGTCCCTCCTGGGTGTCCCTCCTGGATGTCCCTCCTGGGTGTCCTTCCTGGGTGTCCCTCCTGGGTGTCCCTCTTGGGCCCTCTCTGGCTGCTCCTGGCCAGATGCAGAAACCACCTCAACAAAGCCACTCAGACCTCACCGTGGCTCCAGGCTGGGGATGGGGCAGGGGTGAGGTCCCACCTGGTCTTGAGGGGCTCTGGAGCCCAGCCTGACCCTCAGGCTCTGTCCCCCCTGGAGCAAGGGACTGGGCTTCATTCTCCCACACACTCGCACCAGAGGGTGGGCCCAGGAGGGGTGTGTGGGCCAGGGCTCTGGGCACCTGGGAGAACCCGTGGGTGGACTGACTGCAGGTGTGACTTGAAGCAAATACCTGGGAGGAGGCGGAACTGAGCCGCCCCGCCATTGGGCCCCCCCACCCCCGAGCGTCAACGTGCTTCTGAGGGTATTTTTTTGCTCTAAACAGGGAGGGCAATCCCTGGGGCAGGCGTGGAAGTGGCGCTCCTGGATTTGATGATGGCTTATGTCGAAGATCCTAAATCCCCCAGCATCCAGGAGAAACTCCGGGGGCTGCAGCAGGAACTGGAGGCGCAGAGGAAAGGTCTGTGCACAGGGATGCGGGAGGGCTGGGTCTCTCTCCTCCTCCACCCTCATGGTCTCCTCTCACCGGGGAGGGTCAGCAGGGGGCTGAGGCGATGGGGAGCCGCAGGCGAGGAGGGACCTAATGGGGTGCTCTGCCCCTGCCAGTGGCCCTTGTAGAAGAGGCACCCTCGACAGTGGGAATGCTCCCTGTCACTGTGCCAGGCTGGATTCTGCATGTCTGTCATGTCGCTGCGTCTGGTCTTCATGCCAGGTTGTGAAGTGGGTGCTCAGGCTATCCCCACTTCCCAGATGAGAAAACAACGGCACAGAGAGGTTGAGTGACATGTCCAGGCTCACACAGTTTGTGCTGGTGTTGGGACCCAAGCACCCGGACCCCAATGCGCATAACAGCCATCCTGCAGGTTAAGAGCCAGAAAAACTGGGCTCCGTAGGAAATCTTCCCATTTTTAAGTGCTGATAACTAATTAGCCTTTGTTTTAGGACATGGCGTGAGTTGATCATGTTGGGGATGGGGCTGGGCCCACGGATTGACGGTTGTCACAAGAGATCCATAGAGTAGGGAATCCATAGATGGGGAAGCGCGTGACAAGTGACTTCACCCCTCCGTGCCTCCTCTGTGGCAGGGATGGCGCTAGGTCCCCCTCACGGAGTGTGGTGAAGGTTGGGGAGGGGACGCATGTGCCCTGCTGAGGCGGCCTGGCTCCTGGGGCACTCGGCCGGTGTGTGCAGCGTTCCCATCTGAAGGGGGGGCTCCACCTACCTTGTGGGTGGGGGGAGGATGGAAGAGGTGAAGGCTTGGGACCAAACCCCAATACTAGAGATACCAGCTTGCAAAGAGGAACAGAGGAGGGGGACAGGGAAGGAGATGGGAAGAAGGAGCCCACTGGGGGGCAGGGGGAGTGGTGAGGGGCGCTGGGCCAGAAGGGGGTGTGGGGCAGGGGGCCGCCTAGGGCGAGGCCACCAGGAACCGCAGGCGCTGTCAGGCGTCCTCGAAGGGCTGAGTGGACAGCACTGTGGCTCTCCTGTGTGACACCTCCCGGGTCTCCTGGGGCAGATGAGTGCCACCACAGCTGGATGTCTGAGATAATCCAGAGCTGGACCGAGATCTCCCTGGAAGAGCAGGAGCAGTTCCTGGAATACCTGGCCTATTGCTTCCAGAGGCAGGAGCAGGACCCCAGGTGGCGAGTGCAAACATCACTGATGGGTGAGGGTGAGTGCCATGCCGCCAGTGCTCCCTGCTGTGTCACCCGCCCTCTGCAGGGGCAGCTGCCCAGTAGCACCATCTGCAGCCCAGCCACAGAGGCCTGAGGGACACCCAGGACCACTGGTCTCTGGATACAAGTCAGCTCGGGTGGCCTTTGCAAAGGCCCACGGTCTGGGTGGCTCCAGCAGCAGACGCCCGTTTTCTCACAGTCCTGGAGGCTGGAGTCCTAGATCAAGACGCCGGCAGGGTGGCTTCTCCCAGGTCCCTCTCCTAGGCCTGCTCACTGTGTCGTGTGGCCCTGCTTTTCACATGTCCCTGTGTCCCTTCCCGTCAATGAGGACACATGTCCTCCTGGATGAGCGATCCCCTTACCACCTCATTTGGCCCAGTCTTCCTCCTTAAGACCCTGTCTCCATATACAGGGCTTCAGCGTAGACTTTGGGGAGTGGGGACAAAATCCATCTCATAACCCTCACCCTGGCTCTCTCCGTTTCTCCCTCTAGTTGCATATTGGGACTATTTTGTTTTTCTGTTTAAAACTTCTATATGCTGCTCCAAGTGGGAATGGGGGACCACCTACAACTTCCTGCATAAACACGGTGAGAAAGCCCCTGTTCTGTCTCCTTGATGCCTATGGGGATGGGATGGGGAGGGACAGGGACCAGGAAATCTCAGCTCATCCTTCCCCGGGGGCCAGGGAGAGGCTGGCAGGGCTGGCTGGTCTGAAGCGAGGAACCTCCCCAGGGTGGTGGTCCATGGTGAGGGACCTGTGGCCTGGTGGTTGCATGGAGACACTGTGAAGTCCTTGTCCCTGAGAGCTGATGGTTTTCTCTGGCTCTGAAAAGACACAAACAGCAACACCTTTATTCTTTGTTGGTCAGGCATAGGATCTGGCTGGCATGGACTGTGCTTTCCCAGGCTGAGCCCTACCATGTGGGTAGAAAGAACTCTGGCCCAGAGATGGCTCTGTAAGACTTCAGAAGCTTCTGCTCTTATAACTGATGAACATCCTTTCCCAGGGCATTGCTGCCCCTGCTCCTGGGAAAGGTCCCCACTCTTGTGATAAGACAACAGTGGGAATCTTTGTGTTCTGGACACTTGTTGCCTTTGTGCAAATCAAGAAGGTACCTTCTTCAGGAAAGGAAGGTCCAAATTGTGCCCTCCTTGGTCATTGCTGTGTGTAGCTTTGAAGTTGTCTTGATTCATTTTTTTTTTTTTTTTGGTGCTTTAACAAAATACTTGAGGCTGGGTACTTTAGAAGGAAAAGAGGTTTTAACAACTCAAAGTTTGAGAGGTGGAAAGCCCAAGTTCAGGTGACCCCATCTGCTCAGCCTCTGTTGACAGCCTGCTTGGCTGTACCACAACATGCCATAGAATAAAAAAGGGAAATGGCTATGTGAAGGAGAGGTCAAGTATGTGAAGTGGCTTCAATTTATTGCAACTTGCTCTCTCTTGGGACTAATAATTCACTCTGTGAGAGCAACATGAATCCCCAAGAGGATGGTGCCTCCAGGTCCTAATAACCTCTTATCAGTCCCTCCACCCTAGCACAGTCACACTGGGGACTAGGCTTCTAGCACAGGAGCCTTTGGGGACCCTGAAACCTTGGCAGTGGTGAACCTTGGCTGGGCATTGGCCCCCTCTCCAGGTGCTCGTGAGGACAGGGCTGCAGCTGCATGGGTGCACCAAGCTGCACAGTCTCCATAGGAAGGCCACATTAGGAGAGAGGCTGGCAGGTGAGGACTCACTGTTCTCCTCCTGGGCACCGCAGGTGGCGTCAGAGACCCGGCGATGCACACTCGGGAGCTCTTGCACCTGGTCGATGCAGGATTCGCCATCAACACCCCCTACCCGCTCGTTCTGCCCCCAGTTCGGCAAGTTGATCTCATCCTCTCTTTCGACTTCAGCGCGGGGGATCCTTTCCAGGTAAGCGAGGAGCCCTGGGTGGTCCCGGGTGGAGGCCAAGCTCTGAGCTCCGCAGCTAGGAACCCGGATGCAGCTGGGAAGTGGGCGGGGTGGGGTGCTGCAGGCAAATCCACTGGGCCTTGGGTCCTGACGCATTCAGGGTCTGGTGATGCCTCTGAGTTTCTAGATCCAGCCCAGACCTTGCTGGACCCTTCTTTGGGCAGGCGGTTCTAGCACCTTCCAGGTCCTCCCGGACTTGTGCTAGTTTGACTGGGGACCTTTGAGCTTCCCACGCTGAGCCTGCTTCCCCCGTGCACACGTATTTCTTCCCGTTCATCTTGGCTTCCCGGGGTCTGGCTCTCAGCAGCCCTTGCTGAGTGGGAGAAAACCCAAGCGTGGTTTTCACGGACTGGCCTCGGCAACCAGCTCCTGTCTCCTTTCTCCTTTCTCTGGTGCGCTGCTCGGTTATCCCGGCTGCCTGCCCGCTCGGCCGCTTGCAGCGGCTGTTGCACCTCCGTGTGCCTCAGTTCCCTCAAGCGCAAAATGGATTCCTCCTCTCAGGGCTGTTACACAGATTAAATTAATACCTGGAGCGTTCAGCACAGTGCCTGGCACACAGCGGGGGTTTCGAAACACTGTCTTTAAAATTACACACCGAGAGAACCCTCAGCTTCCCAGGGGGCATGTTTTGGGAAATGCAGAGGGACAGTTTCAGCTTCCTGCCAGTGTCGCAGAGGGTCCTTGTGCAGTTGAGACATGGGTAGTCTTGTTCAGACCCACCACGAAGCTTCTCCACGTGAGCAAGAGATGCAGGGACATGAGATTTTGGAGTCTGCTGCTGCACACCCCGGTGGACACCTGAAGTAACCTTTTTATAGGTCCCAAATAATGGTACAAGGCAGAGTAAGTACAGAAACCAGCAAGGAGACATTCACCTTCATAGTAGTGCCTTTTTATTTTTGGGGAATTGAGAACTTAACCCAGGGGCACTTTATCACTGAGTCACATCCCCAGCCCTTTTTATTTGGAGATAGGGTCTCATTAAAATGCTCAGGGCCTTACTAAACTGCTGAGGCTGCCTTCAAATTTGCAATCCTCCTGCCTCGGCCTTCTGTGTAGCTGGGGTTACAGGCATGCGCCACCATGCCTAGCTGTGCTGTTCTTGATACAATCGAAAACACAGTAGGTCTGTTTACCCCAGCATCACCACCAACTCAAGTGCTGCCTTGTGCTACAGCATCATGGCAGCTGTGACAGCAGAGGTGATGGGGACTTTCCAGCTCCATCATCTTCTCAGGAGGCCACTATCAGATGTGTGATCTGTTGTCAACCAAGTGTCACTATATGGTGAGGAACTGCACCTGGTCAACACTTGTCAGTACTGGTGAGGTTCTTATTGTGGTACCTGCCACTTAATATGGGGCTTGCAAATATTTTCTTTAAAAATACAAACACAAGCTGCACACAGCAGTGCACACCTGTAATCCCAGAGGCTTGGGAAGCTGAGGCAGGGGGATCTTGATTTCAAAGCCAGCCTCAGCAAAATTGAGGTACTAAGCAACTCAGTGAGACCCTGTCTCTAAATAAAATACAAAATAGGGCTGGGGATGTGGCTCAGTGGTTGAGTGTCCTCGAGTTCAATCCCCAGTACCCCACCAAATATATACACTTGTGTAATATGCAGTCATACCTCTGCTGTAGTACACTCCAATATAGCATGCTGCACGCGATGGTGGCCACTCAGTGTGGTATGATATGACGGTGCACACCCATAAAGACACCAGTGGGCATCTCTACAGTGTGGACAGACACCTCTGCCCTCACAGTTGCCAGGGCCAGCCACTCTATCCCTGTCTTCTGCCTTTGCACCCTGGGCTAGTCAGGCTTCTAGGTTCCAGGATTTCTTCTGAAATAAAGATCTCCAGACATTGTGGCAAAGGTGGAAAGACCAGGGTCCTGGGAGTCAGTCTCTCAAATCTTCATTGTGTAACCCTGAGCAGTGGGCTCACCCTCCAGGCCTTGGCTTTCTCATCTGCAAAATGGGGATGGCACGACCCATTTTAGTGAAGTCTGCAAAGGCTCCTCACAGTGCCGGGTGCTTAGCTGATCTTCAGCAGAAAGGTTGCTGCTCCCAGGGGGTGCAGAAAGGAGCAGGAGTGCTGATACCAAAACAGCAGCCTGTTAAGGTGGAACTTCAGAGAACATGGCACAAAGCTGCTTGTCACCTTGGTGCCACCAGCAGCCTGTGACAATGAGCACTTCAGATGTGCGCCCTCTGAAGAGAGATGTGATGCATGTGAGGCTCCCCCCAGATTTTAATGAGGGGATGAAGACAACAAATATAAAAGACCTTGTCCACCATTTTATATTGATTATCCATGCTTTTGGCATATTGGATCTACTAAAATTTATATTAAAGATAGATTGGCTTGCTTCTTTCTCCTTACTGTTACAGTTTGGACCTTGACTGTCCCCAAGAGCCCTGTGAAGCTCGTCTCCAGAGTGGCACACTGGAGGTGGTAGAACCCTTAGGTGTTGGCTCAGTGGTCATTGGTAGTGTGTCCTCACAGGGGATGTGGGATGCTGGCCCTTCCCCTCTCTCTTGTTGCTCTGTGGCTCAAGATGCAAGTGGTTCTGCTCCCTCCTGCTTCCTACCATGAAGCACTGCCTTGCCACAGGCTCAGAGCCACAGGCCAGTGGATCAGGGGCTGGAACCTCTAAATCCATGGTGCAGAGTAAGACTTTTGTCTTCATAAAATGGTTATTTTGTGTATTTGGTGATAGTAACAGAAAGCCGGCCACCACACTTACTTCCAACGCAGCAACTAGACAGTGTCAAAGCACCCTGTAGCTGACCTGCCATCACTAGCAGCAGCACTGCATTGCCTAGGGTGTCTAAGTCACTGTCCATGCCCACTATGAGGTGATAGCGTGGTGTCTCTTGTGGGGTTGATGAGATGGGCGTGGACCATGTCATTTGTGGCAGAGCTGAGGTCCAAACCATCATTTGGTCTCTCTTTTTCTCACCCCCTGAGTCAGTGTGACCAGCCCCTAGGGTCACTCCCAAACTTGTGAACAGCAGGAACACCATCCCCTGGTGGGCTGCCAAGAGGGTGCACTTTCTCCTTGTGAGAAGGCATTGCCCCCTCCAAGCCAGCGCCTGCTTGGCCGTGAGTCTGCGCTCCTGGCTGGGGTTCTGTTGGGTCTCTGGGTCCCAGGGGGTTTCTGAGCATCCTGAGACAGGAGCCTATCGCCCTTTGTCAGACCATCAGGGACACTGCCAAGTACTGCCAGCACCATGGCATCCCCTTCCCCCCAGTGGAGGAGGCTGCGCTCCAGGAGTGGTCTAGAGTGCCCAGGAGCTGCCACATCCTGAGAGGGGCGGCTGGGCCCGTGGTGATGCACTTCCCCCTGTTCAACACCGACAACTGCGGAGGTGAGCACTGGGGGACGGGGTAGGGAGGCATGAGGCTGGCAGCGCTGGGCAGGGCCGGGCCCATCAGAGAGCACCAGGCCTGTCCTTCAGTGACTGAGGGACAATGAGTGTGAGCAGGAGGACTGCGCCCTGCCCACCCTGGGGCCTCCTGGAGGGCACCCCCTTGCTGTCTCAGCCTTGGGTGGTTTGCATGCTGCCTCCTCACTTGGGAGCCTTTCTGACCTGCTGCCTGTGCACCCTCTGCCTCCTGGGCACCCCACACATCATCCAGGCTCAGGTGAGCAGAGGGGCACGCAGTGTGGGAGTCCTGCAGGGCTGGGGTTCCACTTCCCACGCCGGGCTCTAGTGGCCTCTGGGTCTCTCCACTCTGCCCTCCAGTGAGAGGCTCACTCGCAGGTAAGGGGCATCCTGCCTTCTTCACTTAACAAATATTGGCTCGTCACCCAGGCGGTGTCAGCTGCTCTTCCGGGTGACGTGGATGAACAGAAAAGAATACAAATTTGTCCTCATGTGGAGCTTCTGCAGGCAGGGGACCCAGATACTAAAATATAGAGAAGTTTCATAACATTAAGTGCCAACCTGGCTTTGTTTGTAAAGTCAAATAGGAAGCCGGCTGGATTTGGCCACCATGGACATTAGCCAAGACCTGGAGTCAGGGGACACAATTCCAGAGTTCATTGTCCCTACCTGGGTGCTTTCCTTCAGATGACATCCAGTCATGGACAGACAGGTACAGCACGTTCCAGCGGGCCGACAGCTACAGCAGGGACATGGTGACACAGCTCCTGGAGGTGTCCAAGAAGAACGTTGACATGAACAAGACGAAGATCCTCAGAGAGGTGAAGAATGTGGCCAGGTAGGGGTCAGGCCACCCCGCCCTGCCCTTGGCTTTCGCTCGGTGAGCATGTGCTGGAGACTTTCTCTGTGTCTAGCGTGAGGACTGCAGAGGTTAAGAGAGGCCCCTCGGGACTTGCCTCTGTGATGGAGAGAGACCGTGAGCACCGTCAGGGAGAGAATGGGCTAGGGGGAGGGATGAAGAGTGGCTGGCTTCCTGGGGAGCTTAAACAGGAATTTACTGTCTGTCTGTCCAGAGGCCAGAAATCCCAGCCCAGCGGTGGGCGGGGCTGGCTCCTCCTGGGGGCATGGGGAGGTTGTCCAAGTCTCCCTCCTGAGCTGGGAAGGGATGGCTGTCTTCCCCCTTTGTCCTTTGACATGCTCTTCCTTCTCTGGGTCTTCTGGGACAATTTCCCTTTATCAAAGGAAACTAGTTGTGTGGGTTAGAGCTCACTCGCAAGGTCACTCCACTCTGCCGCTCTAAACATGAATCTCAAAGAAGGGCACAGTGTGATGTGCTGGGGTTGGACCTCAGCACTGGAACTTGGGGGGACACAATTTGACAGACAACTTGGGGTTCACTGAGAGAACCAGGTCGAGCTACTTGAAGGGTCATATCAGAGAAAGTTTCTGAATGAAGTGAAGGATCAACTTCCACACTTTCTCCTTGGGGAGGGGGAGGTGGAGATCCCTGGAGCAAGGGTGCTGCATATGTAGAGTTGAGGTGGAGGGAGGCAGGAGAAGAGTCTGAGAGACAGAGGTGGAGGAGATGAGGCATCAGTATCAGTGTCCTCTTGCTGCTGTAACAAGTGACCACCAGCTTAGTAACTTTAAAACCTCATCTTTGTCATCTCACAGTTCTGGAAGTCAGAAATCTGAAGTGAGTCTTGTGGGCTAAATCCAAAGGGTTGGCCAGGCTGATTCCTTCTGAGGGGTCTGGGAGAGGTTCCCTCATTGCCTTTTCAGTTTCAGGGACATTCAGTGTCTGCATTCCTTGGCTTGTGGCCTCTGCCTTGACCTTTTGCTTCCAGCTTCTCCTCTGGTCCCTCACTTTGACTGCTTGCCTTCTTTTTAAGAAGGACCTGTGTGGTGGCATTAGGCTCACCCTGATAATCCAGGACCAGGACCACTCCCCACCTGAGGAGTCTTAACTTGACCACACCTGAAAAGGTCCTTTGCCATGAAGGTGACATATTCACACTCCAGAGATTAAGACGTGGACATCTGTGGGAGTCTCTATGCAGCCACAGGGAAGTAGGCAGGGCCCAGAGGAGGAAACCCAGGGAGGAGTTGGAATTTTCTTCTCAAGGTACCAGGAAGCCCCAGTTGTGAGCAAGGAGTCTTCAGAGGACCACCTGGTACCTGTGTGGCCCGAGCCTGGATGAGCAGAGGTCACACAGAGCCCAGGAGACTGTCTTTCCGTCCCTCCGTAGGGAGGCAAGGTGGGAAGCTCCAGGTCCTCAGGTTCCTCTCTGGCCTTACTTCTTCCGTCTGGAGAAGGTAGGGAAGTGGCTCTGCCCCTCTCCAGGGTCAGTAGGTAAAGCCTGAGGGACACACAGATGTATCATTTAACGGCCGGCGTCCTTAATCATTCTCAGTTAATTCTCAAGCGTTTTCCTCAAAATTCCATGATGGTGACTCCTTTGAGTCTTCAGAGATGTTCAGAGCATTAGAAAGGCTGAGATCTTTACCTGGTTCAAAAAAGCTGATCTCGGACAATTGAAGAGACAAGGGAGCTGACTGGAAAGTGTGGGTGCATCTCACAGAATCAGGAGCCCCAGGCCCCAGGGCAATGCAAGCCTCTCTGGGGACCTGGGAATGCAGATGGCACAGCATATCCAGTAGTGTCCCTGCCCCTCACTGGCACCTCCTGTCTTCTGCAGCTGTGGCCTCTCTGTGGTGGGCGCCTACTGGAAGGCAGTGGCCCAGCCCTCCCAGGCCTCCACCTCTCCATCTCTCCTGCAAGACGGAGTCCCTACTCCAGCTGGCTGGAAAGGCTCTGGTGGTCCCACTGGGAATCACCAGACACCCAGCCCCATCCACAAGGTGCAGGGCTCCCCACACACTGGTTCTCAGGTGGCCCAGGCCCCCCCACCCCCACCCCGTCAGCACAGCTGACGTGTGGGCTGGATGATGCCCTACTGTGGGGCCGCAGGGCAATGGAAGATGATTTTCAGTCCCTGGCCTCTGCCCTTCAGAAGTCAGGAGCACCTCCCAGACATGACAAGCAAACTGTTTCTAGAACTTCCCATGTCGCCACAGAGCAAAAGTCACCCCGTCCAGATGACATTTAAACAGTGCTCTTTGTTGTAGGACTTATCAGGGGCTTGAGTGACCTAATGTGCTTCTGCAGCTCTAAGAAGGGTCGGGTATGCTCTTTGGATGGCATTTAGGACATATCAAATCACAGCTACTTCAGGAGTTGTGCTGTGCAGAAGGTTCCTTCGGGACAGTGTCCCTACAGCTGTGGGTGCTGACTCTACGAGAGCCTGGCTCTGCCTGATCAGAGGCTTAGACACTGGACAGGGGCATGCAGAAAACTGCAGGAGAATTGGGCATAAGTAAGCAAGTGGGCGCCCTCAGGGGGGTTAGTGGGGACTCTTTTCCTGGATGGAATGACTTCAGCTGCGTTGCTGATGACTCTGGTCCTTGCAGAACTTGGGAACCCACTTTCTGGTCTTTAAGACGTGGCAGTGCTACTGCGTGTGCCCTGGTGGCTATGAGTGTGGGGTGGAGGCAGATGAGCCCTCGTGATGGGAGCTGGTGAGGTGTCCATGTCCTGCTGGTGGACTCTGTGCTGGCTCTGTGGACACGGGGCCTCCTGGAAGGAGGAGTCTGGGGAAACTGAGTCAGAGCCCTGGACTGAGGAGGCTGCAAGTGGCTAGAGGCACTGAGGGCAGCCAGTTCCCTGAGATCTCCCTGATGGTCTGACAGTCCAGCCAGACATGGGACGACCCTGACGTGGCCCCTGATGAATGTCTTGAGTCCCTTGGGTCCCCTCTCCCAGCACTGAGTGTTACCACCTCTGGGTTCCTTTGCTCAGTTGGGGATAGAAATGGAGGCAGGTGACACCATTTGGGTGAAGCCTCTCTGAGGCTCAAGCTGCAGTGCTCAGGAGGCAGCACAAGGGACAGGGCCCTGCTCTGCTCCCTGGACCCTAGGGGTACAGTGGGTGCACAGGACAGGGCAGGCTGTGCAGGTGCAGGGCCAGAGCTGCCACGGTTCAGGACTGTGCCCTGTCTTGTCAGTTCTCTGCCCTTGGCACCTGGGTCGGCCCTTAGCACAGAGACCTGCTGCAGCCCCAGGGACCCTGCGGATCTCTGCTCAGGAGAGGTGGAGGAGCTCACCATCTCCAGCCCAGGAGGGCTCTACCAAGAAGTCAAGTTCAAGTTCAGGTACGTTGTGTGGGCTGGAGGTGGGGTTGCGCAGAGCTTGGGAGACTCAGCAGCTCCTGAATCTGTCACTGGGGGAAATGTATTTGAAGGCAGCGGCTCTGGGTGGGAACCTCAGGGGGCATCGGGGTCCTCCCTGCTGTGTCTCACTAGTAGCTGCCCAGGCTCTAGAGGTCCCTGTGGGGGAAAGTCACAGCTTCTTGCTTGGATCTCAGCGAGGACCAAAAGCTCCCAGCTGGGGATGAAGAGGAGTGTTCTCTAGAGGACACAGTGGTGGACGTGCGGGGCTCCCGTACTGTGAGCATCAAGATCACCAACAGGACAGGTGTGACGTTCAAGGATCCCATGTAAGTTCCTTCCTGTCTCCTCCCTGAAGGTCATTCAGGTGTCTGCAAGGCTGGTGTCCCCTGAAGACTCTGCTGGCTTGCAGGTGGCTGTCTTCTGTGTCCTCACAGGGTGGTCCCCCTCTGTGTGCCTGCTGATCTCTTCCTCTGAGGACACAGGGCACCCCCACCCTACAGACCTCACTTTAGATGAGTCACGTCTTAAAGCTTCTGTGCAGATAAGGTCCCGTTGAGAGGCACCGGGGTTGGACTTCAGCATGCGAGTCTGGGGGTTGCGGGGGGGGGCACAATTCAGTTCACGACAGGACCCACCCAATGGCTCCAGTGTGTGGGTACAGACCAATCAATCACAGACTCCACGAAGAGCAGAGGACGGTGGCTGGACTCAGCCGCCCGTGGCCCTCCCCTCCTTCGGGCAGGTTGTTTACAGGCCATAGCTCCCATCCCTCCTGGCTGTCCATCTTTCATCTCAGGTCGAGTCTCTGTCCTGCCAGGAGCTGGTCTCTCCCCAACCTGAGAGGTCTCCCTGTCACCCGCTCTGCTGTCCCCGGCCTTCCCACCACCCCAGAGTTCTCTCATGTCCTGCTCAGGGCTTGTTCTTGCTTGTGGATCCTCTGTCCTTGTTAACTGGGTCTTTAGCCCTGGGGGTCAGGCCCCACAGCCCTGCTCATCACGGTGTCCATTCACTCATTCCATAAACATTTATTGGGTGCCTACTGCATACCTGTATGGCAGCAAGCATTTCAGGGGTGGACACTTGACCCACACTTGGGAGCCAAGGATCTGCAGGGGGGGTGTGGAGAGAGGTCCAAGCTGTGAAGACACAGGGCTCAGTGTGTGCTGGGAGTGACACGAGGGTCCTGGGAAAGAGGGTGGTGCTCTGGGAAGGCCCCAGAGGGAGAGCCTGTGGCCTGGGCCTGGATGCTGAGCAGGTAGCCATGGCCCTGGCAGGAGTGACTTAGTCTGTTTAAGGCACAGGATGAAGGCTGGGTCAGGGAGGGTGTGGGAGAAGCCCTGAGTGACATGGGATTGGAGAGATGGACAGAGCTCCATCCTGTGCCCTCTGGCGGGTGCCCTGGCGTTTGACGCAGGGGAAGAGTTAGCTGTAGGCCTAGTTCTGCACACGTGTGCCTAGCGTTCATAATGTTGGACAAATCAATGTAGCCGACAGGAGCTCCACGGTAGGTGGTGGACCTGGGGAAATCCAGGTACCTAGTGGACGAGTGTCTCTCCCAAGTCCTGAGTCCCCCTCGTGCAGTGCACAACACTGCCTGCAGACACACGGGGCCCCCAACTCCTCTCTCCCAGGCTCTGCTGTCGGAGTGGCCAGGCCCACGTGAGACCACCACCTGTGCTTCCCCCGAAGTCCACCGTCCACTGTTCCTTCACAAAGACGAGCTCCAGCTTCCAGGGCACAGCGGGCCTGCTGGCCTACCAGGGCCCAGACGAGCACCTGGCCCTGCTGTTCTCCGTCCCCTTCAGCTACGCCCTCCATCGCATCCAGTTTGCCCTGGCCGTGCTCAGGGGGCCGCTGGCCCAGGACGACCTGGAGCAGGTCTTTGATGGCATCATGGAGGAGGAGGCCCCGGATCCCAAGGTGGCGAAGTGCATCCTGCAGACCCCTCAGGGGGCCCTGGAGCTGAAGCATGGCTCCCTGAGCATCAGAGCCACCGTGTCCAATGTTCATGTGGCCAAAATGGATGTGGTGATGGAGACCAAAGCCACCTAACTCTCCCTTGTCATTTCACCTCGCTGCTGCAGCCCCCTTGGGCGGGTGACCCCAGGGAAGGAGGAAGGGGCCCCTGTCATGGGCTAGATCCTTGGGGCCAAATCAGCTCTGAGGACACAGGTGTCTAATAAAGCTTGCTGAGTGACGCTGTGTGACCATGTGGCTCCTGGTCTGCTGTCACAGCACAGCCTCCCTGTCCATCTGGGCTCCCTTCATCCCCGCCCTGGGCCCTGTCCCACTTACCCACCAGTGACTCCCTTCCCCCCCTCTTCTTCAGGTGGACTCTGTCCCCAGCTGTCCCCTCTGCTCCTCTGGCCTCCTCCCTCCTCTCTCCCCTCCTGTCCTCTCCCCCTCCTCATCTCTCCCTCAGTGACTAAGCCCAGGCCCAGGTGGGCCCTTCATGCCTGTGCCCCTTATCACACCTGGCACCTGAATCCTGGAGAGGGTGACAGGGACTCAAGACCCCAGGCAGCATCGGGCGTGGACCCAGTTTTGAGGGACATTACCATTGTTTGTCACACCTGCCTTTCCTAAAGAAGGGCTCAGGAGTTGAACTGTGTCCCACCAGAAGGTCCTGATGTCACAACCTCCAGTACTCGGACTGTGACCTTTTGTGGAAATTAGGTCTTTACAGATGTGAGCAAATGGAGGTCAGGTCATAGGGACCCACGTCCTCCAGGATTGGTGTCTGTATAAAAGGGAGATCTGGACACAAGGGAGACCTGCACATGGGTAGGAGACCAGGTGCCCATGAAGGCAGGGAGCAGGGTGACACTCCTATGAGTCACAGATGGACAGGAAGCCACCTACTGTCCCCATGGAGACCCCTGTAGCAAAGGATCCAGCGGAGGCGTCTGTGCTGGGTTTGCTCATGTCTCCTCAGTCTGCTCCCCGCTGGGGGTTCCTCAGTCTTCCCTTGACTCTCCTGACCTTGACCTCTCTGAAGGTCACAGGCAGTTATTTTGTCAGTCACCCCTCCATCTTGGCTTGCCTGATGCCTTCCCATGACGAGATTCAGGAAGATCATGAAAGTGAGGCTGTGTCCTCACGATGGGCATGATTTTGTCACATTATTGATGACATTCCTTGGGTCATTTGATTAAGATGGCATCTGCCAGGTTTTTCCACTCTTCCAGAAAAGGGACTCTTCCCTTTGGAATGAGTTGAGATTTGTGTGTGGGCGCGTCGAGCTGGGCAATCGGGCCGTCCACTTCACCCTTCCCTGACCTCCTGTGGACTCTGCTTTCCTGGCTTTTCCTGCATCATTTGCTGCCATCCTCATTGATTTTGATTCTGCAGTTGCCTGGTGTGGCCAAAGAGCTTCCTCCAGCTGCCCTCCGTGTTTTTTTAGCGTGTCTCTGTGATTCCTGATCAAACCCGCTTTATGCTACAAGGGTCTCAGCTCCCCTTGTTCATTCCTGCCCCAGACACGGCATCAGCCCGTCTCCTGGGAGACGTGGTCCCTTTTATGGGGAACAGTACTGAGAAGTCAAGGTCTGAGGCCCTCATGAAGGTTGGTGTCCCAGCTCCCATGTCCTCTGAGTGGGGAGCGCTGCAGAATTGCCTACAGGTCACTACTGTCTTTCCTCCACTGACCCGGATACCTGAGGGTGACGACCTAAAGGAGGACAGGTTCATTTTGTCTTCTGGTTTCAGAGCTCTCAGTCCACGGTGGCAGACTGCACTGCTTTGGGCCTGAGGGGAGGCAGCCCATGATGGCGGAGGGGCTGGGGACAAGACCAGTCCTGCTGGGCACATCCCCACTGAGTTCCTTCGTCTGAGCAGGCCCCATCTTCTAAAATTCCCCCCACTTCCCATAATGCCATTAGCTTATTACTCCATCTGAGGATTAATTCACTGATGCGGTTAAAGCCCTTAGGATCCCATCCCTTCCCTCATCCCTCATCTCAACCTTGCTGCCTTGGAGACCCAGCCTCCAACTCTTCACCTTTATTATTTACCTAAAGAGTTATACTATAAAATAGACCTCACATCAAAGTAGAAAATTTACCAATGGACATAGCCTCGTGTGTGTGTGTGTGTGCACGCGCACGTGCCTATGAGTACTGGCCAAGCCTCCAAGGTCATTACTAGGCCCCTCCTCCTAAAGTCTCTGCACCCCCCCAACACCTTCTAACACTGCCACACTGAGGTCTGAGCTCCCAACACTTGAGGGAGAAACACTCAGGTCACATCTGAACCCTCGCAGCCTCTGGCCATGTCCACCTTCTATGGGCACTCGCCCCTCATTCCACTCCCCAGGGGACTCTGCCCCCACAGCAAAAGTCCCCTACCCTCCCTGTGTGGACCCCTCACCCCCCCTGGCCCTGAGCCCACCATGACTTCTCACATCCTGGCCCCCTCCCTGCTGCCACTGAATTACTCAGGAAGAGCAGGAGGGACCAGAGGAACAGGGGAGAGCCCAGACTGCCCTCCCCACCACTGCTCCCCTGTCACCAGGCCGTCCCTGCACACGGGTCTGACTGGGTCAGGAGAGCTCTGGGGCCAGACCCTGTCCTCTGCATGTGCCAYGGCCCAAAGGCCAGGCAGAGAGAGTGGGCACAGGCGATGCAGGTGGACACAGTGAATGGACAGGCGCCTGCCCTAATCCCTACTTTCAAATGCTCTCCAGTGCCATCCTGGGCTGTGTCACAGCCTGAGGTGGCCCTGCCCCCGACTCCCTGCAGCCAGATGGGGAGGCAGGCGCAGCCCTGATCCCTCCCAGCCTGGGCGAGGTCCCCAGCCTTCACAGCTCTGAGACTCAGGCTCGCAGGAGAGGCCCAGAGAGGCAGCSGAGCTGGCACAGGACTGAGCAGGAGGCTGGGCTGCCAGGGACAGGCAGCAGGGCCACCCAGAGGGACAAACCTGAGAGCACGCCTGCCCCATGCAGTTCCCYGCGGGCCCCGCCTGCATCTTCCTGAGGAAGGGCATCGCTGAGAAGCAGCGGGTGAGGCCGGGCGACTGGCAGGGCGGGCAGGGAGGTGTGGGGCAGGGGGCGAAGGGGCAGGTGGGTGGCAGGAACCAGGAAGCTCAGAACACAGGAGGGGGCTCTGGGTTCCCGGGGGCCACGGGATGAAGGGGGACAGTAAACTCAGGAGGGGGGCGTTGTGAGGAGAATAAACGGGGGCTGGGATGGTGTCCCTTTCTCTGCTCTGGACACAAGAGGCYGGTGATGGTGACAATGGCAATTTTGGACACTTACCAAGTSCCTGCTGTGTGGCCAGCTCTGTGCAAAGGTCTGCACATTCCTGATGTCATTTAACTCCCAGAACAACTCCGAGGTCCCCGAGACTCTCTCTCCCGTGTTACAGGTGAAGAAACCGAGGCGCTGAGACAGGAGTCCTTTGCCATAAGCYCCCAGGGAGGAGGTGGCAGGGCAGGCGGGTCCATTCCTGTGCTTGCGACTGTCAGGAAGGGAAGGAAGGACAGGGCGGACAGAGATGAGACTGCACAGAGGACAGCAAGAGAGACACTGGGGGACGGCCAGGGAGCTAGAGGGTRGAGGCCAGGCTGGTGGAGCCTCTAGGCTCTCTGCAGGTGTCCAGGCCACGTCCAGCAGCSGGTCGGGCAGTGAAGGGCAGACRCTCGCAGAGGTGCAGGCCCTGGTCCTSCTGGCACTCAGTGGCCCTCCTGAACACCACTGAGCTCTGGTCCCACCCCAAGGGACTCTCCCTCTTGGGAGGMAGGGGAGGCAGGTGGGGACAGCAGTGGTGTGCCCTGGAAAGACTTCTGACCTGGAGTCGGGAGCCCTGGACTCGAGCCCTGGTGCTGGAGTCTAGTGCCACACGACCTCAAGGGTCACTTCCCCTCCCCTGGTCGGGGACCTGCTGTTTCAGAGCTGTGTGACCTTCAACAGCTTCCTCGACCTCCCTGTTCTTGAGCRTCTTCATGGGTAAGATGGGAATGATACCTGGTCTCCCTCCCAGAGTCGTCCTGAGGTTTCAATGCAAGGAGCCCCAGCAGAGCCAGCCTCTGACACCTGGGCTGGGACAGCAAATCCCACCCTGTCCATCTGGGGAGGCTCGGACTCCACGTGCCATGGAATGTGTGTCTGGGAAAGAGCAGATCCAGGTTCAAGTACAGGACAGAGGAGTGAGGGGATGGGAAGGAGGCAGAGCAGAAGCTGAGGAATGGGAGTTGGGGAGGGAGGAGGAGCTGAGGGAGGAGGAGAGGTGAAGGGAACAGGGGTGTGGAGGACGGGGCCTGCTTGAGGAGCACAGGACCCTGACCATTTCTCTACCTTCCCTCCCTGCATTCCCTCAGGAGAGACCCCTGGGGCAGGAYGAGATCGAAGGTAACAGCTGCCCCCAATGCCCTCACGCCCCCAGGGACCTGCTCTCAGCTCTGTCTGTGTCACCTCCTCCCCTGCACACCTCACAGCCCTTCCTGTCCCCTCCACTGCACACTGAGGCCTCCCCAGGACAGCTAAGTGCGGGGAGTCCTTAGCGACATGCCCGGCCCACGTCTCAGAAACCCGGGATGAGAGGAGRYGGGAGCCTTAAAATGAGGCCAAAGCTGTGGGTCCTYCTCCTGGGGTTCTGAGGGCTCTCCACYGACCCTGAGGATTGGGGGCTCAGTGAGCAGCTCGGAGCCGTCCCCCCTGCGGGCGCCTTTCCCACTCACTGCTGTTCCGCGGTGCTGGGTTTTATGGTGTATTCCCCTTGAGTCTCTGTCACGGCCTCAGCCACAGTTTCAAGGAATGCCACTCTTCCCCCCGGCTGTTTCAAGTTCCTCCAAAGTTCTTCTCTCTTCACTTTCAGAGCTCCGGGAAGCATTCCTTGAGTTTGACAAGGACAGAGATGGGTTTATCTCCCATAGGATTTGGGGAATCTCATGAGGACAATGGGTTACATGCCCACGGAGATGGAATTGACCGAACTGGGCCAGCAAGTCCGCATGAACTGTGAGACCTGGGGAGGAAGGCAGGGTTGGGCTCTGCTGAGGGAGAGACTGAGGAGCAGGTGGAGGGGGAGTCTGTGGGGATACAGGGGGCTACGAGGATTGGGGTGTAGAAAAGAGCATCCAGACTGCTCCAGGGAGGTGGCTTTTGAAGTAGTTGGAGGGGCCTTGGAGAGACAGGTCTGGGTGCAAGTCCCAGTTCTATGATTTGTCAATGAAAGTCATTCTGAAAAGTGAAGTTATCTTGGGTCTCAGGTCCCTGGTCTCTGAGAGAAGGCAGGACACTCCTTACCTCATGGTGCCATGGGAAGGACGGGATGAGGGTACTCAGGCAGGCCAAGTTGTAGTCCCCACAACTTCTGATTAAGTGTGGTTTATCACTGTCACCACTAAAGGTCTATCCRGGGAGTGTGAGGTTGGAGCCGTGCTGGATGTCAGCAATGAGCTTGGATTTGGACCTAATGGTGGTGAATAGAGTTGGAAAAAGAATGATTTGGGGGGCTGCTCTTGGGGATTGAACTCGGGGATCCTCAACCACTGAGCACATCCCAGCCCTAAACTATATTTTATTGAGAGACAGGGTCTCACTGAGTTGCTTAGTGCCTCGCTTTTGCTGAGGCTGGCTTTGAGCTCACCCATCCTCCTGCCTCAGCTTCCCGAGTTGAAAAGGATCGATTTTTAAATGGAGACCAGAGGTACTTTGAGACTGAAACTGAAGTAAAATTGCTACTGGTTTGCTTCTGGGCATGTAACTGAGTTAAGGTGGAATTCAAGGTGATAATGGTGTGCTCAGCCCTCTGTGTATCTGCAGATTCAAGCAAGTGCAGATGGAAAACATTTGGGAAATAATTCTGTGTATGTACTAAACATGTTCAGGCTATTTTTTTCTTGTCATTGTGCCCTGAACAACACAGTATAACACTCAGAGAGCATTTCCAYTGTGTCGGGGCCTCTGAGACATGCCCCGCCCACATCTCAGAAACCTGGGAGTGAGACAGGAGCCAAAGCTGTKGGTCCTTCTCCTGGGGTTCTGAGGACTCTCCACCAACCCTGAGGATTGGGGGCTCTCAGTGAGCAGCTCGGAGCTTAGAGATGARGTACAGCATATGAGAGGTTTGCGTAGGTTACATGCAAATACCATGACGTTTTGGAGATGGGACTTGACCGTCTGCAGATTTTGGCATCCATGGGGGTTCCTGGAACCACCCCCCAGTGGATGCCAAGGCACGACTGTATTCGTATCTGGAAGAGCCTCAGGTGCACATGTCRCTCACTCCCTCTTTACAGATCCACAGAGGAGGGAACAGGGGTCCTGACCATGCTCAAGGTTGTGCAGTCAGTCAGTCCTGTCCCCATACGTGCCTTGTCCACCAGGTTCAGGTTCGAGGGACACAGGGCTTGAGCTGAGTGAGTGAAAGATAAGGGGGTTCACCCAGCCACAAAGAAGAATGAGACTCGTGCATCTGCTGGTAAATGGATGAACTGGGGAACACSGCGCTCAGTGACAGAAGCCAGACTCGGAAGGCCAGGGGAGAACGTGTTCTCTCACAGGGGAATGTGTGGGGAGGGGATCCCATGAAACAGAGGGGACATCAGTGGGGTAGGGGGTGGAGGGAGGGAGGAGGGACAGGAACAGGGAAGAACCGAGGAATGAAATGACCAGATGACGCGTATGTGCACATCCCACTCTGAACTCCACCTTTATGTGCACCCGTAGAGCACCCACCTAAAAGTCAATAAGCAGAAGGATCCAGGAGAGGAAGGGACCCGGAGGAGGGAGGAGGGCAGGTAGAGAGGAAGCACTGGGGACCGAAAAGGAGCAAACTACAGTCCAGGCATGAGCATGTCGAAACTAACCCACGAGTGTGTGTGGCTGCCATGCACTAATAAAAGTGCAGAACAGAAACCCGTGGACGGCGGGGACCTGGGAGCCGCTCTCTTTCTGCAACTGACTGGAAGGGAGAAGCCAGGGATTGGAAGGTCAGGGCATGGAGTCCCACTAACCCCGCCCTTTCTGCCTCAGTGGGGGGCCGTGTGGACTTTGACGACTTCGTGGAGCTGATGACCCCCAAGTTGCTTGCAGAAAYGGCTGGGATGATTGGTGTCCAGGAGATGCGAGACGCCTTCAAGGAGGTCAGTGAAGGGGTCCATGGGGCTGGGGGTGGTCTAGGGACTGTTCACGTCAGCACCATGGACAGGGCCCACCAGAGGGCCACCCCCTGCCTCCTTGTTTTGGCCCAGCCCTAGTGGGATGGAGAGGGCCAGGGCCTCCCGCTTGCTAGGCCTCCACCATGAGCTGCCCCCCAGCCCCTCACCTTTTCTTTAATGTAGCTACTAGGAAACYCAGAATCCCTGAGAGGCTCCCGATGCACTTCCCCCTGGACAGAACTGCTCCAGGAAAGTCCCATCCCAGGAGAGGACACTGCACACACCAGGAGGCAGGACGCTGTGTCTGAGGAAGGGTGACAAAAGGGTGACAGCGAGAGCTGGAAAGAGCATAGATGGATGTSGTGGAGACTCAGAGTTGTGGAGGGCAGGGCCCATCACCTGTCGTGGACTGGACAGGAAGCCACCAGGGGGAGTGACAGGATCTGATTTGTCCCCTATGTAACTGAAAACGGAGCCTGACCTGCAGAGGGGAGACCCTGGCAGAAGCAGGATGGCAGCCAGGGACCCCTGCAGGCTGCCTGGGGAGTGCAGGCCAGAGGGGCCGTGGCTGGAGCCAGGTCAGCAGAGCTGAGGAGCATCCCTGGCCCCTCTGTGTGCACTGAGGAGAGGGCATAGTAGGCTTTCTGGGAGGTGGTGAAGGAGCAGGGAGAAGTTCTGGAGGTCACTGATTRATTGGGAAACATGTGTCAAGGGCCTGGCCTGTGAACATGCTKGTCCTTGTGTGCCTGGACTATTTCACCAGCATGACGTCCTCTGGGTTCATCCACGARACTGCATTTCAGGATTTCCTTCTTAAGGCAGAACCACATTCCACCGTAGTSTGCAGCACACAGGAGAGGTGCACAGGAGTCCAGGAACAGAAGGCCTCCAGAAAAACTCATAGGCACAGACTGTAGCAAGCTGGCTGCCAGGACCTGGGCAGAGGGGCAGGCGGGCTGTCCTTTCATGGGTCTCARAGTTTCAGTTATGGAGATGACTGAGTTCCACTCACCTACAGACTAACGGTCTGTATTGGGCATCAAAAACTTAATAGAGCAGATCTCATGTTCCACATCCAACAAACTGAAATCTRAGGGGACAGGGAATGCCTTGGAGGCAAGGTGACACATGCTGTGCTGATTGGTGTGGTTTCATGAGGGCATGCCTCTGTCCAACTCATCAGAGGGCACGGGTTAAGCCTGCTTAGCTATCTGCACATCAATTATATCCCAATAATGCTGTCTAAACAGAGGGAGAGGGGTGTGCAAACCTGGGAGGAACCCTTGACCTTSAGGTGCTGATATTCTCCAGTAAGATGTGCCTGAAGCCCTTGGCCTGGCTCTAGTGATCCATGGACACTGTCACCCTGTCACCGTTGCTCTCAAGGTCGGTGCTGCTCATCCAGCCCCCTCTGCTTCTGTTCATCAGTTCGACACCAATGGAGAYGGGGAGATCACACTGGCGGAGCTGCAGCAGGCCATGCAGAGGCTTCTGGGAGAGAGGCTCACCCCCCGGGAGATCTCCGAGGTTGTCCACGAGGCCGATGTCAATGGAGA